GTTATGCATTCCGGGTCCTTCTTCGACATTGGTCTCGATTGCGTCAGTTAGTTCTGGGTACGTGCTAACTAGCTAGCTACGCCACAGAAGAAGACGATAGTTATGGTAGAGGAGGGGGAAGGAAGGGAAGAGAGGGGAGGCTAATCTCTGGACTAGTTAGGGGGATCGTCTGCGACCTTGAGGATAATCTGGTAGGTAGATTTGAATAAAGAAACAGCGTCTAATCTAGGCTAGTGTGTTTTTTCTATCGAAACGTCGACACTACGCGCCGCGCGCGGGTTTCGGTCGTATGGAGACACTAACTATTATCTACTTAGTTCCCGGGGCGTAGCATTTGCTACACACAGAGCAAGAAAACGGGTATCGATCTTCAAACTTCCAGATCTAGGGCTTAGCGGATCCCTCCTCCCTCCTCCCTCCTCCAAACAACGATGCCCAGAGGCTAGCAGCCTGTCGAAACTCATGATAATCGCTGATAGTCACTCTTGAGATGACTCGGCAGGTTTTATGCCATAAAACCGTCTCTATGTCTATGAAGAAGCATTGGGCAACTACATACCAAAAATACACCGCTGGACATCGCCGTTATCTGCCGCTCAGCCAAGTGAGGCGGTAATGATGGGCCTTGATAGATCTGCGAAAACCTAATGAAAGAGTTGTATCGAGGCTGGAGACAGTCCTCGGGGAGAACCAAAGGGGACTAGGTTCGGGATGGTAAGAGGGATTTTTTGGCGTCTTGGTAAACGGTACCGCGTTCTAGGGTGCTGGTCTAGACGCGCTTAACATCTTCGATCTGTATTAGAACATATAACTTCTAGATCGACTATGAGGATAGCAACGGCTATCTGTTGTACCTGAGGAATGTTACGCTGGTCCACCTTGGAGTACCGGCATATGGGGGTTGCCTTGAGGTTGTTCAAATTTGGCGAATAGGGTACTGGTATTGGTAGTGAGTTCGAAGTAGGAGTACTTCTCCCCCTATTCATTACCGCATAGACCAGAGAGTCTCTGAATGTTAACTCTCGTGGATATAGCTAGACCGAGAGTGGTATTGCGTGCCATGTTTCCTAGTACAGTTATGTATGTGTTCCCTGATTTAATAATCCCGCACTCGAACTTCCTCGGACCTGTGGTTTCCAAGGTATGATTTCTCCCACCCATCCTCCCTTCAATTTATTGTCAGGGTTGTTTATCCAAAGACAAGGTAGTAGTGCCTTATCATAGGACTTTTGGTAAACCTGGGGATCATCTATTCACTTGAATATTCTGTAGGTATGTGCTCATTTATTGGTACGCGTGGGGTAGATTGGCGACGAGTCCAGTCACAATTTTATCAGGTAACTACATGGCCACATTTATGTAAGCAGGTGTTTAACGTCGCTCCTGTATGTATACCTATAGAGGTAACCATGATTAGTTGGTCGATATTTCCAAGTTAAGGGTTATGTATATCCAGGTAAGGAAGAAGATGATTGGCTCGTGAGCTTCAACAGCCTCACTTTGGGCTGAGTTACGACGAAGTTTAAGGGTTAATAGTAGATCATATCCTAATACTGGAAGAAGCTAACCTTAGTTATATAGAGGACAAGGCGGGTTTGTGTCAATCCGTGATAGCCTCATCTTTGTCCCTTGATACGGACCCTGTATTAGTAGTCTGGGCACATAGTGCTAAGGACTATGTAGGTTGGTAGGTAGGCAGGTAGTTCGACATTAGACTAATTCACCCGATCTTCCCGATCTATGGAATTAGACCAAAGCTCTCGTATCGTTCCGCTTTTGCCCAGCTAGTTACCGAGGATCTACATATAGGTATATACATAGAATCTATACCTGGTAGACCTTGACTGTAAGTGAACAAGTGAACAAATATCTGGGTAACCTTGTAATCTTGTAACATTCGAGTTTTTAATCTTACGGGAGCTGGACTGACCAAGATAGAAGTAGTCGTGTATCTGGTACCATGTCTGTACTGGGTTGACCTCCAGTGAGTCCAGTCTCTATTTAAACTAGATAGGTACTAAGGCAGTGCGGGTATGTAGTGTAGAAGGAGAAGAAGGAGTAGAAGGAGTAGAAGCAGAAGCATTAGAAGAACTTGAAGTTGAGAAGTTTAAAAAAAAAAGAAAAGACTATTCCAAGATTGTGCTCCACGTTCCATGTTCCATACCAAGTTGAACTATGTACCTAGGTATATTCTATATTGCCTTGATTAACTTCAACACAAACCTTAATATGCACGTGGTAGGTATGTCGAGCCAAGCATGCCCAGGGTAACCTAGCAGTAGGCAAATAAGGAACATCTGAGTTATGTACATACATATATATATGTATGTAGCAGTGGACAACACTGGAACTTGGACATTGATTGATCCGGACTTTGGAGTAAGTAAGTACATATGTTCCGTATACCATATATTACTACTATCATAGCACTATGAAAATACCTTAAAATCAGTCAAGGTTTTAACATTTTAAAGGTTGGATCATTTAGAAAATCGTAAGACCCGCGAAGCCGATATGCAAGCCAAGGAAAGGGAAAGCTACAAGGAACCTCGGAAGGGGGGGGCGCCCCCAAGAAACAGGGCCCAAGAGGGGACCACAGGGGAAAGGCACAGGGGAGCCACAAGGGCAACAAGGGGGGGTCAATGTAAGACAAATGACGACATTGGGGTGTTGCATCGCTTTTGCATCGTCACGATGATTCGGTTGGCAGCTGCATCTTTCATCTATTCGGAGGAGCTAACTATGGCCTAGACCTTTCGCTAACCTGCCCACGCAGCCCACGCAACCCTCGCAACCCTCGCAACCCTCGCAATTGACGGGTGCAGCAACCAGTCCCCTTTTCTTTGGGTCTTGGCCTTTGCTGTCGTGTCGTGTCACTTTAATTTAGCTCGCCGCGGTATAGTATGATCTTCTCTCTTTTTTCTTTTTTCTTCTTTTTTTCCCTTGGTATAGTCCCTTGGTATAGTCCCTTGGTATAGTGCCCAGGTACTCAGTAACCAACCTAACTACCTAGTAGTAAACCTAAGTTACCTAACCGTTCTAGTCAAGTTCTAGGTAAATACCGAGCAGCACTGGTGTAGACCGTTATAGTGCTGGTGTAGTCCGAATATGTCCTATAGAAGCAAGATATATGTATGGGTATAATACCGAACTCGCCGAGATGCACAAGACTTACTACATACATAGTAGCATGATAGACTATAGTACTACTGCTAGGTAGATGCTAACCTACATAGTAGATAATATGCCTACCTACCTACTTAAGTAAGTATTAAGTAAAACAGATAGACAACCTAGATGTGGATAGAAGGTGAGAGTAGGGCGGACTGAGCGGGGGGGATCTGCACGGAATTAATAGAACTCGAAGTATATCCATACTAGGAATAGATTTAACGGGAGAACATTGAAGCATTTGGTGTATGTATGTGTGTACATAGATAGGTACATTGCCTGGTTATGAATAGAAACGTTCGATGTTGAGATATCATCAATTCATGTTGACATAAGCACGTAAGGATTCAGGAACGTTTAACTATGTAACTGCTAACTGCATCCTACATCCTAATATTACATAGCTAAGCGTACGTAAGTGGAAAAGAGGAAAAAACCTTGAATGAACCTAACGAACCTAATGAACCTAATATTCCCATGCATCTACCTAGGGTATATTTGTCCATGTATCTTATAAATACTTATCTTTAGAAGAAACAACCGATAAGTGGAGTTACGGACTTCAATGTTGATTATTCTAACTTTGAAACTCAATGTATACATATAGTATCAATTGATGTATGTAACTATTCTTACATCCATTCTTTCTCTTTAGTTGAGGTTATTAAATACCTAGTGTGTACTTCAATGTTAGCCAGACCCATCTGAGATATCCATAGATCTATGTAACTATCCCTTACAATCTTTCCATCTTTTTATCTCTACCCTAGGTATGATATCAATTGATGATGTGAAGCCAAAACATACAAAACTGAAAGAAGAGAAGAGAAGAGAGATAAAATCATCAAAGAAATAATGCCAGAAGAATATAACACTGTTTTTTTTTGTCATCGGCGATGTCTTACGATGATGAAAGAAACGAGAAAGAATTAACCTAATCTGTCCTTCTCACCAGGGTCCTCTCTCTCTTTTTTTTTTTTTTTTTTCTTTTTTAATTCCTTTCCTCAATACCGAGAACAGTCCGCCGATCAGAAATTCGAGACCTAGCCGTGTCATCAAAAATCACCTAACTAAAAATTCTCCGTCGCGTGTTGATCTTTCTTCCCCCTTCGCAATTTTTTTTATACTACGGTATATTACGCCGTAGCAGGTCAAGCAGGCAATTGATATTCTCCTACCGGAGACTACCTAGCACTACATATGTATGTATATCAATGATCTGTAGGCTATGTAGGTCTGATTGCCTTGTATAGAACTGTACATAGGCACGCCGCATCCCCCATGCACATTGCATACATGTACGAGTTCAAACAGGGGACTGGACATTCAAATACATGCCGAGTACGTACCTAGTACCTACTACCTAGTACCTAAGTACACGCACAGGTACCTACATGCACATACAAACCATTCCACTGCGCTCAGGACTTGCACCTTTGCACCATACAACAACATACAGCCTAGCTCGTGCATCCTATAATACCCCCCCAATCCATTATCATTATTATTACCACCTACCTGCTACCACCTGTTACTACCTACTACTACCTACTACTACCTAATTACTACTAGTACATACCACATACCACATACCACATACTACACATACCTACCACTTACCTTACATATTTACGCATATTACAACACATACACATACACACACTCACACTCACTTTTCACATTCACACACACACACACATCCACACGTACATACCCAGCACACACACACAGACACAGACACATACACGAATTTAAACACACGTAACTGCAACACGATACGTTACGTACTTTTCGTCTCGATACAATACATCATAGCCGATCGGAATCCCAGATCCGGCTAATCGTAAAGCGCACGTTTATCCCCAGTTGAAACCGATCCCGGTCGCATATCGAAACAAAAAAGGAAGGTAAAATAGAAGAAGGAGGAAAAAAGAAAAAAAGAAAAAAGGGACAAGTCTACCGTTTGTACGAGGGTCGCATATCGACAAACGAGAAAAAAAAAATCCGAACACGGCCTAACTCGATCCGAGAATCCACCTACCGTCGCGAAACACATGAAGCCGGCCGGGCTGTCTTTGCGCGAAACAAGGACAAAATGGCGAACCCCGTGGGCGAGGATAGTTGGTTAGCTTACGTCGAAGAAGAAAGCCGACACGCTTCTGATCTCGACGCGCGCGTCAAAGTCGTCGAACTTTTCCGGAATGCCATTTCCTCAGAGCCTGGAAGTCTTAAGATCTGGTTGGCCTACTGTGAATGGTTTTGGTCTTTGTTTATCGATTGCCAGTCCAGCGAGGCTGGATGGTCTCAGGAAGAGCAGCAGCAAGGTCGTGATCTATTCACCTTTGATGCCGCCCTGAGTCTTTGGAGCGATGGATACGATGCCATCAAGTACCGCATCAACGACAGCCATGAGTTCTGGAACCGATGGGTTTCGATAGAACTCGAGCAGCTGGCTCGGACGCGGACTCCCGTCGGCGTAAAGCGCATATCACACCTCTTCCGCGACCGATTGCAGGTCCCCCATTCCACCTGGGAAAACACGTCGCAGATGTTCTCTAGCTTTCTGAGCACGTATAACAACACTGCTTACGAATCCGAATTCAAAGAGGTTACCGCCAGTGCCCAAGAAGCCAAGGCCGCATACGAAGCACGAGAACCCTACGAATTGAAACTGAACAGAGCTGCGAAGTCGGGCGATCAAGAGGCCTATAAGACTATCATGAAGGAGTACATAAACTGGGAGATGTCACAGATCCAGAAGGCGAGGAATTCTACGTTGACCGTGTCTCTCTGCCTCGGATTATTTTCGAGAGCCTTGAGTGGTGTATTCACTTTTGATGAGGAGGTTTGGAACGACGCGACTATCTATATGTCAGGCTTACAACACCAGTCTCGAACAGCGCAGCTCCCTCAATTGGCCGAGGCCGAGATTCTAAAGTTCTACCAACGAGCCACGACGCATTGCCCGTGGTCTGGTCCTCTCTGGTCTCGATATATCTTGACTGCCGAGGAAGCAGGATGGTCGTTCCATAGCGTCGAGTCGATTAAGCACGCTGCTACGAATACGAAGGCTCTCGACAAAAACGGCATGGCAGGTGTTTTGGACATGTACACTGCATGGTGTGGTTTCCTAAAACGGACGGCTATGGACCCTAGCGCTCCGGACGACGCAGCCGACGTCGCTGAAGTTGGCCTGTTGGCTGCACTGGAGGATGTCGATTTGTGGGGAAGGCGTTTGTATAAGGACACATATCGTGGAGATCCTAACTATAGACTACAGCGCATTCTTATCCAGTACCTGACTGAAGTGAAGGGCGAGATCGACGAGGCACGGAATCACTGGGATCGGATGGCCGGCCAGTCTCTATTGGCTGACAGCTACGACTTCTGGCTCAATTATTATCTCTGGGAGATGATGATATATGCATCTAGACCAAAGCCCCGAAGCCCCACACCAGCCACACCGGTAGGTGGTAGTACCAGGGTCAAGAGGATTCCGGGTCTCGCCACCGGTGTCTTGCAGCGGGCCATTGGCCGAACCACGTTGGATTGGCCCGAACGAATCATGGACGTCTATTTGCAGCATTGCAACGACTACGAGAGTCCCGAAGCTCTTCATCAAGCATTAGACTTGGTCCACCAGACTCGACGGGAGATTGCCAAACGCCGTGAGCGAGAAAGTGCTGAAGCCGCCGCCGCTTACGCCGCCCAGGTACAAGCACAGCAGCAGACAGTGTCAGGAGAGGGTGTCGAAGAGGGTGGTGTGCCCGGTTCGCCGTCTGGATCCAAGAGGAAACGAGAGTTCACGCCGGGTGACGGAACGCATGGCGTAAATAAGCGAGTGAAGAGCGTGGAACTTGATGGGATCGAGAGCGCCGCTAACGAGCAGAAACTTAAGCGTGACCGAGAGAACACTTCAGTCATGGTTACGAACCTACCTCCCGATGTGACGCAAACGGCTATTCGGAAGTATTTCAGGGAATACGGGCACATCAATAACTTGGACATTCGCAGGGAGGAAGATGGTGAGTCCAACTCCGTCCTAATCGAGTTCAGATCTACGGAGGATGTGCAGTCGGCGCTCTTGCGAGATCAGAAGTACTTCAACCAACATCAGATCAGCGTTCAACCCGGTACCGGCCTAACCCTCTTCGTATCCAATTACCCGCCTACGGCCGACGAAACGTACATACGCGACCTCTTCAAGGACTGTGGTGAGGTCTTTTGTGTCCGCTTTCCATCTTTGAAGTACAACACGCACCGTCGCTTTTGCTACGTGTCATTCAAAGACCAAGATTCCGCCTATAAAGCAACGTTGCTCGATGGCAAAGTCCTTGAAGGCAAATTCAAGTTGCAATCGAAGTACTCGAGTCCTGCGCATAAGAAGGATCGCGAAGGGGCTATTGCGGAAGGTCGAGAAGTCCGAGTAAAAAACGTGGATTCATCTGCAAACGAGAACGATCTGAAAGACGTGTTCAGCAAATATGGTAAAGTGGCCGGAGTCCGTATTGTGAAAAATATGGGTGGCAAGAATCTCGGCATGGCTTATATTGTGTTTGAGACGAAAGAAGATGCTGAAAATGCCCTGGAACTTGACAAGACCAAGTTCAAGTCTCAGATTCTTTTAGTTGAACTGAGCAAGGACTCCAACTTCAAGCCCTTTGCCACGAACCGAGGCGACCGTGCTTCGGCATCCCCAGCACCTAACGGAGACGGCGACATTGCCATGTTAGACAGTCCTGGTGAACACAACGGTGGAGGCCAGATGCCAACATCGAAAGAGATCCAGGAACGTACAATGAGCATCATGAATATACCCGACACTGTCAACGATGCGCGCGTTCGTGCCATTGCAGAAAAGCACGGCGAGGTCGTGAAACTGGTCCTGCGACCTGATCACCGAGGTGCCATAGTTGAGTTTGCAGAGGCTTCGGCGGTTGGACGAGCAGCATTAGCTTTGGAAGGTTACGAGATCATGCCGGGACGAAAACTACGCACCGGAAGCGTGAATGATTTATTTATGGAGAAGAGTGAAATACGAGAAGACAAAATCGTGACAGGGAGAAGCAAGAATGCTGCTAATAATAAGAATGCGGGAGGCTCTAAGGGGAGCAGTACATTTATGCCACCACCCCAGAACGTCCGAAGACCGGTGTTAGGGCGAAGCGGCGCAAAGCGTGGATTAGGGTTCACCGTTGCCAAGAAGGATAACGGCGAAAATCATCATAATCATCAGGCGGCCAACGGAAATGGGACAGGGCCGGTAGCTAAGCCTAAAAGTAATGCCGATTTCAAAGCCATGTTTCTCACCCCTGGAAAAGGAAGGGATGGCGCCGAAAAGGATAAGGAGGGTGGTGTCACAAACGGTGTAGGCCGGACTTAGGATGACCAAATGAATATTTACGTTTTTTCAACTTTTTTTTCTTTTCCTTTTGAGGTGGAACAAAAAGATAACAATCTCGAAGCATGATAAAATGCCGAGTTATTACGATACGATTTGAAGGACGCGGAGGTGATGGTGGTGATGGTGGTGATGGTAAAAGGGGTGAAAATGGATGAAGCATATTTGCTGTTTTCCCTGTTTCCTTTTCCTTTCATCCTTCGGCGTGGTGTGGTGGGAAAGATAGATTGATCGATCCGAAATAACGATGGTTTCGATTCGATCTAATCTAACTACACAAGTAGTTGACATTCCCCTTCCTCACTTCCTTCCTTCCTTCCTTCCTTGATACCCCAGGCATTAAAGAATCTTTTTTTTTTTTTTTTACAATTAATTATCAACCATGACGTTAGGTTGTGAGCAAGTACCTAGTAGTAGTAGTAGTAGTAGTAGTAGTAGTAGTAGTACCACCTAGTATGCGAGAGAAAGAAATATCTCAAGAAAAAAGGGGGGAAAACGAATTAAAGTCTCAAGTTATGTAGGAAGACACAGGACAGAAAGAAACAGAAACAGAAAAACTGACAGTGAGAGAGGCGAAAAAAAGTAAAGGGGTATATAAATGGAAATGGGACGACAAGGACAAGGAGGCAAGGCAAGGCAAGGCATTTTGAATCGGATTAGGTATGACACATTCATGGCATCAATCATCAGTCATCAACATTATTATTATTAGGCATGTCAATTAATCGATTAATTGATCAATCAATCAATCAATCAATCAACCAACCATGAATTAATCACATCATTGGGTTTGCTGCTTGGGTTTTCGTATGTAGGTAGGTACCTATGTATGTATGTAAAAGGGGTGGTTAAGTTTGGTGTTTGCGGTAGGTTGGTTGGTTGGTATTCGTCTATTCATCTAACCTAGTTATTCATTGAGATTAATAATCAATAGGTACCTACCTAGGTAGTTATCTATCACGAAGGACGAACGAGTTTGTTGTCTTTTGCTTGGTTGCTCGCCTACTTTGGCTTGTTTCTTAGAGTACCTAGGTAGGTATGTTGTCTTATGTTACGTTATAGACTTATGTTTTGATCATCATACTTTGATGTTTGCACATGTAAATATCTAGGTTAGGTATATATGTAGGTACACCTATATTTGCATTTCAGGGGGCTAATATGGATGTAGATACTTGAATATGCATATCTATTGGTCTATTTGCTCGTTATGTGAGTAGCTGACCTGCTAAGTAGTTCCTAACCATCCGTCTTCGATCCTTTATTTTCAGAAGAAGCGTAGCCAAAAATCCTGGGGTTTGTTATCACTTGTCTTCATAGATATGAATTGTGACGTGTGAAGTGGGTGTTTTTTTTATAGCTATCCGGTGGGGATCAGGGTATGCGTAGGTTGGTAGCAAATATATGTGGTATAGACAAAGGCGATACCTTTCGACTCTCGTCCATCTCTATCCTCTCCTCATAGCGATGCTAAAGGTTGCCGCCATCTGTAAATCAGTTACCGCCAACGCCCCGGTATTCGAACCTCATGGAAGTAGCCAAGACAGCACTCTAGCAACTTATTCCAACGGACCAAGTTATCCCACATAATGCGTCGTGAGGCTCTTGCTCTTGTGAAAGCCACTCTCCTTTTTACCCCTGAACTTATTGCGTACCTACCCAGGTACGTATTCACCCCATCAAACCTTAGTAGCACGATACCTGGGGTTCCAGGCTTGTGAGTGTACAGCTAAGGTATCCTAAGCCTTGTTTGCTGCAAAGTCCTGGCTGAAGACACGCTGCCAGGAGTCAAGCCATTTCTCCTGTTGCGCAGTAGGTAACTTGCCAGGCATTCGGAAGGACCGCGTGAGCAGGTCGCGTAGCCTCGAACGTAGGGCCTTAATCACAAGCATCGTCTTCCAGTCCGGTACGCTGAACCGCGCGCGGTTGCCATCAAGAACGATGACGCCTGCATACATCTGTTTGGTTGGTTGGTGGTTAGTACGTGTATCTAACAAACAAGAATGGTATCACTTACATCGACGCGCACGTCACCGCACAGCAAGGCGATGGCAAAGTTCTCGGCGGCCGTGGTCTCGTGGGCATTTAAGAACCTATAATGCCTCGTTAGTCTCGATATCTTGGCAAATTGACCAATGATTCATTTTTACTTACTGTTTGGACTGCATAATATGGTAATATGACAGCCACTTGAGTTCCATGCGCCCCTTGTTGACGCTTGACGGATGTAGGCTGATGGTCTGGTTATTTCCGACATTGCGGAAGCCCTTACCCTCGCGTACAAGAAGTTTCGGATAGAAACTCCATGCGATAACCGATGTTGCGATTATATCATTGTCGCTATTGATATTGACGCGCTGGGGCAAATCATAGAACTGCCGTCGCCGATTAGAGTACCGGAGGCGGTGGAGCGTGCGTCGTTCCTCTTCCGTGAGCTGTAGGAAGCCCGAATCTGCAAGAGCGACGAGGAGCTGGCCCTTGAGGTCTTCGATGTTGGAGAGTGTCTGTTGGGATAAGAAGTTCTTTTTGCAGTATTGGAAATCACCGTTGGATGTCTGACACACTTTCTTCCAGCCTAAGTAAGCGTTGTATACAGTCAATAGATCCGAGTCGCCCCTCTTGAAAGCCTTTCGCGCCTGATCCGCCTGACTCCTTTGACCAAACGGTGCCGTAAAGGGTGATTTGGATGACAGAATTGCTGCTACGGTTATGGCCATGTCCAGGCACTTGAAAATCGTGCCTTGGAGAATCAACTTTCCTAGGAACACGTCAAGAGGTAGTCTTGCAAGTTGGTGGCCTAATGGAGTCAGCTCTTCCGTGTTCGTAAGAGCTCGCACGTCAATAAGAGCATCGATAGCTCGACGCATGTTCTTGGCAGACGGCGCATCAAGTGCTTCTCCCAGAGTCTCTTCGATGCCGCCAATTTTGCAGATCTTGACACGGATTGCGAGGTCCTGTAATGATAACCGTAACATCTCTGGCGTCTGCTGATCGCTCATAAGTTGGTCGTGGCGATATTTCGTAAACAGGTGAAAGCAGAGGCCATTTTGAACACGGCCGGCACGACCGCGTCGCTGTTTAGCATTCGCTCTTGAGATGAATGTGTCGATGAGGCGCGACAGCTGCCTCCTCTCATCAAATCTCATTTCGCGATGTTTTCCGGTATCGATGACGCACGTCACATCTGGAATGGTAATTCCCGTCTCTGCAATGTTTGTAGCCAGCACAATCTTCCTCACTCCTTCCGGTGGCACAAGGAAGGCGTGCTCCTGATCCTCAGTAGCTATAGTGGAATGCAAGGGGTAGATCTCCCAAGCTCTCTGAAAAAATGGCTCGCCAAGTAGGGAGTCGTTCAATGTCCTGATTTCAGCAATACCCGGAAGAAATACCAAAATTGCTTTACTATAATCCTGATAGGCTGGATCAACAGATATTCGCCCGATCAATTGCACAATAAGATCGTAGTCGATCTGATACTCATCTAATTGTGATAGGGTATTCCGGGTTCTGGCCGAGTATTGCCGCAACTCTTTAGCAGCAACCGTGGTCGAGCTGGAATCCGTGGCATCTATTTCAGCTGGATCATCGTCCAAGTCTGTCATTTTCTCGTGGCTGATTTGACTAGGAACGTAGCCGGTAAGCTCAAGGGCGTCCTCCAAGTACTTGACCTCCACCGGGAATGTACGGCCGGGTACATTTAGGACGGGGGCACGGCCTAGGTAGTTGGAAAACCTTTCTGCATCCACAGTCGCTGACATGAGGATTACCTTGAGGTCCTTTCTACGTAGAAGGAGCTTTTTGAGCACAATGAGCAGGAAATCGGAATCGATTGAGCGCTCATGAACTTCGTCAAGCACAAGGTGGGTGATTTCGCGAAGTTCGTTGGATCCCTCAAGCATCCTCATCACAATACCGGTAGTGGCATATACAAGCCTGGTCTCCTTTGACGTATTGGCCTCGAGACGGATGGAGTATCCCACGAGGGATCTTGAAGTGCCGATGTCACCCCTTCCTTCACCTAGCTCTTCACTAACACGACGAGCTAACGAGATGGCCGATATTCGTCGAGGTTCTGTGCAGTATATTTTGCACGGTCGGCCTTGAGATAACTGATGTTCCAAAAGGAATGATGGCACCTGAGTACTCTTACCACTATGTGACTTAGTTAGCTAGGTTGCATACCGCCCCCTTTGAGGGGCCACGTGATTTTCTTACCATCCTGTCTCTCCGCAAACAATGACGACTTGCTCACGCTCGACAGCGCTGATGACTTGATCCCTAAAATGCCACATAGGGAGTTGCATTCGAAATCGCTGAGGAAAGTTAGTTGAAATTGCGCATTGAAATGCCTGGGAAGTACTGACCAGCATCGATTGAAACCTGGACGTGCTTGACTTATCAGCCCATATCTTTTGGTAATATTCTGGATCCAACGCATTCGCGTTCCCTCTATCGATTGCAGACTCGTCTCCTGTTTCATTTGTATTGCGTTGGGAGGCGCGCCCCCTAAAAGCACCTCGAAGAAGGACGCCATCCTCGAGTTCTTGATCCTGTTTCTCTCGAACTATGACGCGAATGTCTCTGATAGCAGCTCGATCCGCAGCATCCGTCTGATTCTTCTTTTCCTCTGCGAGTTCCGACCAGAACTCTCTCCATACAGCGGGTAGTCTTAGGAAGACCTTTTCCTCTTTTGTAAATCCAAATATGACAAAAAGTGCCAACGTAGCGATATATGCCTCGGACTGCTTGGTATCGGGAGTTGCGACTGTATTCATTTGGAAGACGAATTGCTGAGGTGTTATGGCACTCTCTATGGATGGAAAGTTAGGAACGGTGATAAGTTCTTGTGATTTGGACCATTGTATATATATTAAGTGACGCTTAGAGTATGCAGTCTCTGATACAGCCTTATATATGATCTTGACAGCAGAATCCCTAATAACGAAATTAGTGGCCGATATGCGAAAGAAAGAAGGCGAAAGAAAAAGGGGGAAGATTCCCCAGGGATGAAAATTTTGAAATACCTTGATCGGCAAGCTTCTTCCAAAACCCGCGTTGGGTTAATGCCAGTCCACTTGCCAAAATCACGAATAGTGATCTTGACTCCATCCGCTCCATTAATGACGGTACTGGTCTTGCCCGTCAATGCATCGGTCTCTTGAGTAGGGAGACTTGCGAATAGATCAGAAAGAGCTTGATCGTCCTCGTCGTCATCTTGCTGCAATATTTCGGCAGCAATGCGCTCAGCTTCTTTAGCAATATCGTCATCGTCAGACTGTGCCTCCTGAGCTATATCTTCCTTTTCCTTTGCTTCCTCCTCGGCTTGTTTCTTCTTGGCTGCGAACTCCTTCTCCAATTCGATTCGATTAGTTCGCCACTGCTGTTCTGCGGCGAACTTGTCGAACAAGACGTCCTGCTCGATCTTGTCGATTTTCGCTAGTAGTTTGGCTTCCTCTAAATCATCGCCTGATAGTTCGGTGGGCGCATTCTTCGTACCATTCGAAGTAGACTTTTTAGTAGACTTGCCTTTTATGAGGTCTTGTTTCGGTCTTTGCAACTGAAATAGTTTGGCCTTAGTCTCGAGGTATGCTGGAATTAAATCATCAGGTTCGATATCCTCGTGACAGACAATAACTTTCTTAGGAGCAGCCATTTTAGAACTCGCCGAACCCTTCTTGGGTTTCTGTGCACCGTTGATGTCCAGGAGACGGGGCGTGCTCGCCCCCGAGGGGATGGGGCTGTCTAATGGTGTATCTACCTGCGATTTGGCAGTTCTTCCTCTGTAGTCATAATCACGAAGCTCTTCCCGGGTGCATTCGCGAGCTAGCCAGTCCAGAGCTTCTTCCAGGCCCCAGATGCTGTCCTTGCTTGTACCGTTGATACTAGAAGCGATATCCAGCACATACTGCAGCAAAGCTTTGATCTTCTCTTCAGAAAACCCAAGGCTGATCAGGGTCTGCTGCAGGGTCCATAACCGAATCACCATGTCTTCTTCCGAAGACAGCTTTCCATTGCTAGCATTACTACTATTGATAGTTGTCTCTCCGGCGATGGATGATGTGCCAAAACGACTCTCGGCCTGGATTAAATCCAATATATGGTCCATAAGCTCCTGGGGTAACCATTTTCTCGTATTTAGGGATTCGGCTTGTCCGCGAAGTAAGCGACGATCAGTCTCGAGCCTGTTCTTCTGACGCTGAGCGTCTCTCTTGACTTTTTGGGCATGTTTTTCAACTAGAAGCTGTAGCTCTGACTCTTCTAGCCGCCTCTCAAATTCTTCTGGAGTTATTTCTTCTTTCTTTTGGGAATTATTCGTTGCATCGGTGGGATTAGAAATAGATGGTGGGGTATTTGTATTGCGAGATGACGATGTTGGAGGGGCATCAAGCTTCCCTTTATCAGTAGCGGTTGGCACCGGTTCGTTGGTGATTTCCGCCCGTGGTTTCGAGGCGATCGACGTCGTAGCGAATCCTCGGGCCGGATTGGCCGTGGGCTTGGTCTTCTTTTTCTTTGGCGCCATCGTAAATATAGTAAATAGTAAAGAGTGAAAAAGAAGCTAGAGAAGAGCTGGAGGGAGCTGGAAAGATAGGTATTTGCGCGAAAATAGCAAACCAACGGATGCCAAAAAGCTCGAAATGGAAAATAAAAAAAGTTGTCACAAGAAACCTTGTCTTAAAAAGGTGTAATTCTAACTAACTATTTAGTTAAGTGCCACAGCATCATAGTTGGCTAGTGAGGGCGCTGTGGGGGGGCAAGGGTTTAGGGGTGTTGTAAAGGCGTGTCGGAGTGTTAGGAAGTAGTTAGGGGTATAGGGCGGGGTGCGCATCACTCGGGTAAGATCTAGTTATCCAGGATGCAAGTTTTCTTAAGGTTCTCTCGATTTGGTAATTGTACTACTACATGTAGTAGTAGCACTGGAGGTGTTCAATGTTAGTTAGGTGGCAGCTGCAAAAAATTAGGTAAATTAACCTTAGTGCCTCAGGTAGTACCTAGTAGTACCTGATAGGTACAAACATATGTACCTACCTTGACGGTCTTGACTCATTCGCCGTTGAATTCAATGTTGCAGAAAGTACTAGGTTAACCTAGTTACTAGTAGTACATACATACAACAGCTGTTGCCGATAAGATAAGAATTCGACACCCCACCGATTATTTTCAACCCACCAAGCATCGTATAACCATAACCCACCTAGTCAAGTATATATAATCCGAAGAAGCAAGAGTGTCGAGAAGTTGTCGCAAACGAGATACCAAAGGCAAAAAACTAGCAAAACTGAATTTGGGAAAGGCCTATAGAGCTTCCCGGAACCACAATCGTTTTCTGTCGCTCACCTATGATGTCAATAAATCTACCATCCGACCACCAAAATGACTGAAGTGGCTGCTGCGAATGGTGCCTCGAAATCAGGCATCGACTTTCCTTTAGCCAAAGCCGCTCTCTTTTCCTCTTCTACCAAGACTCGCATAGCCCAACTACGGACTATAGAAGAAAAGTTGAGGGAAAAGAGTAAGAATCATTCTTGAGAACGTTGTATGTAGCAAAACTTGTGTGTACTGACTTAGAATCAATTCATGTATTAGTTATCGACCAGTCTTCAGTTCCAACAGTATTGCAACTACTCTTCGATACCCACCGTTTCTACGATGACAGACCTTCTCGAAGAGCAGCAGAGTCTTGTCTTACCTCTATATTTACCACAACTACCGATGCTAAAATCCTAGCACCCTTTATTTCTTCTTTGCGACAGGAATCGCAGAAACCTGGCATTGCTTCTAGGAGCGCTTTTGTATTGGTTGAATGGTGCTCTCTTCTATTACAAGCATTAGGGGGCACTCCCTTATGGGATGAATTTGGGTTGGAAATCATTCAAGCTGACGCTGCCGTCCTCGAAAAGTGTCTTCAATCTACAACCAGACCGAGCGTCGCCCAGTCGGCCTTGATCGTGACTCGTCGTGGTCTGCGTGCAGCGTTCTGGCGGAACGGATTTCGAGAAAAGGTTATCCTGGATGCAGTACAGGCCCTTACAACTAAGGGAACTCAGCCAACTTCGAGAAATGCCATCATACTAGGCGTAATCGCTGGAGTATGTCATCGCCATGCTCAAGCTAAGGACGTCTTGTCCACCAAGAAGTCGGAATATTTCTCGTTTTTTGCCAGGGAGTTGATAGGATCTCGCACACCTGTTCCTCCTCATATCGCTTCTGGTCTGCGGGACTTTTTCTCCGACTTTGTTACTCTAGAAGACCTCAATAAAGACGTCATACCACCTATCGAGAAAGGCCTTCTGAGAGCCCCTGAGGTAGTCATAGACCTACTAGCATCACTACTTCGTGTTCTTCCAAAGAACCTGGATCTTTCTCAGGCATTAAACGGACATCTTCTGAAGCCTTTGCTATCCAATGCGAAATCCAGCAATGCGGCTATTCGCAAAGGGGTGTTGATAGCATTTAAAGAGACAGTTAGTCGCAGTCACGATGCGAAAATAACGGAGCAGGTTGCCGACGAGGTTTTGAATCCGCTCAAGGCCGGAAAGATAGCTTCTGCAGACCAGCGTATTCTCCATTCTCACATGCTAGAAAATATTCCTCTGTCCAGTTCAATTGCAACCAAGATAGCTAATGGCATCCCCCCTGTCGCGGTCAAAGAAGGGAACGAAGGGGCGCTCGGGGCAGAAATCTCTATGATAGGCAGAGCAGTTTCTTATTTACTAAACGACGCCATCGATCTGCCAAAGCCTGTGGTAGACGCATTCGTGAAAGGTCTGGGAGAAAAGAAGATTCCTTCACGTAGGCTTTGGCTACTTTGTGTAGGAACAGTCTTGACCCCTTTTACCAAGGAATTTACCAACGAGTCTCATTCTATTCCAGCAAATGTGGCCAAGTTCGCTGAGGTTATTACGGGTCCCCTAACTGACACCTGGGCTGAGATCATAAAAAATCCTGCTGCAGCGACCCAGAGCGGCTTGATCGTGGGAGCATATGTCTTTTCCACATTGTCTTTACAAGTTTTGCCTAAAATCGACAATCCCTCGGTGAAGGCAGTACTCAAAAAGACGGCTGTTTCGAAAGAGTGTCTTGTGGCTGATCCTAAGCCTTCGTTTCTTCTCAATCATCGTGTATACAGCCGACTCACTTCAGAGGACGATATCAGATGGTTTCTACGAGCGCTCTCAGCTATCTATGATGATGTATCAAAAGCTCCCAAAAACGTTCAGGTAGTCTGGGCTCAGGCTCTTATTTACCTTGCATCTTCCACCAACGTTGCCCCTCAGATCCGCAAGGAGACTTGTGAGACCATATCAAGGCTATACGTCCGAGATTTCGAGTTCTCTGGGATTCTTATCGACGGTCTGTGGCAGTGGGTTGAATCTTCGCACACGGAAGACAAAGACAGCATAGCAGCTAGTGCCAAATTTGAGAACGCTCATCTACACCTTGTTCTTCGGTCAATATGTTTAAACAGCGACGAGTTCAAGGAACTAGGCGCTGAGAGATCAGAGGAAAATCTGACGAAACAAATGTGTTTACTTCTTGTAATCGCCCGCAACGACCTAATACCGAGAGCAAATTGGATAGATCTCTGCCTCCGGGTTGGTCTCGACCCTGGAAGCCTTGCACAAAGGCACGAGGGAGAGCTGATACAGCAGATTATAGACAAGACAGAATTTAGCCAAAAGGTCAATGCAATCAAGGTTGCTGCCTACAACGCGGCCGCGGATCTTGCGTTCGTGGCACCGGACACCGTAACGCCAAGGATAATTGAACTCATCCGAGCCGATTTAGCGACGGAACCCCTCAACGAGGTTGGCCCAGTCGAGGCCGCCATATTTCGAACACCGGAGGGCACCGCATGCATCGACGTTCTTGCGAAGAAACAAACTCTCCCTAATAAGAATACCAAAGATTACGATACGCTGAAGTGGGAAGAAGAACTTAGGAGCCAATTAGCACAAAAAAAGGGGCAACAGAGAAAGCTTACTGCCGATGAACAAGCTAAGGTGAACGCTCAACTTAAGAAAGAGTCCGAGATTCGAGGATCAATACAACAACTAGAGTCACGTCTTGTACGTGGTTTTGGTATTATACGGAGTCTTGTGAATACTCCACCAACTGAGCCGAATCTATGGATTGGGCCCTCGATGAGCGCCCTACTGGGTGCTCTTGAAGCTGGTGCGGGCCTCATCACCGGCGATGCTGGACCTACAGCTTATCTAGCATGTTCTGACCGTGTTACACCTCGGTTGGGGCCAAATCGCCCCTTTATTGGTATCGCTACGCTACGCGCCCTTGGGATAACTTCTCTCCCAGAAAACCTGACCGAAGAAGGCTTAGAGGAACTCATAACTAGAATTCTCTACCGTCTACGCTTCGCAGGAGAGCAGCGGCCTTTTGATGCCGTTTCTGTCATATATATCCTGTCCTTGGTATTTGTAATTCTGCGAACAGGCGGTATAGGTGGCGGCAGCGATGAACAAGATGCTCAATTGGTTTTAGCCATCGAGTTCCTCTCATTTCATACACATGTATGTGCCGATGAGAGCATTCCGCGTGCCGACTTGCTCTCTATTCTGATTGTATCCATGCAAAAATACAATCAACATTACAAGATCATCAAAGACTGTTTTTCAGACATGGTTCGTTGTGTCGCCCCAAACATAAGCGCAGATGAGATAGCTGTACTCGCAAAGGGTACAATTGTTCCCCAGTCATCTGTACGCGAAACGGTATTGCAATCGATCAGCGCTGAGGTGGATATGAGCGATCTCGACTTCTCGGAAGAGATTTGGATCGCTTGCCACGACGACATCCCTGAAAATGTTGAACTTGGAAGCGATATATGGGAGGAAAGTGGTTTCAAGCTTTCTAAAGACGTACCTTTTAAGATGCTTCCATACCTAGAGAGCAAGGACGTTCAGCTTCGGAGAGCTACCGCGCGTGCCCTAGCCGAGGCATGCAAAGCCTACCCAGCAACTATCGAGGACGTGCTTGCAAGACTTCGACCTTCATATGCTGAATTTGCCAAGCCTCGAGTTCCTCAGCTGGATGCATATGGAATGCCCAAAAAGACGGACCTCTCGGATCCTTGGGAGGCACGACATGGTATTGGGGCCGCTTTCAAAGAGCTCGCTGCCCATTTGCAAAAGTCTCAGATCGATGAATTCTTCAACTTCCTCATTGAGGGAGGCCCTCTAGGCGACAAAAATGCTGTAGTCCGCAGCGAGATGCTCGAGGCAGCACTCGTGGTCATTGATCTTCACGGTAGGGCATTCGTGGATAAGCTCATGAAAACATTTGAGCGCACCCTCGGTGCCCCCGACCAGGGCTCGGAAGCGGCTGATCGTGTCAATGAAGCTGTTATAGTCATGTACGGTGCCCTAGCAAGACATCTAAAACCGGGTGACGCAAAGATTCCTGTCGTATTGGAAAGACTCCTTACTACCTTGAGCACGCCATCTGAAGCTGTGCAATATGCGGTGGCGGAATGTCTACCTGCCTTGGTGCGAACTTGCAGTGACAAGTCATCCAAATATTTTGACCAATTGATCGATACGCTCCTGAATTCGAAAAAGTATGCCGAGAAGCGAGGCGCTGCGTACGGATTAGCCGGCTTAATCCAAGGAAGAGGTATCTTGGTATTACGAGAGTACCGCATCCTCATCACGCTGAAGAGCGCGACCGAGAACAGAAAGGAAACCCAACAACGCGAAGGTGCTTTCCTTGCGTTTGAACTCTTTGCTATAATTCTCGGCCGTCTATTCGAACCGTACGTCATCCAGATCGTACCTCAGCTTCTAGCCGGGTTTGGCGACAGCAACGCGGATGTGAGAGATGCATGTTTGGCGGCAGCCAAAGCCTGCTTTGCAAAGCTCAGTTCATATGGTGTCAAGCATATCCTGCCAACTCTACTCAACGGCCTTGACGACGATCAATGGCGTAGCAAACGTGGTGCCTGTGAACTCCTCGGTGCTATGGCGTACCTAGACCCGCGACAACTCGCGCAAAGTTTGCCAGAAATCATACCACCCCTTACTGGTGTTTTGAACGACAGTCATAAGGAGGTGCGCGCGGCGGCTAACAAGAGCCTGAAGCGCTTCGGCGAGGTCATCGAGAATCCCGAGGTGAAGAGCTTAGTCGATATTCTGCTGAAGGCTCTGAGTGACCCAACCAAGTACACCGACGACGCATTGGATGCGCTCATCAAGGTACAGTTCGTTCATTATCTCGATGCGCCTTCGTTGGCCCTCGTCACTAGGATTCTTCAGCGCGGCTTGGGAGACAGATCTAATACCAAGCGCAAGGCTTCCCAAGTCATTGGAAGTCTTGCTCATTTGACCGAGCGGAAAGACCTCATCGCACATTTACCAGTGCTTGTCTCAGGTCTCAAAATGGCAGCCGTTGATCCTGTACCGACGACACGAGCAACAGCCTCTCGTGCCCTGGGCTCGTTGGTCGAGAAGCTCGGCGAGGATGCCCTACCGGATCTCATTCCTGGACTTATGCAAACTCTCAAATCGGATACGGGTGCCGGGGATCGTCTTGGTTCTGCCCAAGCTCTCAGCGAGGTTTTGGCCGGATTGGGTACCACGAGATTGGAAGAGACTTTACCTACCATTTTGCAGAACGTGGAATCATCCAAGGCCGTTGTCAGAGAAGGCTTCATGTCTCTATTCATCTTCTTGCCAGTCTGCTTCGGCAACAGTTTTGCTAGCTACCTTGGAAGAATTATCCCCCCTATTCTTGCCGGTCTTGCGGATGATGTCGAATCGATACGCGAGACTGCTTTGCGAGCTGGTCGGTTATTAGTCAAGAATTTTGCTGCCAGAGCCGTAGACCTATTACTCCCTGAGCTAGAGCGCGGCTTGGCAGACGACAATTATAGGATCCGATTGAGTTCGGTCGAACTTGTCGGCGATCTTCTCTTCAATCTGACAGGCATTAGTGGAAAGTCTGATGCAGAAGAAGACGAGGAAGAGAACGCCAAGGAAGCAGGAGCATCGCTTCGCGAAGTACTGGGAGAAGAGAAGCGCAACAAGATTCTGTCTGCTTTGTACATATGCCGTTGCGATACTGCCAATGCCGTTCGTTCGGCTGCTGTAGCCGTATGGAAGGCATTGGTCGCCACACCAAGAACGTTGAAGGAGCTCACCCCTACTCTCACTCAACTCATCATCCGCCGCCTGGGTAGTTCAAATATGGAACACAAGGTGATTGCAAGTAACGCCCTAGGAGAACTGATTCGAAAGGCTGGCGATGGTGTCCTGTCAAGTTTGCTTCCGACGCTTGAGGAAGGACTCCAGACTTCGATGGACACGAACGCCAGACAAGGTATATGCCTCGCATTGAAGGAGCTCATTGCGTCTGCATCTGAAGAGGCTCTCGAAGATCACGAGAAAACACTTATTTCCGTTGTGCGGACTGCGCTCACAGACTCCGATGAAGAAGTTAGAGAAGCTGCGGCTGAAGCTTTCGACTCGTTACAGCAGATCATTGGCAAACGCGCTATCGACCAAGTGCTTCCATTCCTCCTTAACCTCTTGCGCGCCGAGGACGAAGCAGATAACGCCTTGTCTGCCCTCCTGACGCTCCTTACCGAGACCACTAGGTCTAACATTATCCTACCAAATCTTATCCCGACCTTGATAGCATCTCCAATTTCAGTCTTCAATGCCAAAGCGCTGGCGTCTCTGTCTCGAGTAGCCGGTACTGCCATGAACCGTCGCCTACCAAACATTATCAATTCTCTCATGGATAATATAGTCCATGCCACGGACGAGGAACTTCGTGTTGAACTCGAGAGCGCGTTTGACACGGTCATACAGTCGATAGACGAATATGATGGTCTAAACACCGTTATGAATGTCCTCCTGCAGCTTGTGAAGAACGATGACCACCACAAGCGAGCTGTCACAGCCTTACGGCTTGGGAAGTTCTTCGCCAATTCCACTGTGGACTACTCCCGTTACAACCAAGATATCATCCGTGCCCTCCTGATTTCCTTCGACGACCGAGACAAGGAAGTCGTAAAGGCAGCGTGGACAGCGCTGAGCGAGTTTACCAAGAGACTAAAGAAGGAAGAGATGGAAGCCCTCGTGCAATCTACCAGACAAACACTTTGTCAAGTTGGCGTCCCCGGGGCGAACCTCCCAGGTTTCGAGCTTCCAAAGGGTATCAATGCTGTGCTACCCATCTTCCTCCAGGGTCTCATGAATGGAACTGCGGAGCAACGAACAAGTGCAGCCCTCGCCATATCCGATATCGTTGATAGAACGAGCGAAGCTTCACTTAAGCCTTTTGTCACGCAAATCACTGGACCTCTCATTCGTGTCGTATCCGAGCGATCTACTGACGTCAAGGCGGCTATTCTCCTTACCCTCAATAACTTACTCGAGAAGATGCCGGCAGCCTTAAAGCCCTTCTTGCCCCAACTTCAGCGGACATTTGCAAGAGCACTAGCAGATACTACCAGCGAACTGCTGAGATCACGGGCTGCTAAGGCCTTGGGGACTCTGATCAAATTTACGCCACGCGTGGACCCATTGATTGCGGAGCTAGTCACCGGTTCAAAGACTTCCGACCCAGGTGTTAAGACTGCCATGTTGAAGGCGCTGTATGAGGTCATCAGCAAGGCAGGTGCGAATATGGGTGAAGCGTCACGGGCAGGTGTGCTAGGGTTGATCGACATGGAATCAGACACGATGGATTCTACGATGACGGTGACCAATGCCAAACTTCTCGGTGCACTTATTAAGAATGTGCCCGCTGAAGCTGCAAACGGCTTACTGAAGAATCGCGTGGCAACGACTCACTTCACCAACGCGTCTGTGCTTGCGCTCAACGCAGTTCTAGTAGAATCACCTCAGACGTTGCTAGAAAGTCCATTAGCAGATGACTTGCCTGATTTATTGTGCCAGGGCATGTCGAACAAAAATGTATGTCTCCCCTCCCTAACTAGCTGTTGACGCCCATTGAGTTTGTTCATCCTCCGCTAACCGGTTTATCGTACAGCTATTTGTGGCAGACAACAGTATTCTAGCTACGGGCAAGTATCTCCTTACGGACTCCCCGAAGTCCTTTGAATCTACCAAGCCTATCTTCTCTACACTTGCAACAATCATCAGCCCTGGCAACCCATCCGACTCCCGCCGACTAGCTTTGGTCATAGCACGCACCGTTTCCCGCGCCAACCTAGAAATGGTACGACCGCATCTACCCCTCTTGGCACCACCCGTGTTTGCGTCGGTGCGCGACCCAGTGATCCCCGTCAAACTCGCGGCCGAGGCCGCATTTATAGAGTTGTTTAGCGTCGTAGATGAGGAGGCCAAGGTGTTCGATAAATATATCGGTGGGTCGGCTGGGGCAGAGCTTCCAGCTAACACGAAGAGGAGCATGCAAGACTATTTCAAGCGTGTAGCAGTCAGGTTGGGCAACCAGGCTAGGGAGAGGAGAGAAGCGGAGGGTGGACAGGGAGGATTGGGACTGAGTAGCGATGAACTGGAAGACGAAAAGGAGATTTGGAGCGTTGGGGCAGTAGAACTTGGTGGCGGGGTGTTTGCACAAGATTAGGTTCGCATATCTGGATGAAAGGATGGATGAGCATGAAGTGGATAAGGGAAAGCTCTTAAGGAGGGAAGTGTGTAGGAGAGGATGGAATGGGAATGGATGGCATTGTACGTGTGCGTGATAAAAAGTTGATATGAAGGTATGATAGGTAAATCCAGCATTTTCATGGTATCAGTATTATTGGTTTACCCCTTTTCGTCTACCTATCTGCTACTATAGAGTACGCGATAACTATGTCATGTTGGCTTCATGTCATTTTAATAACTTGAAGCTCAAGCTATTAGATGTACCTACCTAGTAGTTATACTTGGGGAGGTACCTACCTATTATTTGTAAACTATCTGCAAATTGAATAACCTCAATTGAAGGATTAAAATGGTGAATGTGGATAGTTAGATGTTGAATAAAATGAAGTTAAAGCACGGACCAAGGTAGTTATATGGAATCATCATTATTATGGATCCGACATAACTAGTTACAATAGATAAAGTTATAGATAACCAATGATAAGGGTCATGTGACTCAATTGCCCTCTCGCTTGGTCTCCAGTCCACAAAATTTAGTTAGGAAGCATTTTTGATTCAAACTAAGAAATTCTCGTTGTGCAAAGGTCAAACTGAGGGGACTAGAAATCCAACTTCAACCCTTCAACCACTCCATACTAACCTCAACAGCAAAGATTCTCGACCATCAACTACGCCCTCGTTCAAGATGTAAGTAAAACAATCTATTATCTATCATATCGTATTGATGGATGTAATACACAAATCTATATCTTTATGATGATCGAGGTCATTTTCATTTCGCATTCGATTTCTTTCCGACCAGCACGCGCGCCTCGAATCAGCGTCATCGAATAATCGCCAATTTACGAACACACAAACACACACATCTACAACAACTACACAAGACCTATTCACCCACAAACATCAAGCTAATTCAATGTTTTTCTTTCTTCAGGGTCAATCTACGCACTCAGAAGCGCCTCGCGGCATCCGTCATTGGATGCGGTCAGCGCAAGATCTGGCTCGACCCCAATGAGGTTAACGAGATCTCCAACGCCAACTCTCGCCAGACCATCCGAAAGCTCGTCAGCGATGGCCTCATCATTCGCAAGCCCGTTACTATGCACTCTCGATCCCGCGCCCGCGAGCTCAACCTTGCCCGACGAGATGGCCGACACCGAGGTTTCGGTAAGCGAAAGGGTACCGCCGATGCTCGCATGCCTCAGTATGTTAATCCCATCATTACCCGATTATCCTCATGCCCCATGCCATCATGGTTGTTGGATGGATGCGAATGGGAAACCTCGAACAAGTAATCAGGCGATGGAATTGAACAGTGGCTAACTTGTACGGATAGACAAGTTCTATGGATGCGACGTCTCCGAGTCCTCCGACGTCTCCTAGTCAAGTACCGTGCCAGCGGAAAGATTGACAAGCACCTTTACCACGAGCTGTACCACTCCAGCAAGGGTAACGCCTTCAAGCACAAGCGAGCATTGGTTGAGCACGTAAGTTGATTGCCTCTCCGTCTATCATGGCTTACGTCATATCATATATCTAAACATTATATCTATAGATCCACCGCGCCAAGGCTGAGAAGGCCCGCGAGCGCGCTCTCCAGGAAGAGATGGACGCCAAGCGACAGAAGAACAAGGCCGCTCGTGAGCGCAAGTTGGAGAGACAGACGGCGAAGCGAAACGCGTTGGCTGGTGAGGAGGAGACGGCATAGAGGGATGACAATAGGATGCGTTGACATATGCGCACGATCTAGCTACGTAGAAGAGCTTGAGGTGTCGTCATATGAACTACCGGAATCTGAGACGGCTGCATTCGGAGTATTTGGTTGGGTCTCTATTTCCTTGCGCCCTTCGGTCGTAATCCTTCCACCGCCGGGCTTTGCATTTGATGGCATTGAAAACGGAATCAATGATCTTGACACCTGTCTTTTCCAGTCTTCTTTTAAGTGAAGCTGCCGTGTTGTGATAATGCCAAATCATTACAACTACCTACTCTTGCACATCCTTGTAACAGGCAGCACAGTATGTAGCATCTTGCATCACAAGACTAACAACCCTAATAAATACTTCGATGAAAAAAATATACGGAGTATCAGCATGAACTAAATACGTAATATAAATGGCAGTCACTCAACTTCAGGACCCCTACTTTTGTTTCTTGGTTCGTATAGAAATAACTACTAGGTAGTAATACATGAGACTTGCTATAGTTATACATCAATGACAGATATACCTTAATCGGTAGATATTTACTCTTCCAGACCTAGGTACTAATTACAAAACATTATAGCAATGATTTCTACCCAATCTAAACTGAGGCAAGGAAATACAAGAAAAGCGATGATAGGGATAGAGAGATGAAAATGACATTATGGAGAACAACAACCACTTTGGATCAGATTGTCTTCACATTGTCCCGTTAAAAGGTGGTGAGATGCCGCCCGGAACATGTCAGCATGCTCCCTACTTGGATTGCCTGACTCTTAACTCTGCTAAAAGAGAAGAGAATAAGAGGAAGCAAGACAAGTGGAAATCCAAATCTGCTGAATTTGAAGCGGAACTCGTCACGTCCAATTTAGTTGTAACGAGAGAAAAAGGAGGGGAAAAAGAAGAGGTGGGTGAAAGTGGGAGGCGTACATTTTGAGTTGTGAGAGTAATGGGGTCACGTGCAGTGAATGCCATAGTTACCCCGCGGTACATAGGTTAATCGGTGGTTAGATATTGTTAGCCCCGCGCTCGGAGGAGTTCAGGCGATTGATTACTTTCCAATTCGTTGGATTTTATGACTTGTATTAGTTACAGTAACTTACAGATAGCACTTTCTAAATTATAAAATTATACAAATGTTATGTACAGTATTGTGTATCTAACGCTATACCATCTTGGCTCATCAGCTAGGGTGAAGCTTTCCGGCTACTAGTACCATGTAAAGTTCACGATAGGCTGATAAGTTAATAATCTTTTCGCCTTAGCTATTGCCTATCAGTCTATCTTTTTGCACAGTAGATACTATGGCTGAGAGAGAAGGAGCAAACAGCATAAGCCGACTTCGCTTACATTAGGAAATTCTAAAATTTTATTTTGAAATAATTTTGCTTTCATCAATCGTTCTCGTACTGGTACCGGATACGATCTTTGTTAAAGACGGAGCCAGTGACGTCTTACCTACCTACCTAGGGTATCTACCACGATAATCCCGAGACCAATCTTTCATCTTCACGACACGCCAATTGACCATAATTGGTTGACCACTCGACAATGTTTCTACCTGCCCTTCGAGGCACCTCGCGTGCGCTTCGCTCATTTTCAAGAATCTCGACACCTGCCACAGCTCAATATATAACAAGAAGAGCACAATCTACCGTCGTAGATGTTCAACAGCAAGTATGTTACCTCTTGGAGATCGCAACTGCGAATTGTGTGATTTAAAGCAAGACACTTGGTAGAGGGGGTTTGCTGACCTGAATCTACTTAGCTACTATCCGCCCATCTACATGAAGCTGATCCAGCCGTGTTCGATATTATCGAGAAGGTATTATCTTTCCACTTCCGCCGCCTCCACGCCTCGGGATATATACCTATGAACCAGCAGACAAAGGCTAGGCCAGAAACATGTATTAACGATATAATAACAGGAGAAAGACCGACAAAAACACTTCATCAACCTGATCCCCTCCGAAAACTTCACATCGCAAGCTGTCCTAGATGCGCTAGGCAGTGTAATGCAAAGTACGACGCAAAGAGATATGCTATTAACCTCAAGCAAATATGGCTAACCTATAAAATGTAGACAAGTACTCAGAAGGCTATCCTGGAGCAAGATACTATGCTGGCAACGAGTTCATCGACCAATCTGAGAGGCTCTGCCAACAAAGAGCCCTCGAGACGTTTGGCTTAAACGAGAAGGAATGGGGTGTCAATGTTCAGCGTAAGCTTCTATCACAATAAGTCACTCCCTTTGAATATATAACTCGTAACTAACGGGAACTCGTTGCGATGAATAGCGCTCTCCGGAGCCCCCGCAAACCTCTATGTCTACTCTGCCCTGATGGATACCCACGACCGACTCATGGGCTTGGATCTCCCCCATGGTGGCCACCTCTCCCACGGTTATCAAATACCCAACAAAAAGATCTCGGCGGTCTCCAAGTACTTCGAAACCGTCCCATACCGATTGAACGAAGAGACGGGCCTAATTGACTACGAGAAACTTGATGAGCTAGCTCAGATCTATCGACCAAAGATTATTGTTGCTGGCGCCAGTGCCTACGGCAGGTTTATTGACTACAAGTCGATGAAAGATACGTGTGAGAAGGTAAACGCATACTTGGTCGCCGATATTGCGCACATATCAGGAATGGTCGCAGCCAAGGTTATTCCTAACCCATTCAGCTTCGCTGATATCGTAACGACAACGAGCCACAAGAGTCTACGCGGTCCCCGAGGCGCCATGATCTTCTACCGAAAAGGTGTGAGAAAAGTAAACCCCAAGACGAAAGAGGAGATAATGTACAACCTGGAAAACCCCATAAACAGCTCGGTATTCCCGGGCCACCAAGGCGGCCCTCATAATCACACTATCACTGCACTTGCTGTAGCATTGAAGCAGGCACAGACACCTGAGTTCCGAGCTTACCAAGAACGGGTCCTGGCGAATGCGCAGGCCCTCGCGGATCGCCTAGGCAAACCCAAGAGCAGTGGTGGCCTCGGATACACCCTCGTTAGCGGTGGTACAGACAACCATTTAGTCCTCGTCGATTTGAAACCTCAGGGCGTGGACGGCGCTCGAGTCGAGCGTATCCTGGAGTTGGTCGGTGTGGCTAGCAATAAGAATACCGTACCCGGAGACAAGTCAGCAATGATACCTGGTGGTCTACGCATAGGCACACCGGCGATGACAACGCGCGGTTTCAGCAAGAATGACTTTGTCCGAGTAGCCGACATTATTGACCGCACGGTAACGATCGCAGCACGGGTCGATAAAGCGGCGCGCAAGGCGGCCGAGGATAAGGGCGAAAAGTACAAGCTTAAGTTCTTCTTCAATTATCTTGGCACTGGCGAGGAAGACTCGGAGATTGTGCGTCTGCGCGCAGAGGTCTCTGACTGGGTGGGAACGTACCCGTTACCCTGGGATGAGAAGCAATGACGTCGAGGTGCATAGCTGAGAATGTAGTCATGACGGCTCAACACTCCCGTACAAGACAGCATTCATGCAGGATGGTCGAATCCGAAGTGCAGTTATATAAAGGTCAATTATTTTAAGGGGGTGTGGTTACCCCCTTATTTTTAGGAATCCCATGTGATACAGCGGTTGGGTTCATCCCCTCCCTGGTTATCAAAAAAGGGGCGACTTGACATGAGCGACGTGGACACCTAGGAACAAATGCAAGAAGGTGACATTGGGGGCGAGAGGGTTTTTCGAACGGCTTCTGTATACCAAAGCAAAGAGAGGATGCATGGAGTGAATCCCTTTGGGTGGGTTTCGTGATGGCCTCATTTGCATCATTTGGTTTCAACAACACCAATCTTATCAGTTTAACCTTGCAGATCATGACTCGCTATGATCGCGAGTGGCATGGGCGTGGCGGGTACGCCGTGTGAAGATATGGGTAGACTATAGGATCAGATAGTCGGACAGTTTTTTATTGAATTAATGGTAAATACTGACTGCAAAGTATCTCGCTGTTTTTGTCGCGGGGATTTCTATCTACGTACCTACTACTTATTATACAACAGTGCTGCCTACGTAGGTAAGGTACCTATCAATAGTTCGTCTAAGTGAAGGATTTGTTTTATTCGCAAAATGGAAAAAAACGAATAAAAATAAACAGCTCCAAGCGACATGATGCAACCATCAGTGAAAGGGTTTGCATTTGTGCCTACCTAAGCTAGGTCATCGAGTTTGCTTGTGATACGGCGAGATGGTATGAGATGGGAGAGGAGAAATATGAGGTCATCACGGTAACCTGCTGGGCTTTCTGATAGGTAGGTGCGAGATAGGCATATAGGTATGTACGTAGATTAGAAGGGGAGGGGGACACTGCAGATGTTGTGCGATGCTGTGATGATTGATGCTTTGATGCTTTGATGTACATATTTAGGTTAGGTAGGTAGGTATGTAGCTAATCTGCCGGTTTACTTGGGGCAGGGAGGCTGGTAGGTAGGTAGGTAGGTGGTTTTCTACATAGGTACGTGTCTAACCTACATACTACATTCATGTGATGAGGGGAGGAAGGAATGAATGAAGAGGTTGAAGAGAGGATTGGCGAAAAGGAGAGCAGGAGGTGAAGTCAAGCCAAGTCAAGTCAAGTTGATCGGACGGAAGCGGGCGGTGGTGGATGTGGTTGTGGCAGAAAGTCTGGTTCCGAGGTTAATGCTAATTATTATGTGCCTAGGTTAGGTAGGGTAGGTAGGTGGTTATTAACGCTAGGTTCGAAAGTCCAGCGGTGAGAGGAACGTTGAAGGGAGGGAGCATTGTGTAGGTAGGTAGACTGTATGTATGGTTCCGAGGACGTAGATGTTATGTAGGTAGGTAAGGTGGCTGCTGTAAGGAAAGCAGGGATAAGGATACATGTAGAAGATTTGAGATTGTTGCTGATTAGGTAGGTAGGTAGGTAGGCTGGTTCCCGTGTTTACGATTGCCTTGCTTAGAAGGGCTTATGGAATAACTACTTCCATTATAATAAGGAAATATGTAGGAGATAGGAATGCATACCTACCTACATAGTTACCTACATACATATATGTCGTCGCTGGAAGGTAGTATACTAACAACACATGTAGGTATGCAACTCGGAAAGTATGTACGTATTCGCAGTCAGTGGAGAAAATGCATCCGTACAAACAGATTTCTACCGGTAAGCATCTTACCACCAACGTAATAACGAGATAAATGGATTTCGTTGTTGTTTAAATTAGTGGTTCCCCATATTGATGGTGATGAAATGTTACGGTTCACTTGTCATCAATGGTTGCTGTCGCAGTCGCTGTTACGTCGTCGCCGGATATCGTACCGAACTCGAACTGCACATGTAGGGTTTTTTTTTGGTTTTTTTTTTTTTTTTTTTTTTTTTTTCACGTATGGATGGATACAGTACTTGTTGGCCTCTCGATAGTTTGGTTCCGACAAAAGCGAGAGGATGAATCCGTAGGTATACAGCATTCTCCATTTTTATAAATCTATGTACTGTAGGTATGGCTGGCTTACCATATGTATGACAGGGTGGGAAGAGGAGATGTCGTTGAAATTGAAATCGAAAAATCCCCGTCCCATCGATGATGACTCAGAATACGTGTAAGTAATAGTGGATAATAGGCACCTACGATACAATACGGTACAGGATGGATAGGTAGGTACATAGTACGAATGCAGGCAACTAGGAACGGCAAAAGAGTGACGTCTGAGCGGGTAGCCGTCAGGGTAGATCGTCCTATGGTGGTCGTGGGTTGGGTGATTAATTGTGCGTTGAATGGATAGGAAGATGGCGATGGCGATGGCGATGGCGATGGCGATGGCGATGGCGATGGCGATGACTTTCGTCTTAAGCTAAGTATTCCAGGTGTATGGATGTAGGTACGATTTTCCTTTGGAGGAGGGGCGGTGGCGGCTCTGCGGAAAAAGATTTGTGAGATGGGCGAAAATGTGACTTCAAAACGAACTTCACACGATACTTTCTGGAGGTACCTTACCTACTACAGTACCTACATACTTACCTAACGACCTACCTACCGAACTATGATCGACGGTTGGGGTTTAGTTAGACGGCGCGGGGGGAGGAGATGGGCAGATGGGGGAGGGGGGAGGGGGGACCCAAAATGTAAAATTTGGGTACCGTAACGGCCCGCCATGTGGCCTAGAGACCAGGAAAGGATCGTCTTCGTTCGTTGTAGTTAGTTAATAACTAATATGTAACTAACGGTTTCGTAAAGAAGGGGGTCGCCAAGAAAAGATCAACACCTGGATTCTCGTACGAGTTTTGGGATTTCTTGTAGGTTAGCCTGCTAGGCAAGGGAACTATTCGGCTATTGGTATGTACACTATTTAATAGCAACAACCTACCATGGATACAAATACATATTATTACATTGAAGGATTGGAATAAATAATTCAAGGGAGGATACTTGAGTATCGTGTCGCCCTTCTCCGCGTATCAATCCCCTAGACGCTATACCGGATATAGAGCGACTACTGTGACACGGTCGTCATCTAGCAGCAGCCACAAGAGGGTCTTTTTGCTTGGCTCGTAGTAGGATAGGGGTAAGCTTTCACATGTTGTTCGAAAAGATATCAGCCCCCTCTCTCAGTGGACGCTTGACACAACTTCAACTCAGCACTAAATTATCAGAACCAGCCAATGGAACTATATCTGGATTGGCAAGGTCGTCAATTGGAATGGTAAAGAATAGATGATTAAAGAGAGGATATTTATTTCGTATGACTCTGTGTTGCATATGACGAGTCACTGTGACGAGGTCCCTGCGCTTTCTCTACGTTGGGTTGCCTACTTACATACTTACCTTACCTGGTGGTATTCCAGCTCTTGGCTCTTAGGGTGGCAGATAGCATCGGTTTTTCTACAAACGTCACCATGCATGGCATAGTAGCATTTCGCGCCTTTAGGTAGGGGGGGGGGGGGGGGGGGGGGGGGTATTAGTACTTATTACACTAGGCGGCGCGGACGGACTGCTGCACACCTGCGGTGTGAACGCCTTAATGCGGAATAGGATCATTTGTTAGATCTAATGGGAGATTTTAGGGTTTATTACACACTTGTTTTCAGCTTGCCGTCTTTAGTTTACTTTGATGATGTTTTATGATTTATTGCAGATATGGACTTTTCTTTTCAGGTCTTACTCGTGCTTCGAAAAAGGGATGGCGAGTTCTTGATGTGGCGCCTACATAGGTAGTATGTAGGATATATTACCTCCGTCAAGGTCATAGGGCATCCAGTCTACTGGGCTCAGGTCCTTAAGCCAATGATCTTGTATCGATGAGTTTGAATTCGATACCTACCTATGTGCGTATAGTACTAGGTCGTATTTCTACAGACATGTATTGATATTTTACTAGTACTCTTGCGTCCTGGTAGTCTTTGACTCGCAGGGTTCATGCCATACGTAGTAACATTCATTACGTTTCCCCTGAACCGATTCGTGAGTTAGGGAAGTCTATACCAGAGGTATATACAATGTTCAATGTCGAGAGGATATACTTGTTAGTTGCCAATAGCTGAGACAGCTCAGCCACAACTAATAGGTGACCGAGGAATACTAATGCTAGGCTAGAAGGAGGAGGACAGGGAACATCACAGCATTCGAAATTCGAGATTGACACATCTTCACCTAGTACAGTAACCCGCCAAAGTCGGACATTTTCCCAAACGTCTACTTAGCTTAATGCGTCCAATGGCATGGCATCAATATCATGTGCTTTTCCCTCTTACTGCTTACATGACTTCCCTGTTTCGTCCCAACGCTAAAATCAAGTCATTTGTTATAGAACTTGTGGATTATTATATATATATTTCCTCACCAAGATCTACAAACCCTCTTGCATGCTGGAGAGTGGATTCGCGTGTGATGTGAAAAAACGACGGACGGGCAATGTCAATCAACAACCCTAAGCAGTACAAGTCTCAACCCGACGACTTGTTCTCTGGTGGTTCTTTTTCTTTCAAACTGATCAAAACATGGGGAACCATGGGGATACACTAGATTATTGGGTCTGGGGGAGGAGCAAGAATCTCGATTATATTGTGGACGATTTGTGGATTTGCTATGAAGATCCCCCATATCCTGAGGTTTTTGAATACATGGATGTTCCTAATAGTTGAAGTCTCCTAACTAGACGACTAACTAGATACCTGCTTGTTCGTTTCTTCATAGGAGACATTGAAGGATATACCTGGACAGCCTAAGCAGGAGAGAGAGGAGACCACCTGAGTATCCAAGTAAGGAGGCAATCTAGAGAGACAAGAGAAGAAAAGAGAAAAAGGAAAAAAAAACTAAACAAAAAACGTTTCATTCAACTGTTACCCAACCAAGCTGAGATCAGTTCATGTTGACGTTCATGCAACATACTATTCGGATAGAACAGATGTTCCTTTCCGTAATAGCCGCCGTCGTAGCACCGTTCACAGGCTGATTGTCCCGTGCCTTACTCCATATAGATATCCGCAGTTACCTACTATGGTGTATAGGCGTGTAGTATTGTACCTATAATATATCGGCTTATGATACGACTTCAAGCTGCGTGGTGGTGTAAGAATGGATCTCCAGGGGCACTGAACATCTGGGCAAGTTTGTTAATTATCATAGGTATGTACTTAAGGGGGGTGCAACGTTCTATATTATTGAGGGTACGTACCACTTGTAGTAACTAAAGGAGGGGGGCTGCGGGGTGGGGGGGTCAATGCCCATGTGCATAACAATACTACTAGGTAACTAGGTACTAACTAACCTAATGTTGTTGTCGGCCAAAGCATGGCCAATTACAATCGGGCGGAGGCAGGGACTGTCAAAAACGCCGAACAGGCACAAAGACAAAATAAAAAGAAAAATCGTTGAATAAAAAAGATTTAAAAAAGGTGTCCCCACCCAGATATCCACTATTAAATAGCACTTGACGTCAGAGCCTCCACCTCTTGTCCGACTTCTACTCTTCGCGCATCTTCGCTTACCCGCTTAACAATTACATCTACATACCTCAACTCTGGCCATCATCCAATCATTCATCCAAACTATTAAACCTATCCCACCTTATCCATATGTATCTGTACAGTGTTCTTCATCGATCATGATCACTGTACTAGGTAGATAATGTACCACCTCTAACCGCTCTGTCGTACCAGATCTATCTAACTTAGCCGGCAAGATACTTCTCGATGGGCTTCTAAATGATAAGATGGTCTACACCTGTTGACACCACAAAGACACCCAGAAGCCTGGCTACTCGGTCCGATCTATCAGACATCCTTGCATCCACTGGCCCTGCGTGAAGCCTTGCCAGGCTGTGTAACGAAAGGAAGGAACATTATTTCAAGCAGCTGTCTAAGGTTAGGTAGTTGAGGCAGGCTGATACACCAACTTCAAGCCATACAGATTCAGAAGCCATATTCGTGGGTGTATCATATTGCATACCTAAACTCACCTACCCAATCTTGACTCGAGTTTGTAGGTGCGGTGCCATTGCTTCAATCATGAACAATTCTATATGACGGCCCGAGAAAATTTTGCACTGTCGTCGTCATTACCAACCGGCATTGCTTAGGAAAACAGACTTGCACGTGCCTTAACCATCAAATCGAGTTGGCTAAGGTGACAAGCTCTCTTTAGACCGCTATAGAGGCATTAACCATTAGCCCTACCTATGGTAGAATTTCTCACGGCCCTTTAATGCTGTATCACCCAATGGCACCCTCCAGCTTGATTCTATTTGGGGCTACATATCGCTAGGAATTATCCCGATGACATCCTGGTAGACTATCAAGGTAGGCTAACAGGTTTGTCAAAAATTCGAAGGATATTGGGAGACAATGAGAAGCAAAGATGTCGCAACTGATGTTACCAAATCAACATGGAAATCACACTTTTCTAACAACGAGTGGCATCCATTAGAAATAAGACGGAAGCATGATTACATCTTCGTACAGTACAGCTACTTAGGTACATCACAGGAACCAGATATCGATACCTGCAAGCCAGATAGATAGCAACTGGTAGACGCGGCGCTCTGCGGTACGGATCCTATCCCTATTCGGTAACGGCGTCATCCATAACCTGGTAAGGCTAGTATTGGTCCGTCCTGCACACTACGAATACTTGTCGGGTTCTTGATGCTTCCAAGGTGTGACAAGGTCAAAATAGAATAAAGACCCTTGATTCTCGATACTACTGAAGTACATGTGTACAATGGTACTATCACAGGGCTTATCACCTCATTGGCGAGTTCCTCTGCCTGTCAGCCAGTTCAAACATACGCATCTTTGTTACCCTCCTCTCTCAGCTCCCTGCGTGTCGTATGTAGGTAGTCCCTGCAAAAAGAACCCTGAGAAAGTTACGGGCGGATGGCCGAACCCAGTCAAAGACCCCTGAGATCAACGACGGGTGGGTGATGAAAATGCACATAATTTTGGTGTGCTCAGATACACCAGATACACCAGATATAGAATAGACTACATCGACTACACGCTACATACGGTACTGGCATGCATAATACGGCCAACTTCCATACGCCACGGGCTAATACTAGGTAGGTATGTTGCTAGACGCACAAGGCTGACGTTGACTGAAATGTGTTGACTGATAACATACCTTCAGTCTAACCTAACCTATTCGACTTGACATGATGAGGTAAGTATGGTTATTCTTTTCTATTGGGTTTACGCGCTCGGCGACTTAAAATCTAGGTACTGTAGGTACTTTACCCCTAGCAACCTGGTAAGCGATAACCGAATCGAACCGTTCGCATTTTCGATCCTTACATAGTATAACCATATCAGACGCTTCGAAGGCTCATTACACATGCCTAAGTTGGATATACTATATTATTATACGTACATAGATACCTAGCAGTATCCATGGATATGTTGGCCGTTACAGGGTTGTATAAGCCCGGATCCACACAGCAAGCATACTCCCATCCACACATGGCGGCGGTACAACCGACTAACCTAGCAATGTAGCCACACATCATTGTACATGTTAAGTATATCCACTTATTCCTGACTCCCCCTGGGTATTATACGTTGCCGTTGATGTTTATGTTATCTGTTGAATGACGGTATATGGTCACTAATTAGAACCACTCTTCTTTCAATAGTAAAGGTCGTTGATGTGATGTAATGAAATATATATATATATATCCTCTTCAGATTCCTCTACAGGAGGTTTTTCTTTTTTCCTCTCTTCTCTAATTTAACATTTCCAACAGATCTGAAGTTCAAGAACCTCCCCTATCTTGAACAATAAACCACCAACAGAACTCAGCTGAATACGATTTTGGCTGGTACCTATTACGCTTACTACCGCTATCTATTTGCTTTTATATCGCGTGTCGAGTTCGATCCTTACTTTTTTTCACCATGTCTTTGGAACCACCCCAGCAACAGCCCGCCACCTTCCACCGCGGTAGCTTTGCCGACGAGATTGAGACAGCACGGACTGATCTCTCCCGTAAACTACTCCTAGGTGATGACTCTCCTGGTGCCAGCCCCTCCGATTTAGAGACCGCCCCGTCTTTGAGCCCGGCTGTCAGTGCCACATCTTCGACTCCGGAGTCCGATGCGGCCATCTCTCCCATCTCGCCCCCTCTCGACGAGGAGCTCGTTGCAGACAGCTTCGCCTTTGCCTTCGATATCGATGGTGTCCTCGTCCGAGGTGGTCGCCCCATCCCTGAGGCGCTTCAGGCTATGAAGGTCCTGAATGGAGAGAACCAATACGGAATCAAGATGTAAGTATTTATTCAACAAATAATAATAAAAAGTTGGAAATTGCTCACACAAAAACTAGTCCATACATTTTCCTTACCAACGGCGGCGGCAAGACCGAAGCCGAACGATGTGGCGATCTTTCTGGTCAACTCCAAGTTGATATTTCGCCAGCTCAATTCATCTGCGGCCACACTCCCATGTCGGAGATGGCTGACAAATACAACACCGTCCTAGTTGTCGGCGGTGAGGGCGAGAAGTGCCGCACTGTCGCCCAAGGCTACGGCTTCAAGGACGTTGTCACTCCTGGCGACATTATCAAGGCCAACGCTGCCACCACGCCGTTCCGCAAGCTGACAGACGAGGAACACCGAAACTCCAAGGAACGAGATTTCAGCAAGGTAACGATCGAGGCCATCTTCGTCTTTGCCGACTCTCGCGACTGGGCTGGGGACTTGCAAATCATTCTGGATCTGGCCATGTCCAAGGGTGGTCGCATCGGAACCCTATCCGAGACCTTCGACGAGGGCCCGCCGATCTACTTCTCCCACAACGACGTGGTCTGGTCGGCCGCGCACGACAACGTCCGCCTCGGAATGGGTGCCCTGCGAGGAATCGTCGAGTACACATTCAAGGAGGTGACCAAGGGTAAGACCTTGGAGACGCACGCGTTCGGCAAGCCGCAGATTGGGACGTTCGAGTTCGCGACGCGCCTGCTCAAGCGCTGGCGCCGCAACGCGCACCGCCTCAACGCGCCGCCCGACACGGTCTACTTCGTCGGCGACACCCCCGAGAGTGACATCCGGGGCACCAACCAGTACAACGAGAAGGCCGAGAACGACTGGTACAGCATCCTCGTCAAGACGGGCGTCTACCAGGACGGCACAGAGCCGGCCTACAAGCCCCGCGTCACCGTCAACACCGTGCTCGATGCTGTCAACCACGGCATCGAGCGCGAGATGGAGCGCCGCAGGAAGAAGAAGCAGAGCCAGAAGCCCAACCTGGTTCCCATGCCGAAGCTGAGCCTGGAGGAGGCACAGGACTGTGCCGTCTTCAGCCCGATGGAGGAGCGCACGATCGAGCTTACGGCTGCGTAATTGGAATTACGATAAGCCGCAAGTCAACATCCTGTGGAAGTCACATCCTCTCAATCCACATCACGATGATTCTTCTTTTCTACTAGGGAACGACGACCTTTTTATGATACCATTATTACCTACTCTTATATACATATTCTACGTTTCTTTTTCTTCTTTCTTATTACACCACAAAACTCTGCCCGCAGCGCATGGGATCATGCTATAGAGCGAGCATTCATTCTGTCTTCTTCTTTTTCTCTTTTTACTATTTTCTACCCTTTTTTTTTACTTTTTTATATATCTTATCTACACGGGAGGGCATGTAAGAGTGAGTTTGTGTTTGTGTGTTTGGGCTGGATTCTTAATGAACGAGGCATCCATGTTGTGTCCGTTTAGATGATACTGGGGGGAGTTGGATTTTTTTTATTTTTTTCTTTTACTTTGCTGCATTAGCTGGTGTTTATATATAGGGATTGATGTGGATGAATGAATGTTTTAGGTAAATACTTGTTGGAACGTTGAAGAAAAGCTTAGTAGAGCTAATGACTAGGCATCCTTTTAATTCCACCTATGAGTCTTTTAACTTGATTGTGATATTATGATGTAATGATCGATATACAACTATGCTGTTCATCTTTTATTAAAGACGTTAAATTGTGATTTAACCTCGTAAACCGATGATGTTATCGTGAAACTTCACGGGACTTTACCTGCTAGGTAGGTAGTCTTTTGACACCTGCATTTGCCATTTTGGCGTACCCAGGTACCTCCCTCCCTACCTACCTAGTATACCTACATGATACATACATAGGTATATCTATACACAAAGGAGGCCATCGTCACACACCAATCAATCAACGCACGGCCACCACCATGGCGTTGGCACCTACCTATGCACCTACATAGCTTAGGGTAGGTAGGTACCTAGGTAGGTAGGCTACCCTAACTTGAAATAGATACCTACATGTAGTAAATACGCAACCACCACCATCGTGACCCCCTAGGTTAACTAACTGTCAAAGTTTTCAGCCTCAATTTGGGGGGGGGGGGGGGGGCGAAGGGGACGCAAAGAAAGAGGGGTAGGTAGGTAGGTAATAACTATTTATATGTTAAAAAAAAGAGTGTTGCTATCCGTACTCCTATTTTTTGCTATCGGGGCTTTATCCGTACTTCTATACATCCCTTAAAACCTTAAAACCTTAAATCCGGACCTCATTTAGCGCCCTTAGCGTCCCCAGCTGCCCCCATCAATTCAATCCAAACAATCCAGATAACTTTTCAACCATATGTCGCACCACAATGCAACCAGCTTCAATCGAAAGCGCATTCAATTTTGAATTGATTGATATAGGTCTCAAATTGAGGCGATACTCGGTTGCAAAGTTATTCAAGAAAGTAAGTGGGAGCCCGGGAGGCACGTGACAGCTCTTAGGGCCACACTAAGGGCCCTTAGCGCCCTTGAAGCCCTTAAACCCAAACCTTATTCAACAGTTTCAACTTTGAATAACTTTCTGAAACATAAAGCTACAAACGTGCAACCAAATCTGTTTGAAAGAGAATTCAATTACTGATTGATTGATACCAGCCGCAGCTTGAGGCGATACGCGGTTGAAGAGTTATGTTGGTATTTGTCTCGAGAACAGTCACGTGTCACTCCTTAGCGTGGCCCGAGCGGCTCTAAGGCTCTTAGGCGGCTCTGAGGGCCCTTAGCGTGGCACCAAGAGCTCTTAGTGTGGTTTTAAGGTTAGTCACGTGCCGCCCGGCTTGCCACCTACTTTCTTGAATAACTTTGCAACCACGTATCGCCTCAATTCGAGACCTATATCAATCAATTCAGAATTGAGCGCGCTTTCAATTGAATTTGGTTGCACGTTTGTGGCTATATGTTTCAGAGAGTTATTTGGATTGGATTGATGTGGGCAGCTGGGGGCGCTAGGGGCACTAAATTAGGCCCGGATTTAAAGTTTTAGGGGATGTAACTATAGGAGTGCGAATAAGGCCCTGATAGCAAAAAATAGGAGTACGGATAGCAACACTCAAAAAAAAAAAAAGAAAAAAAGAAAAAGCAACCCCGCGCGCGCTTAACTACCTAGGTATGTATGTAAGTTCAAACAAACGTTCCTGCTTCAAATCGCCACCGCAACGAATGCTCTAACTTACACATGTCTATGCTTTGATTGATACACTGGTAAAACTGGTAAAATCAATAAACTGACAGCCTACTATGCAGAACCGTTTACTGCTGGAGAGAAGAGAAGAGAGGAAAAGAGAAGAGAGGAAAAGAGAGGAGAAGAGAGAAGAGGAGATCACGATCGTGATGAGATCAGCGGGTGTTGCGTGTTCATGTAGGTAATGTAGGTACACAGCACAGTAGGCACCTGTTTACATATACCTACATGTAGTTATGGATACCCACTACCTACCTACCTACCTACCTACCTACGCGGTTCACGCTAAGTTGGGCAATGGGTATACCTAATATATATGGATAGGTACCTAAGGAGTGTTATCTCCATCTGTCCACATTTTTTACATAAGTAAGTAACAGCCCCTCTTTCGCTCTCCGTGTGACTTTATATACTATGTAGGTATATGTGCATCTTGAAGTGGGCATAGAGAGATGGATAACCAGTGCATAGCATAGCATAGCATAGTGTGTGGTACGGTTTAGGTACTCCATAGCTAGGTACCTTTGTAGGTGCCTACCTAGTTAATAACCATCTATCCCATCTATCCCATCTGTCTCATCTGACTTATCTGACCCATCTATTCATACCTATATACAGTTGAGGTGGGATGCAAACAGAATGGAAAGCAACTCCCGGAGGTTGGTGGGCGCGTGGGGATATGTGGGAGGAGGGAGACGAAGGATGTGGGATAGATGTGGGAGGAGAGGGTGAGGGATAGAGAGGGCCGAAGACCCGATGGATGGGCTGATGTGATGGATGAATAGGACGGGTAGAGGTACTTTAGCATACATACGTAGGTACACATAGATATACGCAAGTAGTGAATACCTAAGCAAACAGCGAAAATGCTCATACCTATCTCGTACTGGCAGACAGACAGACAGACCCATCACTGCAGATTAACAAACAACCCCCCATCCACCAACACCTGCGCCCCCGTAACATACCCGCTCAGCTCCTCGCACGCCAGGAAGACCGCCGGCCCCGCCAAGTCCCTCGGGTCCCCCGTCCGCCCCAGCGGTATCCTCCCCTCCATGTACGCGCGCTTCTTGTCGTCGGCGAGGTCCTCGTCGTTGAGCTGGGTGCGCACCGTCCCGGGCAGCAGCGCATTGCAGCGGATCCCGTGCTTGCCCAGCGCCACCGCGCAGCTCTGCATCAGGGACAAGACGCCCGCTTTCGTCGGCGTGTAGTGCGCTTGCTGCCCGCCGCCCACGAGGGCCGAGATGGAACTTATGCCGATTATGGCGCCGCGGTGTTGTTGTTGTTGTGTGGAGGAGGAGGGAAGGGGATCCTGCTGCGCCATCTGCTGCGCGGCGGCCTGCACGACGTAGAAGGCGCCGTCGAGGTTGGTGCGCACCGTGCGCGACCACAGGTCCCCCGTCAGCGTGAGGAAGTCGGCGAACTGGCAGATGCCGGCGTTGCTGACGCAGATGTCGAGGCGGCCGAACTGCGCGACGGCGTGGGAGACGAGGGAGGGGCCCGTGGCGGGGTCGGAGACGTCGCCTGCGAGGTGGGAGAGGATGCCTATTGTCTGTGTTGGGGGGGTTGTGACTGTGGAGGAGGAAGAGGTTTTGAGAGCTTCGGCCTCGGCGACGAGAGACGTGAGGTGTGGCTGGTCTTTCTCGAGTCCGAGATGGTTGACCACGACGTTGCACCCTTGTCGCAGATACTCGAGGGCGATGGCGCGGCCGATGCCCGTCGTGCCGCCTGTGATGATGGCGGTTTTGCCTTGGAGGAGGTTTGCTACCGGCATCTTTTCTTCTTCTTGTTTTGTGATTATAGGTGTATATGTAGTTGTGAGTCGTGTATTTTCTTCTATCCGTCGGAATGTCTATTTGTCCGTTTTATTTTCTATATATCCCGTCGGCGGAAAGGTGAAAATCAGGTAAAGAAGGTGAGGTGACGTGATATAGTATGATATGATATAATGAGTTATTCGGCGACCTCAGCGCGTTGAGGTTGGATGCAGAGTGCGATGTGATGCGGTGCTTCCAAGATTCTGGCTACAGTATTTTCTTGGAGCCGCTAGAGGGGTGTGGTATATGCTGTGTGATGTGGTGTGTGTGTGATACCAGACGGGTTAGGGGACCAGATGCTTGCTATAGATTGATAAGTAGCTGCTTCTTCGTTTTTGCATGTGATGTTACCATGGTTCGTTGTATTATGAAGTAATATTGCCAATCCTTGGAATAGGAATTGCGATCCGAGTAGTACAACTTGTATGCAAATAGGGGTTAGACTAGACTCGGCGCTTCTAGATGGACAATAAGTCGAAAGAGAAAAGAGCGTGCGCGAATTGTATAGTTGTCCTTATGCCAATTGCAACAATTACTACCTTCGCAATAGGTAGTTACCAACTTCCTGTCACAGGCTGTCAGTGATGAATCGTGGAATTGAGTAGCTCCCTTGAAAACCCCACGATCTCGGCATAATGGGTAGCGAGCTTTTCTTTTTCAGTGCTCGGAATTCTGGCCGAAAGCATGCAGGTTGCCCGCCTCGGCATTTACTGGACCCATTCCCGGAGGGATGGAAACGATGTATGGTAGGGGTAGGTATGGGTTGATTCCTATACGTTGTTGTGTTATTTTTCCTTTTTTCAGTGTAATGTATGTATGTTTAATGTTGTACAATATGCTGTGTACTTGACTGGCTGACTGACTCCCTACATAATTGACATCGGAATTATCAAAACCCTCATGGGGTTTTGGAGACCTTTGCCATGTTGGTACTAATAGAACCAACACCCATTGGACATTCATCGCGGGGTATAACGAACCAGGTACTACCTAAGGTTAGTAGGTAAGGTAAGTATTGAGGTCTACTACCACCTTAGCTCCTTGTAGATGCTTCGCGTATATTGCTATGCTACCTATAACGCGGTCAGCTATACGTCGTGTCACATAGGTATTCTAAACCTGCAGCGTATTATCATCCTCGTGACTTTGGCTGGTACGATGGAATTCGATAAGCTGGTAAAATAATCCCCCTATGAAGAGCCATCAGTGGACTCAAGATGGACTACCACTTTAGCTCATGTCGGGCCATTGGAGGCCGATGCGCGTAAGGAAAAAAGGGAAAGAGAAAGAAAGGGGACTAGGTCAGTGGAAAGAACTCCATGAAACGTAATGCAAGCTAAACCAGTTCGCATCCCCAAAGTATCCCCAAAAAGCATAGATTAGGGAAAGATGCAAGGAGCTAGACTGTCGTTTTTGTCGTTTTTGTCGTTTGTGACCATCCTAGAAAACCAACCACCCCACTGTCTTAACTGCACCTCCTCGGTCTTGTGAAGTATACCGTCCCATAAACACCGGGGGGTCGCTATTCGGCGAACCGAGTTCGACGCTACTGTGCTGTGCCCTTTACGTATTTATTGTCTTGGTCGCAACGCTTCTCCTAGTCCTTCTCTAGTTGATGTTGTTACTCTTCTTAACTAGTAACCAACTCTCTTCTCAAGTTCTTCTTACACCCTTGCACTTCTAGAGTAGGTCCCTTGGCTTGTCTCGTACGAACCTCAACCCCTCTCAAGACAAATTTACAACAAACTTCATACTCGACGACGCGGACGCAATAAAATCGATTTGTGACAAGCTTGACCAGAGACATAGTCTGCGATGGCCTCTGTGAGACAGTTTCCCACCATCAAGGCCGTGAGGTCCTATGTGATTGGAGGTGTTGGTTCAGGTATGTAAGCCCACTATGTGAGAGAGAGAGAGAGAGAGAGAGTGTGTGTGTGTGTGTGTGTGTGCATCTCGGTTAGTTCGGGGAGGCGGGGTGTTATGATGTGATGATGAAGTGAAGCTAAACTAACTTAATGCAGGTGGTGACTATCACAATGTCAAGGGTGGCCATTGGTGAGTTTCCAAACACCAATTTTTCTCACGAGTTTGCTGTCAAAAATTCCAAGTCTGTAAGGCTAATCAAAAAAACCCAATCGCAGGCTAATCGACACCGATATCTCGACACCTTGTTCTATCTGGGACCAGTATAAAAAATCGCGAACGAGCTGGGGCATCAATGTTCTCGGATCATTCCTCATCGAGATCGAGGCAAGCGATGGCACTGTAGGCTTCGCGACGGGCTTTGGCGGTATGATCCTTTTACTCTTAGTCAACTGCCTAGCAAACAAATGGCGTGTGTGTGTATATTAATATATAAATGCATTTCTAGGCCCGCCGGCTTGCTGGATTGTTCACAAACACTTCGAACGGTTCTTGATCGGCGCCGACCCCAGAAATACCAACCTGCTGTTCGAACAGATGTACCGGGCTTCAATGTTCTACGGCCGTAAAGGGTTACCGACTGCTATCATCTCTGTCATTGATTTGGCTATATGGGACCTGCTCGGTAAGCTAAGAAACGAGCCCGTCTATAGGCTTATTGGTGGAGCCGCGAGAGAGCGGATAGACTTTTACTGCACGGGACCAGAGCCCACGGCAGCTAAGGCTATGGGATTCTGGGGCGCCAAGGTCCCTCTCCCATACTGTCCAGCCGACGGCCACGAAGGCATGAGGAAGAATGTCGAGTTTCTTCGCAAGCACCGCGAGAGTGTGGGGCCGGACTTCCCTATCATGGTGGATTGCTACATGAGCTTAAATGTGTCGTACACTATCGAAATCGCAAAGAGATGCGAGAATCTAGATATCCACTGGTGGGAGGAGTGCTTGAGTCCCGATGATACGGATGGCTTCGAACAGATTAAGCGAGCTCACCCGACCCTCAAGTTCACGACGGGAGAGCATGAATACTCGAGGTACGGGTTCCGCAAGCTGATCGAGGGGCGCAATCTTGACATCATCCAACCGGATGTCATGTGGCTAGGGGGCCTGACGGAGCTCCTCAAAGTCTCCGCTATGGCTGCGGCATACGATATCCCGGTGGTGCCCCATGCGAGCGGACCATACAGCTATCACTTTGTCATCTCACAACCAAACACTCCTTTCCAGGAGTATCTAGCCAACTCACCAGACGGAAAGAGTGTGTTTCCCGTGTTTGGCGATCTCTTCGTCGACGAGCCTATCCCGACTAAAGGGTACTTGACCACCGCCGATCTCGACAAGCCAGGGTTCGGTTTGACGTTGAACCCCGCAGCGCGATCGAAGCTGATCTCGTCGGACTACCTATTGAACCCGCCACCTACGAGCCTCTTGCAAAACGCGACAGGGTTGCCGGATTCGAAACAAGTGAACGGCACGGAGAAGGCTAACCTAGCAGCACAGTAGCCCATAGTCCATCTGACTGAGGGCGCCAAGAACATGGCAACAAATGCCTGGAGGGAAAGAATGCTTGAGAAGCAAATGATCAAAATACCTTCAAGTGGTGCCAAACCCAGAAGGCGTTTCGATACTCAGAATGCAGAACTCGGAACTCAGAGCTAGGAGGGATGGAGTGAATAGGCAACCGGCAGTTTGACAGACACTGAGCTGAGATCTCGGGGAATAGTGCCGAGATTAGAACCGAATCCTACAGAGACTCATCCGTCCGCTAGATGTAACAGTCTCTATAAGTAGAGGTTGTTCATCTAGTACCTAGGTTAGGTAGTTACAGTATGGTTATTCTGCCGAGTTGGGGGACTTATTGTATATTAGACCTCATCAGCCAGTCAGCCAGCCTGTCTCCCCACCTATCCTGTAGTTTACAGTAGGTGGGTTACTATGTGGGTGGTAAAGAAGATAACTACTAGTATTCAATACAATTTCAATGGAATGTGTATTCAAGTGAGAGATTTATCATTTATCATTTTTAGCATTTATCATTTAGGTATCATTTATCGATTCATACACCTGGAACTTAGAGTCATGGGGGGGAACTCTAAAACATGATTGGTCTCCGCGTTTGAAATGTCCCTCCACTTCTATTTAATACAACCCCCTGTCCCCTTCCGGTTTATATTCTCTCCCCAACTTTTTTCTTTCCACGGTCCAAGATGCTAACCGTCAATCACTACCCCCAATTCAGTGATATCCCCCCGCAAATAATGGCGACGATGATCATTTCAGTTAGTAGCAAGCCTGCTGCTACTGCTGCTACTGCTGCTACTGCTGCTGCTGTTGCATCTATCATTTCCTTACTCTGTTGGGTACACCTGAAGTGACTCAAGTTGAGAAACCGGTTTGAATATGATAGTATGAACACTTATGCAACATCGTCTATCGGCCGGCTTTCCTACTTTTCCTTTAGTTTTGTTCCTCATCTGGCTCCCTAACTGATTATCATCATACCAATTCAAAGAAATATATACATACACTCTACCCAGGTATGTATGCATTTCGAATTACGGTTGTATTGTACCTACATGACTAGTCAGGTACTAATACTATAATACATAGGTTCTTTGGTTGGTAGTTTAACTTACATACATCAAGCCTTGAGAGGTTTTTTTTTTTAACCTACAGTAGGACTATCTTGGCATCGCATTTTTCAAACCTTTTCTCTTCCCCAATTATCCACAATTCCCCAAAACCTACCAATTATTAAACAGGAAACAGAGGAACAAGAAGGAAAGGAAAAAAAAAAAAAAGAGAAAAGAAAAGAAGAAGAAAAAAAGCCGAGGCAGTCAGCCTAAGACCGCATCCCCTTCCACTCATATCAAATCCTTCCACCCTCTACTCATCATTACCCCGAAGTTGGAAGGGCTGAGCTCGCGATGCTGCCGCGTATCAACCCCGATCACCGAGTTGCAGAGCCCTAGCTGAAAGTTTGTTATTGATAATTGCTGCTTATTGCTATTGATCTACCGAGACAATGATGCAAGTTACTACGCAGTCTCAGAACGGCCAGCAGAACCACGTGTCACTACATCACGGCAAGCAAGAGCCCGATAGCGACGACGGTAATAACGGCCTTCAGAGCGGAGATGAGAATGAGCAAGATGATGATCTTGAACATGACAGCCCCGGTGCCGTGCGCAATGGGAAGCGCAAGAGGCCAATCTCGGTCTCGTAAGTCACGTTTCATTCATTTCATTTCATCTCATCTCATCTCATCTCATCTATCTCCCTTGGATCATTTCTATGTTTCTGTATTTCTATATCTAACAATGCTATCTTTGCTTTTTGCTCAATGAACCAATATTAATCCAAACTTGTATTTTTCTTGGTCATTTCAATAGACTCTAGCTAGTATTTCTCTCCTATTTCTTTATCATCAATCTGTTTTGCCAATCAATCGCCAATCGATTCCACTCCAATTATTGGTTAATTTCGATACTATTTCATCTTATTGGTCTCTATCTCTAAATCACATTTACCATATATCCATACATATCGCTTTCAACTTAAACGAACTAAGAAATAATACTAACGTATACACATTAACTAAAGTTGCGAAACATGCAAGCAAAGAAAGGTTCGTGCCTGTTTTATTCACATTCGCTATTAAGGATTTCACCCATAGCACAATTGTCGGCTAATGCTGACCACCGTATAGGTAAAATGCGATCGTGGGCAACCGTCCTGCGGTTGGTGCAGACGGAACTCAGTCTTCTGCGAATATCGCGAGCGTAAGAAGCCCGGTCTTAGAGCTGGATATGGCCGAGAGTTGGAACAGAGACTAGACAAGCTCGAGGAGATATTGAGGTCCCATTCCGAGATCCTTCAGAGTTCCTTCATAAACCATGCTCACCACAACCTGGCCCCAAGCGTGCGTAACAGTAACTCGAGCCTGCCAAGCGATCATGGGACTCCGCGCGAACCTACGTCGCTATTTCGACCCACCGAAAACATCAGGACTCCTCAAGCCGAAACTGCCTTGTTTTTACAAAAGCCTTCAACTTTTTCAACGGCATCGCAGCATGTCGACTTTGGATTACCACCTCCTACCCCGTCTATTCACTCCATGCACGACGGCTACCAACCGCAAATGCCCATGGCCGGCATATCTCCTTCCAACCAGCTAGGGCCCAGTATTCAACCAGGCCCAACGGCTCAGGAATACTACGGCCAATCTCGGCCGCAACAACAACCGCTTAGGTCACCGGGGATGGGTGTTACTCAGGGCCAGACTCAAATAACGTCAGATCAAGATCTCCCCCCTTACGACTTGCTGTATGCCTTGGTGGATTTATATTTCAAACACATCAATACTTGGTGTCCCATTTTGCACAGGAAATCCACGCTAGACTCGCTTTTTGGCTCATCGACGTTGGACGACACCGACAAAGTGCTTTTGCATTCGATAGTTGCGGCTACTTTAAGGTACTCGACAGACCCAAGACTTACAGAAGAGAAAAGACGGCATTATCATGATGTCTCGAAGCAAAGAGTCCTACTTTTTGGAATGGAGAACTCATCGGTCAAGTCATTGCAAGCCCTGGTTATTCTAGCCCTGGATTTATGTGGAAGTAGTAATGGTCCGCCAGGTTGGAACATCATGGCCTTGATCACTCGATCGGTCGTACAGCTAGGGTTAGCTGTGGAGAGCAACTCGCTTTCCATTTCTCCCAACTATGCGTCAATATATACCCTAAGGGCTATGGTTTTACCGGAGCCGAGGGATTTTATCGAAGAGGAGTCGAGGCGGAGGCTTTTTTGGATGATATACCTCTTGGATCGATACGCTACGATTGCTACCGCATTTGACTTTGCTCTGAACGACAAGGAGATTGATCGGACACTGCCTTGCCGGGATGATTTGTGGATTAAGAATCAAAAAGTAGAAACGCGGCGGTTTTATACACAGGACCACTCTCTGAACCAGCCAGATGAGGCGAACAAGCCCGAGAACCTAGGGGCTTTCTCGTACTACATTGAAATTCTTGGCATTCTTGCCAAAATTCACGAGTTTTTGAAGCAGCCTGTTGATATCGGCGCACTAGGTGATGTTGAACAGTGGCAGCTTCGGTACAAGGAACTTGATAATCTCCTTGCTTCTTGGAAGTTTGGTCTTCCTGGGGAGTACGGAAACATGGCCAAACTTTTTCAACCGGGCGGTGGGAAGACGTTGAACTGCGGATGGGTTATGCTGCACGCTACTTATCATACTGCCGTGATCCGCTTACATTCGTCGGCTGCGTATCCTACTACTAGATCGCCTATCTTCACACCGTCATATAGCGCAAGCCAGCGCTGTCTCGGAGCAGTGGAGAATATCGCGGCTTTGGGTGAATTCGTGGTACAGAATGGCATGCTGAACAAGCTAGGACCTCCGTTCGCTTTCACGTTGTGGGTCGCCGCGCGGCTCTTACTCGTTCATGGGTCGACGGTGGAACATAAACTAGCACCGCAGATCGCCTTCTTAGTTGATACCCTTCGGGACATGGGCAGGTATTGGCCGGTAGCAGGAAGATATTGCCAGTTGCTCCAACGGGTTCTTGACGAGCATAGCGACAGCGAGCGTGCCGTCGGTCAGACGGGAGAACGTGTCACGCCGTCTTCAGTAAAGATACTCGCGGATATGAGGAGAACGGCATACGACCTTGACTTCTTGATAAGTCGACAGCCACGTCACCTGGCAGGGGCGCCGAGCCGTCGGCCGAGCATAACGCCGGCTCGAACACCCGCGGCGAACGATCTTGAATACTTGGACGTTTTTGATTTCTTCAACGTGCCGCGGCTCCCATTTAGCCACGAGGCATCGTCAGGCCCACCCAACCAGAACGAGATGAACTCGTCGGAAAACGCGGCAGCCAATAATAACAACAACAATAACACCAATGGCAATAACAACAACAACGGAAATGAGAACGCAGCCACGAACGAATTTAACATAACGAATTTTATGGTGGACGCGAATAGCGACTGGCTTTTTAAGCAGCCGAATTAGGTGCTTATGTAGGTGCCTAGGGGCCTAGACATATAGGTAGGTTAAGTTTCCAAGTCATGTAGTATATAGCGAGATTTATTTCTTTCTGGAGAAGAATTGCATCCATATCACACATCTGTTGTAACTTGGGTACTAGGTATGTACCTAGGTATTCTTCTGTATAAATCTGTCCTAGAGAGAAAAGACTGAAAGTATCTGCGTATGGAAGCGCTAGATGAGGCTGAGATTTCCTGTACCTATATATACTGTGTATATATACAATACTGTACCAACCTAGGTTGCGTCCTAGGTATGATGTGTACACATGTGTGGATAAAAGACGAGATGCGAAATTCGGCCAAGAAGAAGAGATTAACGTTGCGTTGCGGAATTATATGTATCGTGTAATAATGGATACCATCGCATAATAGCTAGGGTACCTAGGTGTAATAGGTTATCGTGGAAAAGTTTCTAAAATAAAAAAAAGGTTCAACGTTTTCCGTTTTGGGGTATCTCGGGTCTTTTGTTGCTGTCTGCCAAGCGGTTGTAGGGCTGTGCGGGCTGAACTGGCTTATGTGGATAGGTATTTATTGTTGATGGAATCGTCGATTTTCGAAAGGGGGGGGGGGGGGCCTTTTTTTAAAAACTGGAGATGGGGTGGAATGGTTTATGGGGCTATTTGCTTATGGTATGTTGCTTGGTATGTATAATAGGTGATATATGATAGGTATGTACATATGTCTCACTTGAGGAGATATCGATGTTGCTGTGCCACTCGTGTTCACTAGTTAGTAGGTTAAGCGGCGTGGGTGGTTTGTGGCTTTTATGCTGTAGATGTATGTATGTCTCAGTTGCATACGAAGTACGGCACATGTAAGTGTAAGTACCTAGTGTACCTACATGTACCTAGGTCCTAGGCATAGAGAGTCTAAAGTTAGCAACACGCTATTACTGCGACCTGCAGCCGAGGACGTCTTCGACGAGTTGGGCGCGAGGTACCGGCAATGTGGTTCGTGGCAGAGCAGTGCCGAACATCGTGAGAGTTGCTAGATTGGGTAGGTGGTATGTACGAAGTAGGTAAGGTATCAGGTATCTATCTTATTCGGGTGTATGCAAAGTGCAAATTAATAATATGTTGTGTATAGGTAGGTTAGGTATTCGATCTGTGACTGGATGATAACTATAGGTCATCTAAGTTCAAGGGTCTCGTTGCTTTTTTGATTTGATTTGCCGGCTCTAGATTGAAAAGGGGGTTAGGGAGAGAAGCTTGTTCATGTCGTCATGCTTCTTCCGCGCAGATTGGGGTGTCACAAGCTACAATTTTTTTTTTACTGCTGCAAGGGGAGGCGGAAAAATAATACGAGGTGATCGTCTACCCTGCCCAAGCGGGAGGAACCACGTACGATGGCACGGCGGGAGAGAGAGTAAGTAAGAAAAGAAAATAAAGGAACATGGTGATTGAGTGAGTGATTGACTGCGGCCACTGCAACGTCGCATTTGGTAGGTGAAGGTGATAGGTTAGGACTTTTGATTCGGTGATATTATCCATGGAATAAGGAGGTTAGTCAGTTGGGTATATATATATAGGGGAGTGACTTGCTCGAGTTGAAGGAAAAAGAGAAGACATCACATCATCATCATCATCATCACACCAACACAAGTTCCGACTTCACTCGCTCAACTATATAAACTTACCTTTGGAACCCTTCGAAGTAAATCAAACCAAACCAAATCAACCAACGATACCATTCCTACCTAACCTTAGGTACTTGTAACATTTAAAAATTAACAATAACACCACCATCAACACCAAAACCATCACCATGCAAACCACTACTTTCCTCACCACCCTCTTGGCAGCCGCGGCCACCACCGTCTCCGGCGCCGCCATCGCCCCGCGCCAAGCCAACGCGATTTCCATCGCCCGCTTCGCCGCAAACTGCATCCCGCACAGCGTCCTCTGCGTCTACGACTTCACTGCCATCACCAGCCCCACCAGCGCCTCGCCCTCCGGCAACCCGGACCCGGTCCGCTGCACCAAGTACCTGCAGGGGCCCGACCGCCTGCCCGACGTCGCCCTCACGGGGTGCGACGGCCTCGCCTACGCGTGGGCCGTGAGCAGGGTCCAGGGCGGCGGCCTGCAGCTCACGGTCACGACGCCGAGGGACTCCCACACGAACTACACGGGCACCTTTGACATCGGCGCCGACCAGCTGGTGATGGAGCAGCACGAGGCGTCGGTGGTGGAGAGGTACACGGGGCCCGGCGAGTTTGATGTTGCGGTTGGCTGGTCGAACTCGTAGATGCCTGTCTACCTAGTACCTACCTTCCTTAACCTAGGTACTTAATTACTTACCATGATTGGTGATTGGGAGGCAAACGGGGAAAAGGGGGGGATGTGAGGATGGATTAGGGGGGAAGGAAAGGAAAGGAAAAAAGGGACGAGGTGGACTCATTTTTTTTATTTTTTTTTATTACGGGACATGTTCTGCATTGCGATTGCGTTGCATTGAATGGGAATGGAAATAGTGATACATATGTATGATGGATGGATGGATGGATGGGCATGCATACATAGATAGACATACATACACATACACGGGCTCGAGGTACATAATTTTTCTAATATGAAAAGTAATTGCTACTGGAAATATTGAACACTTTGTCATTGTCTTGACAAGTTTTGACATGAAAATGGTTGAATTCATGCATGCGTTTAAACAGGTATGTATGTACTTATGTACCTGCAGGTGAATATGAAGTCATCACCATGTTTCTGTCAGCTGCCGTCAACCGCCAATTCTCCGTATAGGTCAATTAAAGACGGGTGAATTCAAAGTCAAACTGGAAGTCAATAAACCCAGCAACATCATCTCCCAAAAGTCAATGACGTACATCTTATATCTTGTCCCAATAGCCTGGACTCATTGCCACAATCCCAACGTCATATACAGACCTATCTCACACCCAAGGTAGTTAGATGTAAGGACAGCTGAGCTAGCCATGTATCGTCCCTACTTCGATGATGCTGTGATGTCGTCGCTATGTACCTACCGTGGCTGTTCAATTAATTAATGAATTAATTATATACCACACAACCCGAGTTCATATGTAAATACCTGTATCAAACATAACACGTCGTGACCAGAAACCCATATCACCTATCTCTAGACATCCCATACACAGCAAACACCATGTCAGCAACCCAAGCCGCCTACGGCGTCGAGAAGCTCACCGGCCACGGCGACAACGCGGTCACCGCCCAAGACGTGTCCAACTACTCCGGCGATGCTGGACAGGGCGAGGAGGGCGGGACGATGAAGGCCCTCTGCTGGATGGGCAAGAACTCGGTCGAGATCTGCGATGTCCCGCGACCCAAGATCCTCGAGCCGAACGATGTCATTTTAAAGGTTACCGGTAGCACGGTTTGCGGGAGCGATCTGCACTTGTATCATGGTGGGTTTGCCTTACCTTTGTCTTATACTTCTACAATCCCCCCCCCCACCATACCAAGTCTTCGTATCCCCAAGCTGACGAGATCTGCCAATACCCCCAGGAACCGTCATCCAACTAACCCCAGGCGACATCCTGGGCCACGAGTTCTGCGGCGTCGCCACCGCCCTCGGCTCCGCCGTCCCCCCGGACAAGATCCGCCTCGGCGCCCGCTACGTCGCCTCCTTCCAGATCGCGTGCGGCTCCTGCTTCTTCTGCGCGCAGAAGCTCTCCTCGCAGTGCGAGCGCACCAACGCCAACACCGCCGAGCGCGCCATGTACGGCGGCCGCACCGCCGGCATGTTCGGGTACTCCCACTTCACCGGCGGCTTCGCGGGCGGCCAGGCCGAGTACGTCCGCGTCCCGCTCGGCGACGTGAACCTCCTCGCCATCCCGGACGGCGTGCCCGACGAGAAGGCGCTGTACCTGAGCGACGTGCTGGCCACGAGCTACAACGCCGTGCACGACACCGCCGTCTACCCCGGCGACTCCGTCGCCATCTTCGGCGCCGGCCCCATCGGCCAGATGGCGGGGGTATTCGCGCTGAAGGCCGGCGCGGCCAAGGTCATCTTCGTGGACACGGAGCCCAGGCTCACGTTCGTCAGGGAGCACTGGCCGGCTGGCGAGAAGGGGAAGCTGGAGCTGGTCGATTACAAGACGTTGGCGTTCGGGGTGACGACGAAGCCGACGGTGGTGTCGAGGCTGAAGGAGTTGTGTGGGGGGAGGGGGCCGGATGCTGCTATTGAGGTGGGAGTTTTTTTTTTTTTTGGTCTCCTCACCCTTTTTTACGCTTGTTTTGTCTGTCTAGTTGGGTCTATTGACACAGCAAATACTAACGTTCAAACCCGCCATAGTGTGCCGCAGGCGAGTACGCCAAAGGCTGGATGCACTGGCTGGAGATGACGCTCGGCGCCGAGACCGACACGAGCGAGATCATCAACGAGATGATCGAAGGTGTGCGGAATTTCGGTAGGTGCGGTATCACCGGCGTATATGTCGGCTATGTAAGTTCCTCTTTTTTTTTTCTTTTTTTTTTCCCCCGGTTAACGGTCAACCCCATCTCTACTCCTCCTCTCCTCCTCTCCCCACCAACCGCACCAACGCATCAACAAACAAACAAACAAACAAACAGACTAACGAAAAAACAGACCAACCACTTCAACGTCGGCTCCCTCATGGAACGCGGCATCCGCCTGATCGGCAACGGCCAGGCCCCCGTGCACAAGTACTGGCACGACCTGCTGGCCATGATCGAGGCCGGCGACCTCGACCCCCTGCAGATGGTCTCCCACCGCGTCCGCCTCGAGGACCTCGACAAGGTCTACGCCGTCTTCGACCGCCGCGAGGACCGCATGCAGAAGGTCTTCGCCCAGACCCGGTTCTCCGCTCCGCCGTGCCAGGGGAGTCCCGCGCTTACGAGGTATTGAGGTTGGGGTTCGGGGGGGGGAGTTGCTTGTTTGTTTGTTGGTTGGTTGGTTGGTTGGTTGCTGTGTAGAAAGAAAGAAAGAAAGAAGAAACGGCCGCAAGATAAAAAAAGAAAAAGCAGAGCCAGTCAAAACTAAATGAAACGAAAGAAAGAAATAGTAATAATAAAAAAGGTATAAATATGGGAGCGAGTTGTATCAACATACCTAGTATATAATAGTATACTAACCTAACCTAGGTAGGTAAATAGGTAGGGCTGGCCAACAAACGAGTCACGATACTCGAGGACCTTGATGGCCTTCTGATGTAGGCAACTAGGTAATACAAGTTGTACCTACCAAATACGCAATGCATCTACCTATACTTACACACCTATCATGTCTGGGACTTCGTATTAATTAGGTAGGTAGACAAGAAATGAGTGCTGCTATAACTAGGTAGGTATGCTATCTAATGATGATTGCCTAGGTAAGTTACTTACTGGGCTGCTAATACTTCAAATGTAGGTACCTAAGTATTAACCCCCCTTTTGGTACCCCTTTTCGTCCTTATCCGCTCGCCAAAAAAAAACCGAACGAACGAACGCAAACTTGGGTATCCTATCCCTTGGCCTCAGCCAGCGAGGTTTTAGGAAAATTTCAAAAGTGACAGACTAACAATAACATACATACCTTCGTTACTCATAATTCCATATAACCTTTCGCATCATTAGGTTGGTAGGTTCATTAGGTAGGTAGGTTAGTTAGTCGGAGGCACCAGCGACATAATGCTCTTCTTCCTCTGCTCGCGGTTACCCTCCAGCGTAGCATCTTTGGAGCTGTCGTCGACGTCCAGGCCCTTGGAGTTGTTCGGTTCTTCTGCTTTGTCCTTGTCCTCTTCCCCATCCCCATCCCCGTCCCCTTCTCCTTTCTCGTCCGCTTCTCCATCCTTCCTTTTCTTGTCGTCTTTCGCGTAAGGGTTCGGACGCACTACTCGTAGCTTCACCATCTCCTTGTCCTTGTCTTCTTCCGAAACTTTATGGTAGATGCGCAAACCGACCGTAGCGACTGCATTCCACGGGTTGCTCTCAAACTCGTCCGGCTCTTCGGGCGGGCCAGATGGCGGCGGCGGAGGAGGGGCCGGGATAGGCGAGGCATTAGCACGGCGTTCCAACGCATAGTCTAGAGCTTGTTCGCTGATCTCCGACACAGAAGAGACGTCGCTCTCGTCAGAGAACTCATCCCCTCCCTCGTCTTCATCCTCGGCCTCACTCTCCATATCTTCGCATTGGCATGCCTTATCATTCTTATCATCTGGCTTACCCTTCTCACCTTCGGTATCCTTAGCAATGGCGGTAGGCTTTTCAGAGCTCGGTGGGCCAACTGTGGGAGTTGAACCCTCTGATTTTCCGGTAGCTAATTCATCGTTACTTCCTTCCGTCTCATCTGGCTTCGACTCCTTAGGCTCCTCGACAATTTCCGTGGGCTGCTCCCCGGTATTTGGAGATACCTTGGTAGAAGATTTATCAGACCCCGTAGAGGGGGTATCCACGTTTTGATCAGTGTTGGCATCAGAGCTTGACCCCTTTGGATCATTAGGCTCCGGAGTTTGGCTTGGAGACAAGACCTGAACATTCTTTTCTTCCTCTGGGCCTGAGGACCTTTCGGGCTTGTTTGCCTTCCCCGTAGATCCTCTAGCCTTCGCCTTTTCAGCCTTTGCCGCCTTCTTAGCTTGAGCTCTAGCTTTCGCCTTGGCCTTCTTCTCCTGACGTTTATTATGATCTTTGACGCGCAGGTGATGTCGGTGGTGCTGATCATGCATGATTTTCTTTCTCAGCTCCCGGCGTTCCTTGTCCTTCTTCCGCTTTTCTGCCTCCTTTCGAGCTTGCTTTTCTTCGGGCGTCTCGATAACTTTCCCTTTGCTGTGAGCTAAGTCATAGGACATGCCGACGGCTACCAGCTTGTCCCGACGATCTCGCGCGTGATTGCGAACCACCTGTTCTATCGGTAGAATATCCATGTTGCGCGTCGCGTCGATCTTTAGCAAGACAGTATATTCACCTTCTTCCAGTTCAAGCTCCACGTTTACCGAACGGTTCTGGCAATATGGGCTGATGCTGCGAACAACGTAGTCTTCCTGGCCATTCTTGTGCAAGCGAAAATTTAACTGGAATTGGTACTGTCCTTCTAGGCCACGATAATACCGATCGTCAAGTTGGGAAAGGGCGATAACAACTGGCCCAGTCTTTGCTAGAGAGAAGGTAAAGTAGGTATCGTGGTAATCCAGTGTCCAAGGAACTGAGAGAGTGGTCCACAGGGAGGTGACTTTCCACTCCGGCCCGAAGAGTCTGGTCCGGTCAAAGGCCTGATACTTCCGAAGCAGGTCGTCGTATGAGATCCAGAAGTTTCCATCATCGCCGAAGCGGTGGTTGAGCTTCAGTAGCCATTCCGCAGTCCACTCCTTAGATCCGTCACTCCAAGCACCCTTCCATTCTCCCTTCCCCCAAGGGTTCTTTAGGAGAACAAGCCGTTGGCCATCTATGTCGACGGCCTTCATTATGGAATAGGCGTGTAGTTCGACAATCCCTTTACGCTCACCCCAGCCAATTCCCCACATGCCAGTAGAGCACCCAAAAAGAAATTCATCGTTCACTTTCATGAGCTCCTCTTTCCAGAAATACTCCTTATCCAAAATATCAGTCGTATAGAGCTCCGAGGTGACCCCCCCGGTGAGATCCTCGATACCCTCTCCAGTAAAGCCGCCTTCGATTGCTGCATAGTCGCCGTGCGCTTTGGCATACGCCTTTTCGAGCAACGGTAACCAGGTCTCGTTCTCGTGTTCGCACTGGGCAAAGTACAGGGCACCGGATCCGCTCTGATATGCTTTGCGGTATTGCTCCTCCGAGTTGATCCTTTCGCGGTCTTCCCACAACATACGCTCGAGGAAGCTCTCGTCAAAGTCGGGCTTGGTGAGAAACAGCTTGTCATCGATGATCTCGGAAATCCACTCTCCGTCACGGTGGAAGACAAAGCCGTAGACGCCAACCTGCTCGTCGCGAGCTACACACAGCCTCTCAATCAAACTAGGCTTGTTACTGAGGGTGCACAAAGCGGCAAGCAGCCAGCAATCGCCATCGCGGCCTTGTCTAACGTCATTTGCTGTGGGGCCCTCGATGTAGAACTTGGGGTTATCAAATATGTCGACAACACGCTTGACACTCTTGGGTTTAAAGGACGAGGTGGGTTTCTCTTTGGTATTGCAAAGCGTCTCGAGGGTATCCTGACTGTCAACCCATTTTAGATCGAACTCGAGGTCGAAGTGCGGGTCTCGATATTTTTGGTTTACTCGGCGGCACTCCTTTACGATTTTGGCGACTTTGGCCTTGCATATGGAAGCGGCTTCTTCGTACGAGGTCTGCGTGTTTGTACCGACGGCCTTTGTAGATCGTTGCGCCGCCTTTTCAGCATATTCGTTATGTGGGATCACGGTAGTTGCTAGAGGGGACGGGTTAGCAAGATTTTCCTAGGTGCCCAGGTAATCTTGCAAAACGTGTGATGATCATATGATGATAGCATACCTTTCCCAGGAGTTTTAGTGGTAAACTTGGCCCAAAACTCATCGATTGCTTCCTGAGGAGTCTGCTGTTTGGGTTGCTTAGGGGCTCGACGTAATGTTACTGGTACCTCCGCCATTACGGCACGATCTTCAACATCATGGTCCAGGTAGGCTACCTCGGAGGGTGGTGCAGAGGAGGCGACAGACATGACTCTCGAGCTCCAGGCCAGAGGAAGGATTGTGCAACTTGATTAAGCGGCAATTACAGTAGTGGAAGGGTCAATCGGACAATAGGTGGTGCCTACTACTTTGAAGTTGATTAAGAATGAAGAAAGAAGAGAGTCAACTGGAACTAGGTGGTTACGATACTCTTATACATCCATGGGTGAATAATATCTACTAAGGTAGCTACTATCTACCTAGATAGGTAAGGAGACAGGCAGGCAGAAAGGCAGAGGCAGGCAGACAAATAAACAGGCAGACAAATAAGCAGGTAAGCAAGCGAGCATGAAAGTGCAAGGCTAGCGAGCCTTGCAGGTAGTAGGGGGGGACGAGGGGTCAAAAGTGAACTATCACAAGTTCCTCAGCTGAGTCGGACGAGTTACTCAAAGGAGAAGCGGGAAAACATGATTTTCGTCGGGTAGGATCGGCGACGATTCATCACGAACCTACAGATTGCTAACTAGGTATGTGGCTAGGTGGGTAGAACAACACTGAAATAATAAATAGAGAGACATGCCCTGGATGAGAAAGGACTAAATCCGGTACATAACTAACGAGGCTTCATGAGTACAAATTGTATGTGTGTATATGTGTAGAGGTTGTGTGATGAATGTAACTACTCGCCGGGATGTTTTTTAGTTGAAAAAGATGCATGGAATACGGTGCACCATTAGTGCACATCCGACAAAACTTTATTTTTTATTTTCTAATTTCTAATTCCTAATTTCTAATTCAATTTCAACCAACAGCCATCAATCAATACGCTAATGTACAACTTCAACGCCTTTTATCTCATTCAAATAAATTCGCAAAATTCCCAAACTAGTTGCATCTTTGTTTCCTTAATTGGAAAAACTGATATATATATGTATTTCTTTTTGGGGGGGTTTTTTTTTTTCAAATCTTAGACCCTTATATTGATTGATCTTTTCGGCCGCTACTGTAGATGCAACTATCCTGAATTCAATTGAGATGCGGCTCAGGTGGCCCATGCGCGGTACCACATCAAGCTTTCAACCTATTACAACTCATCCAAACAATCTTCAACTCTTGAATTTAAGACATTAATCTAGAGATCTTAATTCAAGGATCAGATCGAGCCCGGTTGCACGCTTCTAGCAGCCATATTGCAGAATTTATTCAAGGTTGAACTTGCAGGTGGCCAGGTGTTGAACTTGCAGGTGCCAGGTGTTGTACTAGAGCCGCCAGATACCTACTGCAGATTGGGTGTTGCTCTAAATAACAATCAACCGGTCTCAGCTCCCAGCTTTGAATCCTAATAACTTTTTGAAGTCTATAGCTGAAAATATGTAACCTATACCATTTAAAAGCTTATTTAATTCTGAACTGAATGATATAGGTTTGATTGTTGGTTAAAGAACTATGTAAATAGATATGCTGAAGTTTGTAATAACTAGCCTTAATCGGCTGTATGTTGGCTCTGAGGGATATCACGTGCGATCGAGACTGCCAACTTATCAACCTGAATAACTTCCTAACCAGATATCGCACCATAATGCAACCTATATCATTATTTTTAGAATTACATGTGCTTTCTATTGATATAAGATATATGGTTGTGGCCTCGTATTATGGAGAGTTATTCAGCTATAAGCCGACGTATCTATTTATTAACCTTCAATTAACCAGTGTAAATAGTAGTAATACTGTATATCCACACTGTATTTTAGTGTATTAAATGATGGCTGCTGGTTGAATTTGAATTAGAAATTAGAAATTAGAAATTAGAAATTAGAAAATAAAAAATAAAGTTTTGTCGGATGTGCACTAATGGTGCACCGTAATGGAATGCCATGGATAAGATAGAGAACCATGGGAGGAAACTGCGGGTAATTGAGGGGCCAAAGAGCCAAAGACCCATAGCTCCAATGTTAGACATGCAGGTAAGAATTGGCCAATCAACGTCGAAGGCTCAAGGTATATTTAGTGGGTAGAACTGGTAACAACGTCCAATAACCTAGGTCACCCGGCTTCCCCTTACAAAATATCAACCCAAACCTCGTTTTCGTTAGAAATAGAACTCCTTAGTAGAATGCCCACACCCGTCCTCTCCTAAGTCCTATCAGTTAAGGTGTTCTTGCCACGGGTACCGTAAAGTAGCCAGATGATTGTTTCGAAGATGATATATCCCATCGACCAAACGCCATAAGCACGCGACTTAGTTTCAAAGGCATTGAACGCTTCAGGGGGTTCATATTTCTGGGTACCGATCCTGGTATAGGTGTCCAATCTCTGACCTGTTCTATCGATATATCGTTTATGCTGTGGTCGTTGCCGTTGGGTTCATGTAGATCTTTCAGTAACCTAGCTAAGTAAGTTCCTGTACTGTTCCAGAAACTCCCGGATCAGGTCCTTACTCAGTGTTGGATTCTTGTTGTTTTTTCAGTAGGTACTCTCTAAGAGCCCCCCCCAGTGGCCCAGCGCACGATGATGTAGAATTCTCCCGTTGTTGAAAAAGCCCCCAAGTATGGGGGCGATTTGTGATTTTTCATGAGTCATGATATTTTCCATGATCTCTACCTCGGAAGACCATGCAGATTCTGGTGAGGAGAAGCCGTCACTCAAGTCCTCTTTCGATCTGAACTGTTTGATAGCCACATCAACCGCAACTGTTAAATGCTCGATGCTCAATGTTCGAGTACTTATCATCAATAGTAAGAGTCAGCCATGAATAGATTCAGAGGAGGTTAGGTACCTAGGTATGCAGTTGAGCTCTCTCACCGAGTATACTTTCTTCAAGTGGTCGACGTGAAGTTTGGCATTGAAAACTCTTCCGAAGGTACCTTGCTTCGAGTCTTTCGGGACCTCCGTGAATTGAAGTATGATGTCACTATCAAGAACCCTCTTGTCTACGCTAGAAACGCTCGACTGAAGGGTAGTAAACATGGTGCGGATGAGTTGCTCAACTCTGGGGAATAGTTGTCTAATTGCCAGGATGGTGGGTGATACCGGTATGTAACTACTATACTACTAGTAGTATAAGAGCACTACTAACATATATGTCTTAGTTATGAACATTGCCTTAGCAACTACGACTCAAAATCCTACCCCTTGACATGCGGCTATTGCACAGTGGCTCTGATGTGCGCGGACTAGGAGCCTAGTTTTCAATCTGCATTGAAGATCCGTATTTGTGTTGTGGCTTACCGTTGGTCAGTTCGAGTAAGTGGTATCTATAAAAACTAGGCATCTTCTTATTGATAGGTTGCCTAGGAAATGTAAGTTTGCCTCTTTTCCAAGGTTCTTATCAAATCCAGAAGCTGACACGTTGATAGTCGGTGAAAAGTCGTCACACATCATGGCCACCTGCTGACACACCCGCAGAGAATGAAGCAGGCTCTCTTGCATAATGGGAGCCCCTGTATTCAATACATCTCATAATTGGTACCCAGCAAAGCCATGTCATTGACCGAACTATCAATCTCGGCCTGGATGTCGTAAAAGAATTCGGCATAGCTAGAACAATATCAAGATGCAATATATGTCATGCATTAAGATATATCCAGGTGTTCGAACCTGGATAGGCATGAGCAACAGTGTCCCGGATCGAAGACACAACCCTAGCTAGGTCAGCTCGGTTAATATCCACATGTATGTTTCTGTCGAAGTCGGTCTCTCGAGCTGTCCTGCCCGCCTGTCCCCTCCCGATTAGCCTACTCGGTTGGTAGATGTAAGTAGTGTACCGGTTGAAATGAAGCTCATTGAAATATGCGACACCGTAAATCCACACCCAACTTGATTCGCTGACTCATACCGCAGAATTAAGTACTGATGCACCCTGCGAACAAAACAAGACAAGCTAGAATGGACCCCCAATCACTGTTTCCCCTTAGCCTCGCTATAGATGATTCTCTGAAACTCCGTGTGTAAGTCCATGATAGGTCCAAAAAAAGGCGGGAGGATCTGACAGACAGCTGTCCCGCAGATCCCCGCCTCTGGGTCGATGAACCACGCAGTACTGGGGAACCCCCCCCAGAGCAGAGTACCCGGCGCACAGCGCCCCTCCTGACCATCCTTCACCACAAGACCCGCAAAACCAAACGACTTCCTGACCGAAGCTGGGGTTTGCATGTTTAAATTTAGATATATCGGAGGGGCGGCGGCCGCTGCGAGGCTGTCGTTGAGCGCCTGTTCGCATTCGTCGTCGAGTTGTGCGCGGAAGAGCTCCGTGTAAGATGCTGGGTTTAGAAGTTTGGGGTCACGGCGCAAGACGGCGGAGAGGAAGGTGTAGTACCCCTTCGTGCTAGTACAGAGGCCCCCACCCCCGAGACAGACCTTGCTGCCGCCCCGGAGGTCGAGATCCGACGGGACGGCCGGTGGCTCCCCCTTTTCGTTTAGCGTACTGAGCTCGGCCATCCTCTCCTTCAACCCCTCTTTCGCCAAGGGGAAAAAGGTAGAGTCGTTCTCGATCCCAAGCGGTGTCCAGATACGCGCGTGCATGAAGTCCTCTAAGGTGGACTTCGTCGCCACTTCGATCGCTCGGCCTGCCCATTCGTGGCCGGGGCCATATGCCCAACCCTTTCCAGGGGCATGGACAAGTGGTAGGGCTGCTTTCTCTTCTATCGTGGCGCCGGCCCACGGTACTTCGTTTCGAGAGATACGCCATCTCCTAAGCAGCGGGCTGGCCCAATCATACTGGTAGCCCGATGTATGAGAAAGCAGCATCCTGAGGGTGATGGGCGTGGAGTTCTCAGTCAGTGTCGCGGTGTTGCTGGCGTCATCAAAGCCATTTATCAGGCCATACTTCCCAACATCGGGAAGCAGGGGCTTGACATCTTGGTCGAGATCCAAGGTACCGTCTTCGACGCATTGCAAGACCGCTACGGATGTCATGAGCTTGGTCATAGATGCCATGAAGGCGATGGTGGACTCAGTGAAGGGGCGTTCGTCGCCTTCTTTCGTCGAGGCCTTGCCGAAGGACTTTGAGTATAGAATGTTGCCTGGTGTGTGTATTAGTTGCAGTTGCTTGTGTGCTCCCTGAGATGCTAGGCCATCTTCATTTTAGTTTTTACCGGAAGATGCTTACCATCTTTGTCTCCTGCGATCAAGGAGACCCCTGGAAGCAGTCCCGAGGCGATGGCTTCCTTATAAATCTTGTCAATATTTTGCTCCATGATCGTAGTGTTAGCAGGCAATAACTTCTGCCTAAAAGAGGGTATATTGAGACTTTCTTAATACACTATTCTGGATTTTTGTAGCTACCAGGTAGATGTTCCGTGATAAAGGGGATCTGGATGCGCGCTTGACTGCTCGAGGGAACCTACATAGCAGTGTTGGATAGACAAGGCTATTTCTAGTGATCACTAGGTAATAATAGTATATGGGTAACGTAAGTGTATTGGTTGTGGATGATGTAAGAAGGAAGGAAGGACTATAAGATCTACAGGTGGGGGAGAGTTATACGCCGTATAAGCACATTGTGTACGGGCCATACAGGTCTTACAAGCAGGAACCAGATTCTATCTCCTCCTTTACCTACATGGTGCTTATATACTAGGTAGCTTCAGGCATGGATGGGTAATTATTAATCGCTATGGGTTCCGCTCTGCCGCATCGAGCTAGTGAAGATAGTGCATGCTTTCGATGCCTCGTCGATCCAAGATTCTGCATATTGTTGTTCGCGAGTGGCGCCATAATTCAGAAAAGAGTTTGTATGTTGAAGTATCATAGTAGTTATTGGGTATGTAGTGGTCCGACCAAGTTCTCCCGCATTTTGGAAAATCTTCTTCTTTGTCAGCAGGTGCATAGCTGCCCAGGCAGGATTCCCGCCCCGGACAGATGTAGAAAGGATAGACTATCACAGCGGCACAACCCGGGGCTAATACACTACCTATAAGTATTGGCAGTGTGACGCTCGTGCATAATAATGTTTAAGTCTGTGAACAACCCCCCTATTTCAATAAGATCTCGTATGGCGGTTAACTTCTAGGTTCGACAAAATGGAGAAATACTTCTTAAAATAGATCGTGTTAAGGGAAGGGCACCTCATCCAGAACTACCTATTCCGCATCGCTCAAATCCGACATATTTTTCAACTTCTCCCCTTTTGTTCGTAGTCGTGAACTTCCCAGCCTAACACTTACGTAAGCACCGAAAACTATGTCCAGACCTACCGCCCGGCGCAGTATAACACTTCTGTGATCCAACAAAGATGCTATTGCCCGTCTCCCCGATCTGGTTCTGGCAGTTGTCGTCATAGTACAGGTAGCAGTTCGTGCCATAGGTCCCATCGCCAATAGCTTTGATGCTGGAGATGGCGTCGGATGACTGGTAGCATTTGTGGTCGCAAGACTGTATGTGCTGTTAACCCAAACTAGGTACTGATATATCACCTGGAGCCCTTGGACAGAGACTTACGCCGGGGTCGATGGACCCGATTTGATCGTTGCAGCCTTCGTTGCGATAGTAGCGGCCGCATTGTCCGTTGGTGACTCCCGGGGAGGCGCAACCGTTGCCTCGTTTGAGCTTCGTCGCGTCGAGGTTGATGATCTGAGGGGAGAAGCCGATAGCAGTGCTGGTGGCTAGCTCGGCTGCGAGTAGCATTGCAAGGGTCTTGAGGAGCATGGTGAAGAGGTATGGCTAGATATGGCTTGTAGAGTTCTGTGGAAGGCTGGTGTGAATGTTGGATCGGGACTGATCTTCAATGTTAGAATCTTAGAAAGGGCTCCTTATTATTTATACTCGTCCATTTCCCAGTGTCTACCTAGCAAGGATTTCTTGTGTTCCTGTTTCTGATGCGCTTTTCTTTAAAGTAGGCATCCATCATGGTACGATGTCTGACCCTCAGATACCTACTCAGCTGAAGTCAAGGTGTAGATCGATACCCGCGGTGGTCAAATTCGAGCTGGCCACACAAAGTCTCTGTCAGCTTGCTTGTTAGTCGCCATGTTGCGTAACTAGGTACTATGTGCTTCGGATTCTTGATCGATCCAAGTCTTGAATTCTTAGTCTGTTATTGGAGGGACTCGAGACACAAATCCATGTACGACTTCGCTGTATACTTACTGCTTGGCCATAGGTAGCTGAGGTTTACAACGAGGTAAACACTCGAGTAGTCTAGACCATAATCTCAGACCCCACAGAGTATGACGACGAGTATTATGAACGAAAGGGGCGAGTTTGAACTATTCACCTTGATGTACGAAAGTAGTTCAAAGGGTTTAATCCGAACGGCTTCCCAGGGGTTTCTTAGGTGCCCCACTTGTGTAACCTAAATAAAGGGGTAACCCATAATTACTATTTGTACAAGAACAGAGTTATCTCTCGGGCTTATGGCTTGACTTGCTATACCGTGGAATCACCTGTTATCTCTTGACAGTATCACCCCCCTTTCATATTAGTAGACGTAGGATGTGCTAGCCTTAGCCTCTATCTAACTGCTGTGTAGCGGTGCACATGACATCTATATATATATACAGGGACGACTCGCCCCCTTATTTCTGATTAAGAATAGAAGGTAGGCATCAATATAGTCACGACTCCCACCATAACCCCTAACCTATGGTCTCGCCCCTTAAGTTGTAACAATCAATTCCTAGGTACCTAGTATTTGTCATAGATATATAGACTAGAGAGGGAGCCGATACGGCTTATATGTTTCAAGCAAGCCGGCTCTCTCATAAACCATACACAATGCATGAGCTTCGAGCTTATATTACCAAGTTAGGTATTAGATAAGTGAACAGCCCCTCGTATTCTCTCTTAGTTACAATATCAAGGCGACAGCAATGTCAATATGTCAATAACCAGATAACTAGGCACTCATAATGGGCAATTTATCAATATGTCTAATAATAGCCCATGGCCCCTTGAATCAACCCTGGGGAGATCACCCGGTAACCTGGTTTATTACCTCACCTTCTCACCTACCTAGTACGTAGCAACATGTCGAATACCCTGATACGTAGAACATCAGGATAGGAACTCCCACGGAATACCAATTCGGATCTGATGGAGCCTCATCCTGGGTATATATCCGGACTTGAAATGATGCCTCTGACTGGATGAGGTATGCCGGTATTGCTTCCCGTAAGCAAAGTCAACATAGGCCGTATTATGCGATCATAGGTTAGAAGATATTCACATGCGTCTTTGGCAATTGCGCTTGCGAGGCAGCGTCGGGGCGTGGTATATTACCAACCTAGAGCAAAAGGGGTTATGAATGAGATGCATTCTAGTGGCATCGTATGGTTGTTGATCCTGAGTTAACCCACATAGGTATACTGTATGTTGAGAACAAGACCACGCCGAGGATTCTGATCCTTTCGCACCAATAACGACATTCATTTCATACAACTTAAACTTACGATTTCGTATCGCGACTTCGTATCATTATTCTTCATTATGCGTACCTGGCCACTAGAGCCAGTCCCAGCCTAGCAGCCAAGCTTATATCCTAGGCGCCTAGGCTAGAGCCTATGTATTGTACAGCAGTTCAACCTCGGCGAATACTAGGCACTTTAAGCTTCTAGACGTGTTCTAAATAAAGGTTGCATGATTGAAGTGTGTAGTATTTACTGAGGGCTATTAGCGATTGTTGAAAGCCAGGTCGGTACGTGCTTTTTTGTGTAGATCAGTGGGCAAAGAGCCTCACGAGCCTCTAATATGATGAGGTAGTAGTACTAGTTCAAGTTCAAGTATTAATTCCATCGCATTGGGCTAATAATTGATAGTCTTCATTCTATAGTATGAGAATGCTTATTGGTTTTAAGGCAGATATTGTAGATTGATACGGATGTAGTTGAAATCGAGGTGGTAAATCGAGGTGGTAAACATCACGAACTTGGCGGGGAATCATTGACTCTATTGAGAAGTGCCCACGCACATGGTAACACCGGGCATAGCAATAATCATATACCTACCTAAGGTTAGGTAGGTATAAACATAGCAAAATGTAGGGTTAACCCTCCAATAGTCATGTAGTGAGTAGCAGTTAAGTAGTTGATCGACGTCCCTATCATCAGAACACATGGCTGAATAGATTAGGCGGCGGATACGCCGGACACGGACACGACAGAGTCATTCGGTCCCATCTGGGCATATTGATGACACGCATAATATGCCATGAACATCGTTTCCTCTGTTTGTTATTCGTGGTAATAAATGACGAAGTGAAGTAGGGGTTTTGTTGGGTAGTAGTATCTGCAGAGACTTAGTAACATTCAATAAATACTTGCTGCTGTGGCTGTGTGGTAGTGGACACGAGCTAGATCTCAATTGATCGTCGTTCTTTCAATGCGTTCCCAAGATCTGAGACGAGCTCAAAGCGTAGATCGCAAGATCTTTCTACCAAGTTCTAACACCATACCTAATTATTAAAAACGGGACTAGAAAGCTTGAGCCCTAAGGTTGGGGCATTTGCTAGATGGACGAGCCATTTCTTGATCAAAGACTCCATCAAATACTCGATCTAGAAACCCGCATCAATTTAGTAACTCGTTGTCGGGATGGAGTCTTGGTTGGGACGGAGATCTAGAGACTCTGCTCACTTCCCTACTATGTACGACATAGTAGAGGCTATGTGTATGGTCTCGGCCGTCGGCCGCGAGATCAACACGGCACAGTTTTCCGCCCGGGATTCCGTAATCGTGTAGATATGCACCTACCTAGGCTGACCCACCGAGGTACCTGGAATTGGCCTAACCACCTTTCAGGGGCTTTTACCTTCCATTCTGATCGATGGTAGTTATTGTAATCCTGAGTGAACTGTTGGGTACCCAGGTGTCTAGGTGTTCACTTAATCTATACCGAGCACATAATGCCTCGCAATGTCGAGTTTGAGTAAGCTTAGGTAACTGGAAGATAATGGTTTACAGTCAACATAAAATTGCAGGGGTTTTCAGGGACGCTTCACAACGTGAGTGACTCCCTTGGTTGGTTATTTGTAGTCCTTGGCACAAATTCCAAGGAAAGGGTTCAAGTCAAATAAGCCAGGTAAGTCGGGTTGGGTAGGTCAAGACCTTAAACGAGAACCCGTTAATATCGTGTATTCTCCTTTGGGATGAAGCGACCGGGTGTGAAGGATTAGAATAAATGTGAAACATGTTCCCCTGAGCGCTGGTAGCGATGATAGCCATTGATAGGTAGGCTCTTTCGAGAAACAAGTCGATTTTGGCAAAATTCTTTAGCTGCTTTAGTGGCCAGTCGCCACTTAGACCTTTGCTGTCATCTTGGCCTTGGCCTTGAGATTGGTGAGCCAAACGGATCGATTGGACAGGAGAGCACCAACGAAAATTAAGCACCTGCATGGCCGTTCTCTTTTGGGTTGACGGATGATTTTATTTTTTGTCCTTCTTCCTTTTTTATCGATACTGTAAAGATCTTCCTTGGAATCGCCGAATTCAAGCCCGTCGGAGATTTAATAGTATGAATTTCGTTGCCGCGCGGATTTGCAAGAGGCTTTCTCTCATCTTCAATTTCGAAGTTCATAAGCGCGTGTTGTGGGATCTAGGTGCGCGCGCTTAATGAGAATCTGCATGTTGTGGTTGTAATGAGTGGGCACTGGGCACTGGGCAGTTAGTCAATGTCTAAGATATGAGCGGCAGTTATTATGTGCTTAGGCATGTACGCCATGTGCAATGTAACTACCTTATCTCCAGGGCTGTTTGATGTGAATTTACTCAGTAGAACAAGAGAACCCGACGTTATGGTGGAGGGAGGGGCGAAGAAGAAAGTTTGAAAGCCACCAATTAGTTACCGAAGATGCGGTTGCAGTTTGTTGGCCAACATTTGAAGTTTAAAGCACGAATAAGGCAGGTCCCAGTTAGCGTCTATTAGATACATCCGTTGATGGTAGCCAGAATCTGCCAGATAGCTTATTTCGCGCGTTGTTTCACCATCGAATCCTTGTCCAACGTTAGCAAGTTTAAACTTTAGGTACCTGACCTAAAAACCTGCAGGCTGCAGCATGCAGATGCCAACTCAGCGTATGCTTTACAGAGCTTGATAAAGCCATGAAGCTTAACTACCAGGTACAAAGTATTGTAGTTACTAGTTACAGATAATCTAGTACCTTGCATGACTTGGACTGACCACTAAGCGACCTTGAATATGAAGCTAGGCTGGACTAGACCCCCCTCTGTCCCCCCTTTTTTTCTTGCCGATTTTTCTCGATCGGTCTTCCATTTCTTTTTCTTATTCTCCTGATCAAATAAACCCCGTCCCCCTTTAAGGTAGTCTCTTCACACCTGAAAGTAACCTTGACAACTCAATGACAGGCCGATGGAACTACATCGGTCGAACCCCGTGGGTAATTAACATATTACACATTGGGTTATATGTGTCATCTATACATGCTTACTTCCATATAATTCCATATGCCACATCACAGACGTTGAGTGTTGGTTGACAATGGTTGTTGAGCGGCCAGACAACGCATCACAGTTGGTAGTACTGCTTGCATATTGCCACTGCCTACTTATCTATCTTCCATTCATCCTTATATCTAGGTTAGATATGTTTGCAATATTATGCTAACTAAGAAAACTAAACCCCGTTGGATGCGGCGGGTTCCAGTTTAAAGTTAAAGGGCTAGCCCGCGATCCTCGGAGGCTTTTTTCTTAATAGCTCTTTTATATCTCTACAACGGGCCAAGTACTGTATTTGTTTTCGGGCGTCGACCATTCATGACTCAAAACTCAGGAAAACTGAAAACTGAAGACCAAAGATTGAATACTTAGGAACATGATCAGGAACATGGCGCCCAATGTCACCCTAGGGTACCATTCATGGTCACCTCATACTTACCATATCGAGCATTATCTCTCAACTTTTGGTACTTGGAAGTCTTGTCATCAAGTGGCCAAGCAACAAGTAGTTAACAAATTCAGGTGAAAGAAAACAAAACACACTCCCCTCCCCCCCCCCCCCCCCCCCTACACAAGTAGCAGTTTCATGCTTAACTCCCATAATATTAATCAATTTCCGCGCTAGTGGTGTGAATCATGCGTGCGCGTACCCATAGACGAATCCATTCTCCCATCTCTTTGGCTGTCGGGGACCCTGTTCTCTTCAGACTTCGTCCGATGTATCCTTCTTCCACTTTTTGGGCTATGCGGCCAGTGCGGATCCTCGGATCTATCGAAGGCCATCAAGTGGTGGAGCCCCTATGTTGCTAGGGGGTATACTACCTGGTATGGTCTCTTAATATATATCTTTCATCGTGAGCCGCTTCGGACCTCTCTTTGCTGGTCTTTCTCCCTCCGCGCCCAACCAATTGTTGCCTTTACGCTCTCTTCTTTCGTCTTGCTAGCCGAGTTTATATACTACATTCTTTTTTGCTCTTGTGTCTATAAGCCATTCACTTATTGGTTTATTCACTTCGTCTTTCTTTTGACTATATATCCTTGAGCACCCTGCAAGACAGGCTTCCTTCCTTTACTTAGCCAGGACAGCTAACTCCTTCGCTTCATATACCCATCTACTTATCTAAAAGATCTTCGAAGATCTATAAGACCGGGTACTTACTATCGTTATACCCCTGATAGCAACATTGAACCTTACTCATCACCGCCTCTTCCCATTCTTAAACTTTCAAAATGCGATTCCAGCAAAGTATTCTCGCCTCCTTCGTCCCGGGCCTTGCCTTGGCTATCACGCCCCCCAACATCAATGGCATGAGCATCGTCTGGTCCGAAGACTTCGAGGGCCCCGCAGGTGGCTCCCCAAGTGGTAGCACCTGGAACGTTATGGATGCTATCAACACCAACAACGAAGTCCAGACCTACACCACCTCAAACAACAACGTTCAGATTAGCGGTGGTGGCACGATCCAGTTCGTTCCACGAAAGTCACCTTCCGGCCTCTGGACCTCCGGCCGTATCGAGACTAAGGACTCTTGGACTCCGGCCCCGGGCAAGGTCATGTCCATCCAAGCAAACATTCTCTTAGGGAACAACCCTATTATCAACAAGCAAGGTCTCTGGCCCGCCTTTTGGGCCCTCGGTGATGCTATGCGTCATGGTACCCAGTGGCCTGCTGCGGGAGAAATAGACATTATGGAACAAGTCAACGGACTCCTAACCGGCTACGGTACCGTACACTGCGGGAGCTCCGTCGGTGGCCCTTGCAACGAACCCCTCGGACGTGCCCAGGCTACTGCCATGCCCGCTGATGGTTTCCACACCTGGGGCGTTACCATCGATCGAACGAACGACGACTGGACAGCACAGACGATAACCTGGCACTTGGACGGCAATGTTTACTCGACCCTCACCGGAGCGGATATCAACGACGCTCCTATTTGGTCATCCCTCGCCCACAGCCCCCTGTACATTCTCCTCAACGTAGCTGTTGGTGGTGACTGGCCCGGCCTACCTAATCTTGTTAGTACCCGATTATATCATTTTCTATTGAACACTATACTAACCAATTGCAATAGCTTACACTGGGTGGCTACGGCAGCATGATGGAAGTACAGTGGGTTGCCGTCTACTCATCATAGACAGCATTTCTACTTGGGCGTGCAACAATAATATGATGCACTAAAAAAACAACCTAGATCTGGGGTGTATATATGGGAAAACTGGCGTTTTATCAGAGAATGGTGGTTCTGGACTGGACTTTTGAATGACGCTCGAGATACCTCTTTATGTTACGTGATTTGCGCTTCGATTCGTTGTCTCGGGAGGCATTGGTATGGGCAAGCAGACGCAGACGCCTTACCTACTTGGTACTTTGACAATCAATCAATTACCGCAAATGATATCCGTTTAAATATAAAATTATTAGATATGATGACCTTGATCCGTTGTTCTGATGTGCTTTTAATTCTGGATTTGATTTATTGGTTTTCATGAGTAGGCCATCCTCCCCCGCCCCCTTTTTCGATGTCCCGTAAGTGGAACCGCCTTGGCGGCAAGTCTAAGTTAAGTCTCTCTAGAGAGGTGATGACTTTTTCGAGCCAGCTACGCACGATCTAAACAGAAACTTCAAAAATCGGAATAAATATATTGAGTTTTATTGAGGATTTATCTTAATATATCTATATACTGCATGCCTAGGTAGGCAAATGAGTATTAAGCACCTTGGTAATTATATCTTTTTTCATCGACTCTTCGTTTTACCCCTTAGCCCCTATTATCCCATCACCAAACACATCCCAGGTACCTAGGCATGCATCCTTTTTCATCCACTTGCCTACCTACTAGTTCCTCCCTAACAACTAAAAAAGCACGTCAAAATCCTCTGCGGCGCCGCCCCAAACGGCGTATACCACTCGCTGCCCGCCTTACAATGCCACGGCTTCTTCCCCTCATCCACCGCCAGACTATCCCACTCCTTCTCCCCATACCTCACCCTCACGATCCACCGCCGCCACTGCGACGGCGAGCACTCCGCGTCCCTGCTCCCCGCGCAGTCCTGCGCGCCGACGCCCGGCTCCAACACCTTGGGGAACGACACCGTCAGCGCGGAGGGGAGCTTGCTGTCCGCCGGCGCGACGGTCACCGAGCTGTCCCAGGGCACGCGGCTCTGGTTCTCGTTCTTGGCGTCGGCGCCGGCTTTCAGGTACTTCAGCGTCTTTTGCGCGGCGTCGCGCACCGTGAGAGAGGCCAGCACGCCGTCCACCGGCCCGTGCGACTGCTCGGTTATCTCGACGCTGCAGGTCCCCGGGGCGTAGGCCTGCGCGGGGCACAGGCATGTTTTGTGGTTGTTGGGTTGGCCTGGTAGAGGGTTGAGAGGGGTGCAGGTTGCGTGGGTGTTGTTGGGGCAGGTGCGTTTGGCGCAGGAGGTGGGGTCGCAGGTGGTTTTGTCGGAAGGGGTGGGGGTGGTTTTGGTGGTTTTGGTGGTGGTGGAGGATGGCTTTTTGGTGGAGGAGGATGATGAGGGCTTCTTGGTGGAGGAGGTTGTGATGGTTTTTAGCGTGCTGGACTTGCTTGAGGCTGTGGTGGTTTTGCTTGTTGTTGTGGTCTTGCTTGTCGTGGTGGGCTTGCTGCGGCTCGTGGTAGCAGAGGTTTTCTTAGAAGAGGACGAGGTGGTCGTTTTCGTTGGCTTGGATGAAGTTTTGGGTTTGTTAGATGTTGATGTCGATTTAGATGTAGATTTAGAAGCAGGTTTAGATGTAGTAGTCGTAGGCTTGGGTGTATCTGTACTGGCGGCGCTAGAAGGCTTTGCGGAGCTTTGAGGTTTCTGAGAACAGGCTTCACGTTTCTGAAATAACGATTCTGCGAAGACCTGGCCTGGCTCGGGATCCCATTCATGCTGTGCTATGGGCCGTCCCTCGAACCACAGGCGCCATGAGGCCCTGCGGCCGGTGCAGATCCCGGGCTGGTATTGCAGGAGCACCTTTCCGCGCACTGAGACGCGTGGCTTATCTCCCAAGACCCTTATCCGGTCCTGCTTTGTCGGTGAATTGGGATACATAGCTCTCATCTCATCAATTGTGAACGTCCTCTCCACGTAATCAATATATTCAACTTTCAGTCTAGGATTGCCTCCCGGCGGTTCCAGCTGAGACCGAACTGTCTGCTCAATTCCCACAAGGTGCGGTCCATACGCGAGACGACCAGCAAGCCTATTTTCGCTTAGGGCTTCTTCATCAGTTAAAATTATAAACGGGTTCTGATAGTCGGCATAATATGCGGCTTCGGGTGGTGCCCCTGTACTCCAATCTCCCAGCATCAGGTACGGAAACGGGCGTGGGGATATGATGAAGATGCGCACATCTGGAAAGTCGTCCATCTTATCACCAAACATTCGGCCGAAAAGGTTGTCTCCGTCCGTGCCCGCATTCGCAACCAAATTCTTAAGACCAAACAAGTGGTATTTCCACACAGGAGAAAACGGTTCTTGTGGGGTTATGAGAGGATCGAGTATGTTCCGCCGGAAAGCCTCGGAGTTGACGTCGTCATTAAAGTGATGTTCCCAAAGATGGGCCATCCAGGCCCCCCGGTTGGACACTACACGTCAATACATGTTAGCTTACCATTTTGCAAAAAACGCGAAGGAAAAGGGGGGGGGGGGGAGGGGGCGGTGATTCTTGAAACTATAAACTTACCGACGACGATGGCGGTACAGCCCCAAAGACCTTCCAGGGCAAGCGAAGCAACTTTATCGCGGAAGAGTGTAGTTGCAGATGTAGTAATGTCAGCAAAAGACGGGTCACCTAGTGCAACAATTTGGGCAACTCCAGGATCGTTAGACTCGGCACAAGTCCGGACTTCGTCGATCATGAAGTCTTTGGTCGAAGGGAAATCGACAGGATCCACCCAGTCACCGAACAAGGGGTGGCCACGCTTGGCTTTTAGCTGCTGGGTCGTGTTCAAACTTGGCTCCTTTGCGCCGGCACCGTCTACGAGATCCAGCCGCTTCCGTTTGTCACTCGGGCACTTTGACTTGCCGCATTGTTCCCCTGAACAGAGCGTTTTGGCCGCCCAGGGGCGCATGGTCGTGGTGGTCGCCGAAGCGGTCACATCGCAGCCGCTTACGGTGGTGTACGTTGTTGTTGAGCATTTTGGGTTCGGCTCGTTGCTCGCGGTGGCAATACAGCGGACACTTGCGTGCGCTGCTGTACGAGTTGTGGTACACTTTTCACTTTGGGTCTGGCTGGACTTCGTGGTCTGGGTAGCTATACTTGTCGGCTTCGTAGCGGGAGGAAGAGTAGTTGTGGCCGAATCTTTGCTAGATTTACCGTCGTTTTTCTTGTCGTCATCTTTCTTGTCGTCATCTTTCTTGTCGTCATCTTTCTTGTCGTCGTCTTTCTTCTTATCGTCGTTGTTCTTATCGTCGTTGTTCTTATCGTCGTTGTTCTTATCGTCGTTGTTCTTGTTGTCATTATTCTTGTTGTCGTTGTTGTTCTTGTTGTCATCAGGCGGGCAGTTGCCAATCTTGGCAAAAAGAAACTGAATGCAACCGAATCCTGGGATATCAATATGAAGATTTGATAAATTTGGTAATGGCGGACCAGGCGGTAAGCAACCGAAGCAGATCTGGGGGGTTTTTGGAAACCCGAGTGGAATTAATACTGGTTTTAATATCAGTAAGAGTTACAACCTGTGTTATAGCTTTGGGAAGAACACTTACCAGGCACTATAGTCGGGTCATGTCCTCCCGGTGACGTTGTGGTGATAAAACCCGGAGTAGTCGCCGTGTAATCTTTTAGGGTAGTAAAGACTGCCGCAGGCGGCAAAGCTGTGATGATAACAGGTGCTTCAGTAGTCGATGAGCTAGATCTTCCTGGACTAGGGAGGGTTTTGCTCGTAGTCTGTTGACTGGCTGGTGGTTTCGTGGTATGAATAGTTCTGGTGCCGGTATTGGGAGGTGTTTGTTGTTTCGTCGTAGAGCTTGTCCCCGAGGCCTTTGTACTCAAGGTACTATGTATACTGGTATGTATACTACTGGTATGTATACTACTGGCATTTTTACTAGAAGTATGTATACTAGAAGTACGTATACTAGAAGTATGCGTACTAGAAATACGTATACTAGAAGTATGCGTACTAGAAATACGTATACTAGAAGTATGTGCACTAGAAGTCCGTATATTAGAAGTATGTGTACTAGAAGTCCGTATATTAGAAGTCCGTATACTAGTAGTAGGTATACTAGTGGGACGTAGACTGCTGGTATGTATACTACTTGCACGTACACTACTAGCATTCTTTCTAGTAGTGTGTATACTGCTGGTATGTATACTAGTAGTAGGTATACTAGTGGTATGTATACTGCTGGTTTGTATAGTCGTAGGCTGATTGTTGGTAGACTTAGAAGTCAGAATAGTATTCTTATCATTGGTAGATGCAACGGCCGAAGAAGTCTTGTTTGTCACTCTTGTGCTGGTGGCTTCTTTCGTGTTTCCAGGTTCGGGCGATTTCAAAGTATTGATTGGCTTGATATCGGGGATCGTTGGAGGGATAGACGTAGGGCTGACAACACTTCTCCTAATATGCCTCGTCCCTTCCGTTGTCGTTTGATCCAAACTGACTGGCAAGCCATTTTCCAAGCCGGATATTTCGTGTTCAAACACTCTAGCTTGTGACGAGGATATGGCGAACAACAGTCCTAACGCCGCTAGAAGATGCATCGTTTCAGCAGTATATGAGAAGAGTGCTCTATGATAATTAAGATTAGGTATAGGTACAGTAAAAAGAAAATGCAACCAGGAAATATCACTAGTTCCCATGCTTCTCTTCTCCGAGTACTATTCACATCTTATATGGCCCTTCTACCATGCTCATTCTACCATCATACCCCTTCTACGATACTCCTTCTACGATACTCCTTCTACGATACTCCTTCTACGATACTCCTTCTACGATACTCCTTCTACGATACTCCTTCTAACACACTCCTTCTGTCGTATTTTCTTTCCACCATTGCCATAACTGAAGATTTTTTAAAGCCTTCCTTTCTACAGGAGTTTAAATTTATTGGGACATTTTTCTATTTTTGTCTACATATGCTACATAGTGTGTAAAAACCACAAGCAGGGCCCTCTTTAAGTCGGCGGCACAGTATATTAGCTACCTAGTATAGTAAAAGCGAGGCCCGGTGAAGCGGCTTAGACGTATTTTCTCCGCAAAGGAAGCTTATGTCTATTAAAGTGGAAAAAGAAGGAATATATCCCTAGCATTACCGTCGAGCATTACTCATATAGTAGCTACATAAGTATGTGTAGTTACCTAATAGTTATTGTAACTGAAAGACCGTTATTCTCACGGTAATTCTTCTTCACAGCTGTAAATGTTATTTCAGTTGAAAGACAACATTGAACAAACATAGGAGAATTGTACGTTTTACAGCCACACTACAAGGTCTGTCTGTCGTTTATCCTACAATTACTGCCAACATTGAACAGGTTACGTTGAAGTTAATTTATACTAAAAAGACATTTACATAGTAACTAACTACTAGGTATACTAAAAAGACAGTTTGACGCTGCGGGTAGCTAGTTTAGCTTATCTGCGCTTAACCCAATTAGTAACTAGTGGATTTAGTCTCCTCCTTCTCTCTCCCGTCTCATTTTCACGCGGTCTCTCTCGGCTTCTCCCTATCATTAACCACCACAATACAAGCATAAGTCTTAATTCTTAGTGTTAAACTCTAAAACTTTGTGTCAGGGATCTACCTCGGAGCTATGAGGGGTTAGATAGTACTAGTAGGGCAAGACAGCTTACATGTCTCCGGGGAGATATCAGAGATCCCCGCGCTACAACGATATTGTTCTAACCTACTGTACGTCTTCTAGATTCCCTCTTGCAAGGCTTTGGGCCACTTTGGCTTATTTATAGATGTATTTATAGATGAATAAACTATGATTAATACCTTAAGTTTAATGTTCCTTTCGAATGAATATATTACTAAGTAGTGATACCTACATGTAGGTATGTACTGTAGGCATACTTATGTACCTGTAGGGTTGTAACAACAACGACGCTTACATGTATGCATTACATACATCTAGATAACGCACTACATTGAAGGTATGCACATCAATACTTACATAACCACATGTACCCCGCATTTAACCACAAGGTATCATGGATGCGTACTTGCATACATGTACTATCCACAGGGCCCTTATCTTGTCTCCAATGTTGCTATCGAGTCCCCTATCTTTTTTATGTAGCATCTACTATCTACTATCTACCTCCCCAGGCATCTATCTCTCTATCTATTCAGGGTATCATAGTAGACTATTAGTAGTATCTACATAGTATCCAAGGTGGGTAGTTGAGTCTCCCAGATACAGAGACAGCCCCTCGGTATGCGTAAGCGACTCAAGATCCGGATATAATCCATGTTCATCATGGAATCTTCAATGTGCAATGTTCGGTGTTTTCTACATATCGAGCCGAGGCGTCTTTCTTATCTATACCTATACCTAGTAGGTAATGTACATACTTACTCCAAGTATAATAACGACAATGAATATCGGGATCTCATAAGTCTATACTTCCCTCTGTCCTTCTTCGTAGATGATTTCTTCACACCACCCAGCCCACCTCCTCTCCTCATAATACCTACCTACATACATACTAGGTGAATACCTAGTACGTTGTAAGCCATGGCACATATACCCGAAATCGCGACCTCGGTAGAGAGGGAGAGTACTACCATAGAAGTGCTTAAGGATGAGGAGAAGGACCCAGAAAAGATAAACGAAACCGCCATTAGCGACAAGAGCAGTGTCGCCGACGGCGAGGTTCACGAAGATGCGGGTAGGATTTTATCCCACATACCTCTAATTAATAACTTATTATTTGTGAAGTGATGCTTACTTAGTACCTTCCCCTGGGAATAGCTCCAGAGTACACCGAAGAACAATACAAGCAGCTGAAGAAGAAGGCCGATAGATATCTACTTCCGCTGATGTGGCTCTGCTATGGCATCCAGCAGACAGACAAGACGTCGATCGGAACACAGGCTACCTTTGGTCTGAGAACAGTATGAAATACCTACACATAATGGTACATGCCACCACATCTCACTAACACCAACACCCAACACAGGATACCGGACTTCAGGGGCAGCAGTACTCGTGGCTCACGACCATCTTCTATATCACCTACATGATCTTCGAGTTCCCGTCCAACATCATCCTACAGCGCTACCTCATGGGCCGTACGCTATCGTGCTACATGATTTGCTGGGGCGTCGTCGTGCTGTGTATCGGGTTCGCCCAGAACTTTACGCAGCTCATCACACTGCGCGCTCTGCAGGGAATGTTCGAGGTAAGTTGTCTTGGTGCCTATTCACGATATATGACCCGTACTGACTCTCCTTTCAATATCAGTGCTGCATCTCGCCCGGTTTCATCCTCGTTGTCGGGAGTTGGTACACGACTCGCGAGCACGCGTCCCGATCCCTCGTCTTCCAGAGCGCAAACGCCGGCTTCGGTATCATTGCGCACCTGATCCTGTACGGCATCGGTTCGTTACAATATTCGCGCGGTCCCCAGTTTCAGGCTTGGAGATATATGTCTTATGTAGGTTTTGCCCTGTACCTGTGCTATATTTCCCCCCAAGGTCGGCGAAACTAACCACTGGCGGGACGGATAATATAGTTCCTTGGGAGCTTGACAATCCTGGTAGGTTTTCTGTGCCTGTTCCTGCTTGGCACGCCGTCCGAAGTACGGTGGCTGTCGCCTGAGGAGAAGAAGATAGCGAACGCGCGGATCAGAACGAATAACACGGGACACGACCGTACTGGTATCAAGAAGTGGAAGTGGAAGCAAGCGCGCGAATGCTTAGTCGACCCAACTGTAAGTTCTCCCAGTCAAAAGTAGCGCCATAGGTCCATACAAGGTATATATTTGGCATGCAAGTTCCAGATGGCTAACACAACAGATGATGATGATGTAGTTTTGGTTTGCCGGACTCAACGCATTCCTAAGCTCCGTGCCTAATGGGGGTATCACGACATTCAGTGCTATCATCAACACCAACGCTGGGTTTAGTAAGTTAACAATCCCAACCCCCCTCCCCCTTTTCTACAAAGTTTTCTTTTTGAAGCCCCAGCTTACATTTTCCCCAGCAAATCTACAGGTAATCCTGCTCGACATACCACGTAGCTTAGCGTCTGTTCTGTGGTTCGTCTTGATCGGCATCATTGTGAGCAGGAAGCAGAACCTACGGATGTAAGTAAGCCGTATAATGACCTTGGGAAAGGGGGGAAAAGACACGTGCACAAATTATTTTTTAAAAACGCTAACTCAAGTCACTAGGTACTTCATGATGGCTTCCGTTGTTCCACCGGTGGCGGGCTTTATCGTAATGGCTACACTACCGAACGAGCCTCAGTACAAATGGGCCAAATGGGCAGGGTGAGTTTTCTAGTTGTCCGAAAGTAAAATTTGCCGAGAACCAGGCGGGTGGCTAATTAGTGGTGGATTTACAGCTACTTCATTACCGTGCCATGCGTCGTGGGCCTCTTCCTAGCCTGGACCCTTATCCCTTCGAACATCGCCGGGCGAACTAAGCGAACGCTGACCTCGTCGTTTACCTTTGTCGGTTACTGCGTGGGCAACATGGTCGGATCGCAGATCTTCCTTGCCAAGGACTCCGTACGTGTTTTCTTTCCCCCCTTTTCTCTCGTCCATAAGAGTATCCCAACCCACTTCCCAAACTTCTACATCTACCCAGTAGAAAACGCAAAGCTTACATGAATGAATTCTTCCCCACACAGCCACGATATGTCCCCGGAACCGTCGTATGCGCCACCTGTTTCGCGCTGGAGTTCTTCCTGATCGTCGCGTGGCGCGTCCTCCTCGTGCTGCGCAACCGCCGACGAGAGAAGGAGCTGCGGGACCAAGGGGTTACCGAGGAGCAGAGAGTGGAGAGGGGCAAGGAGCTTGGGGAGCAGGACTATACCGATTTTGAGAATCCTTACGTGAGTTGATCTTTTTTTTTTTTTCCCCTCTTCTCCCCCCTTTTTTCATGTTACCACTGATCTCTCTGCGGAGGAGGAGCTGACAATCTCTAGTTCCAATACACGATGTAAGCGAGGGTGTGAGATGGTTAGTTGGCCAAGTTGAACTGTTCAAAACATGCTGTACCTAGGTACATTTCTACCTGTATATAGGTACTTAAGTAAGATAGGGGCTTCAGAATATTCCAACTCAGCAACACGAATATAACACACGATGAAAATCGGTCGATACATAGTCGATAAGTTTCTTCCTCAGTTCTCCACTATGTTAAGCAAGAAAGAGAGATCAAGAAAAGAAAAGAACCCCCCCCCCCCCTCCCTTTTTCTTTTTTTTTTAAAAAAAAAGCTTCTATACATATGACCCAGCCAACGGCACAGGATCCCACGTAGTAATCCAAGCAGCCGCAAACAGTAAAAGCCACATCCCGTACCAGATAACCAGGAAACCCGTTTGTCCCATTCCGGTGAAGACCCCTATCAGCGCACCGATGTGGATCAAGGCAGAGAAGATGAGGAATATGTCGAAGTGCCAGCGGTCCTGTCCACGGTGTTTAGGTCAGTATATAGGTAGGTAGGTACTTGTATAGGAAAAAAAAAAAAAAAAAAAAAAAAAGGTAAGTAAGCAAAAAAGGCAATAGGTAGGTTACTCACGATCCCCGCGCCCAAGACAATCCTCCTCCCCTCCACCTCCCCCACCTGCGCAAGACACCACGCGATGAACAGGAACCCAACGACCGCCAGCACAATGCCCACGACCGTGCCCACGACCGCCGCGCTGTACGCCCCGAACACGACGCCCCAGACCGAGAGGCCCGTCCGCGCCGCCAGCGTGATGATCATGCATGCGCGGCGCGCGAGCACGGCGCTGTCGGGGGTGGCGAGGCTGTACGCGTGCCAGCTGAAGCTCCAGCAGCTGCGGAAGCCGGGGCAGCTGCGGGTGCGCCATGATGATGACGGCGGCGGTTCGGGACGCGGGGGGAGGTCTTGGGGGAAGGGGCGCGGGTGGGCGTCGGGTTCGATGGACATTTTGGTGGTTGTTGATCTAGGGGTGTGTGGATGTGTTTTGGTGTTTTGTAGACTACTTGATTAAGTTGTAGGTATAGATAGGTAGGTAGGTAGGTAGGTGGTGCTGTTCTGTACGATGAGCAAGCAGTCTATACTACTCCAGTAATGTAGCAGGCACCTAGTATTTCACCAACTTCGCATGAGAATATACTACGTACCTATGCACCTACAACACCCAAGCTCGAAGCAAGAAGCAAGAAAACCCCCCAAAGAACAGCTCTGTCTACCTAGCCTGCCTAGTTATAGACTTGCCCGGACATTGTAACCGAGATCGAGTCCGAGACTAATCCTTACCTACATCCTTAAATACCTACCTACCTACCTACTTGCATGTATAGGCAGATTCAACGATGCAAAAAATCAAGCACATAGCCTCATCCTTACCCGCACAGACGAAGGATCCAAAGGTTCCTTACATACCTACCCCATCCAGTAACCCTGAACTTTTATCTCGTCCACCAGAGCTTAATTAAGAATTATGTAACCTCGCTAGCAGCCCTACAGACACTACATGCGGGTGAGAAGGTGGTCTGAGTCATAGAGAGATCTACCCGCCAAGGCCATCCATCATCTGGGATGGAGAGAAGTTTATTTCAGGGGCTGGGGTGGGTAGGTAGGTAGGTAAGCACCCAAAGTAGGATCGAAGGATGGGAGTATCCGGCACGGTTATTAGGTATGTAGCCACTATGTAGGTAGGTACCTAGTTACAATACACTCATACATATGTAATTGCGTGTGACTAGGATGCTTATAAGTTGATATAGGTAATCCAGTTTCAGAACTAATTCACGATACTAGCCTACAAACACCAAATACCTATATATCGTGACTTTTAACCAAAGGAATATATAAGAAAAAAACCCCTGATGACAGTGCATTGCCAACATCTACTGCCAAGTAATCCCACCAGGTAATTCATACTAGGTATGTATCTACATAGGATTGGATGAGTTCCTCGGCAGTGTACTACCTATGTAGGCGCCTCCTAATGGCATTATTTAGTATTAAACTTCCGTTTTCATTATTTCTTTTCGCAATGCTATAAGGATGATAGTAACCTTACATGCTCACGTGCTAGTATCTCCGTCTTCAATTATCATGTGACTTCTTTCATCCCTCGTTGTTGGTGCCTGAACTTCAGCCTCGAGATTAGAGTAGTATAGAGGCCATCTTTACCGCTACACTCTGCCCTAAAGTCTAGGATTACAAGCATCAACCAAGAAGAACTAAGCCTTCGCGACGAACGATAAGAACGCCCACGTGAAAAACTTAGTACCAATCACTACTATTCTGCTTGCGCCCCCGTACTTCCCGTGCTACCTGTGCTAGATGGTCGTGGCGGAGGTACCGGTATAATTCCAACCATGCTGCTTCCGTCCCTGTCCCTCTCCATGGGCACGCCGCCAATAATGCTCGATGATATGCAATGGGGCTCACTTCCGTCTCCCTCAGAATCTTCTCCCTGACTACCGGCGCTGCTCGCGCGTGCAAGGGCCTCGGCAACCTTCCGTTCGACCTCCTTTAGCCTCTCCTTCTCTGCGGGGTCTACGATATCGTCGTCGTCACTCCAGTAGCCCTCCTCGGTGTCAGCAACATCAGGCATGGCCATGCGTTTCCAGAAGCGGATCTCTTGTCTTCGGGCCTTATCATCAACGCGCTTTTCCCAGCGCTCCTCATTCTCGTCGTACTTCTTGCGAAACTCACGCAGCATCTGATTGGCTCGACCCGCATGTTCCTGCATCTCCCAGATCTGTTCTCGTAGACGGGAGTTCTCTTCTCGAGCCTCGGCTAGCTGTGATCGGTACGAGTGGTGCCAGGCGGAAACGTCTGCGATGTGCTTTTGCTTGTAGGCGTGGAATTGGGAGAGGATGGTGGAGAGAACGCGGGCGTAATTGGTAAGGAGGTTGAAGTTGGCATCGCGAGATATTTTGGCGCGCTCGAGAGATTCGGATAAGATGGATATCAGAGCTTCGACATTGCGTTCCTGTGCTGTATCTTGGTATTAGAATTGATGGTATGCTAGGTAATTAGGTGGTAGAAGAACAAAGCAAAACAGAGCAAAAGAAGACAAAAAAAAAAAGGAGTGGAAATATTAATTACCAAATATTTCATCGGCAGCTTCTCCGAGCACCTGATCATTCGTCAAGCCTCGCTCTCGCGCACGATTGCGAACTCTTCCTAGGCCAGACACAATATCTTCCGTCACACGTCGGTTCTCGGCAAGCTGACGCGACAGCTCTTCTACCATGCCGTAAATGATGTTCAGCTCGGCTTGGTGTCCTGCCGGCGTAGGACCAACGGCTATTGCGCCGGAGCCGGGCCCAGATCCATTTCCTTGCATGGCACCCGATCCGTTCATCAAGTAGATTTTGTGGTTTTCTCTTTTGAATGTGACAGCGACAGAAAAGTAGCTGTAATTGTAATACTACGTTGTCGCCGGTGTCGTAGAGTCCCAAGAGGACGAATTCGTGAAAGTTTCAATGTTGAAGTTTGAAACTCGAAATTTGGTAAGGAGGAAGCATCGCCTACGATACTCGCTGTTACCACTAGATTAGGTGGGTAGGTGGGTGGGTATGTACCTGTAAAGCTTAAGCTGGGCATTGCTATTAATTCATTATTCGATAACAATATGATCCTGGTAGGTACCAGACAACTCTAGCACCATCCTTATCGATTGAGTGGACGATACCAGGGTGCTTAGCGCCGTTACCTGAGCAGTTGCGTGTGTTACCCAAGCTACGAGCGCCAAATGTTACCAACATTGAAGGTACGAAGGTTGTGGCCAAAAGTTTAGACCAAGATATACCTCCGCCCCACAGTGCGCTACTCTTTTTTGGGCTTCTACCAATAATAGGTATACATTTAACGTCAAACCCCCCACAACCCTTAAAAGTATAGCACCTTATAGCACACTTAAGCGTTATAATATGCTATAAACTTAAAGCCTTTAATCCTAAACAACCTTAGATTATTATACAAATATTTACATTAATTTAATAGAGAAAAAAAATTACAGAAATTTCTATTATTAAATACACTAATTAAATAACGTAATAGCATATTTAATATTTATTAAGAGTTTTGCTATGTGCACTACCTATTTTTGCTATTAGGGCCTTAGGTGCACTACCATTAAGTACCGGTACATGCCCTAAATTTTGAAATCCGGGCCTAATCTAGCGCCTCTAGCGCCCCCAGCTGCCCACATCAATTCAATCCATATAACTTTTCAACCACATGTCGCATTACAATGCAACTGGATTCAATTGAAAGCGCATTCAATTACCGATTGATTGGTGTAGGTCTCAAATTGAGGCGATGGGTGGTCGCTGAGTTATTCAAGTAAAAAGGTGGCAGCCCGGGCGGCACGTGACTACCCTTAAAGCCACACTAAGACCCCTTAGTGCCACGCCAGGGGCCCTTAGAGCCGCCAAAAAGCCCTAGAGCCGCCTGGGGTCACGCTAGGATCTGTCACGTGACTGCTCTCGAGACAAATACCAACATAACTCTTCAACCACGTATCGCCCCAAATTGCGGCTGGTATCAATCAATCAGTAATTGAATTCTCTTTCAATCAAATCCGGTTGCACGTTTGTAGCAATTTGTTTCAGGGAGTTATTCAAGGTTGAAACTGCTGAATAAGGTTTGGGTCTAAGGGCGCCAAGGGCGCTAAGGGCCCATAGTGTGGCTCTAAGGGTGATCACGTGCCTCCCGTCCTGCCACCTATTTACTTGAATAAATTTGCGACCACGTATTGCCTCAATTTGAGACCTATATCAATCAATTGGCAATCGGATTCTCTTTTAATTGAATCCAGTTGCATCGTGATGCGACATATGGCTGAAGAGTTATTTGGGTAGATGGGATGGATGGCTTGGACGGGCCCCGGCTTTTAAGGTTTAGTGGACTTATGGGATGTACAATACCTAAAGGTAGTGCACCTAAGCCCCCGATAGCAAAAATAGGTAGTGCACATAGCAAAACTCTTTATTAAATAAATTTATAAGGCTTTATAAGTAGGTAAGTATGTTGGCGATGATATTTCTTACAGTGGTAGAAAAGTGGAGGAACTGTGGGGCTGAGGTATATCTTGGTCTAAACTTTTGGCCACAACCTTCGTACATCTGAGTAGAATAAGTGGAACTCCTCAGAAGTACCTGCGCGACATAAAGTTATGCAAACCATCTGTAGCATTATTTCACTAACAATTCTTTGCTAATGTCCTCCGTCGATATATCTTCATCCCCACAACATCCGAGTTTGATATAGCATACAACTTACACTTCGCAGAGGACAAAAAAAATAAGCACATAGGCGAGGTTTATCTATTAGATACATTTTATGAGTGAAAATGAGCAAAAAAAACCTATCTGAACACGGAGAGCTACCGGCCTACTTACGTTAGTCATAGGTAGAAGTGTCTTGCCAACTCAACGAACGAAATGTTTAAATGCTAGAAAATAGGTGCACTCAAGTAAGGAGAACGCAGCGTAACTCGAGACGAAAACGAGCACAAGAAAGTGAATTAGTTATGAAGATGCTGAATAATATACCACTTTAAAAGCTACCCTCTAAAATTTGATGCTTCAAGTTGGTACTAGGTAGTTACCCCCTATTTCTCAATCTCTCACTCTCCCTCCCATCTCCTAACCACCACACCCAACCAAAGATTGTACACATTAACATATTCATCGTATTCATGAATGATATAATTCAAACCCAGTTAGTAACTAGGCCTTAGCTAAGCTAAGCCTAAGTAGATTCATCAACCACCGATGACCAAACTCCTCGCTTCCCCCTCTCCCCTTTCCTGTTTAGCCCCTAACTATATGCCCACCAAGGTGCCTCGGCGAGTACAGGTACCCAGGTAGGCGTTCAAAAAACCTAACGCATAATCACCGTCCTCATGCTCACCGGCACACTCACCGGCACACTCTCAACACTCTCAACATCCCTCTCCACATCCCTCTCCCGCCCCCTCTCCATCTCCACCCCCATCCCCGTCTTAAGATCAATCTCCCCAATAGGAATCAACAACGGACTCCCTCCGCCTCTCCTCCTCACAACAACCATATACCCCGCCCACAGCACCACCACCACAATGCACCCCAGCACACTAGCCAAGAAATGCGGCGGCTTCGGCAGCGGGCTCCTCACCGCCGCCACAACCTGCGCCACGAGCCCGAACCCAAAAACCAGTATCGCGAGCGCGCTGCCCGTGATCCCGGGCGGCGACTTCCACCTAAGCACCTCGGCCTCCTCCAGCCCCTGCCTGCGGATCGCGAGGCGCAGGCGGATGTGGCTCGCGCAGATGGAGATCCAGGTGAAGTAGTTGGAGCCGGCCGCGAGCGCGAGCAGCCAGTCGAAGACCTTGTCGCCGCCCTTCGCGATCTTGACGAGCGAGAGGAGGGAGATGGCGAACACGAGCGCGAGCGCCGGCATCGGGTACCCCCACTTGACCTTGGCGAGGCACGCGGGCCCCATGCCGCGGGCGGAGATGGCCTGGAGGGCGCGGGAGGAGGCGAAGACGCTGGCGCTCGCCATGGAGAAGACGGCGACGATGATGATGCCGTTGAAGGCGGACGCGAGCTCCGGGAGGCCGGCCTGGTCCATGGCGGCGACGAAGGGGCTGATGCCGTTGGACTGGATGGCCTCGGTGAGCGGGACGCGCAGGACGAAGCCGAGCATGAGGATGGGGAGGAGGTACAGCCAGGCGATGCGCACGGGCACGATCTTGCACGCGAGCGGCATCACGCGCTCGGGGTACTCGCACTCGGCGGCCGTGAGCCCGAGCATCTCCGTGCCGCCGTACGCCATGCCCGCCGCCATGAAGACGTACAGGAAGCCGAACGCGCCGTTCTTGAACGCGTCCTGCTTCCACAGGTTGATGCCTACCTCCTCCGCAGGGCGCTTGTCGCTGGGAACTTGTCTGATCGTGATGAGCAGCGCGACGATAATGAAAGTCGACAGCACGAGCGTCTTGCAGGCGGCGAACAAGTTCTCCGTCTCCGCGTAGCCTCTCGCGCCAAACGCGTTGACCAGAACCAGGGCGAGGATGAACGAGGGGAGCACGAAGTGCGCCGGCGCCAGGGGGTCCCAGTAGCGGACGCAGAGCAGGATGACGACGAGCTCGAAGACGATGATGAAGACGAAGTTGACCACGTAGTTCCAGCCCATCGCGAACCCCCACGCCGGCGAGATCAGACGCACCGAGTACTCGTAGAAGGACCCGCTGACGGGGATGGCCGCCGACAGCTCGCCGAGCGCGCACATGGTGGCCCAGACGGCGCAGCCGACGACGGCGAAGGAGACGAGGAGGGAGCCGGGGCCGCCGACTGCGAGGCTGGAGTAGGTTGCGAGGAGCAGGCCCGCCCCGATGGAGCTGCTGAGGGCCATGATGGTGAATTGTCGCATGGTGATGACTTTCTGGAGCTTGCCATCGTCGGGGGGGATTGGTGTTGGAGGACCGAGCTCCATGGTATAGTTATAGGATCCGTCCATGGGTGTGAAAGTCCTTGGTAAAAGGGTGTGTGATAATGATTGTTCGTTGGTTATTCGAGTGAGAAAGAGATGTTATGATAACTCGATTCTGGAGTTGCTTGTGTGTATTCTAGTCGCGAAGACTCGTGATAGTTTCAGTTGGGATATAACTTTGAGGCACGGTATTGTGACAAAAGTTGGCTACCAACAAAATGTTGTGTTTATCGTAAGGCGTTGAGATGATGTATGGAAAGGGAGTGACTAGCGACTCTACACCCATATATATACTGAAGCAGAGCTATCTCCGCGGCTACTGATTACTACTAGGTAAATAGTGGCCATAACCTTTCCGAGTTGCTAGGAGAAGCGTATCTAGTAGATACCTAGCATAAGCATACTAACATAAGCATATAATAGAAGCCAAAATGTTGAAACTTTACTTCGTGGCGTTATGCTCGCCGCTTACCTAGTAGTGAAATGAGAGTGTCGAGTCAGACTGGCAGATGGGCAACTACTACTAGTAGTACTTCCCATCCTCATAAGCAAATGGTGTTTTTATCATGTCCCCCTGGCAACGGAAGAGCATGGCTACAAAGTTTGAACTTGAACAACTCAACCTAACCTAGCCTAACTCTAAGCTTATATATCTGTCAGGGAATCTGAATAGTGTAAAGTAGACAATAGGAGATGTAAGTCTCGTCAGACTTGTTATTCTGGACCATAGAATAATATCGTATAACAGAGCCCCTATTTCACCAGATAGGTATTTTAGAACCTTGCAACGAGTCGGTCATAAAGCGACAACTACAATAAGTGATTCGTAAGAAAAGGGGGAAATACTCCATGGTACAGAGTACTGATACTATTAATAGTCTTACAATTGGTTCTCTTAATTCCTACCTACCTAATAGTATCCTAACTCCTAGTAGCCCTTGTTACGATTCGGGCGTGCCTTGGGTCAGGTCTTTTATGTTCGCATCACAAAAACCAGTCAAATTTACATAATCTGCTTCATTACTTCATCATTGTCAACATTATCGTAGGTTAGACTATTCACACCTGATGGAAAATCATGCTATCAATATCCTAGTGTCCCTTTCATTGCGATTGCCAACGCCAATTCAAACTGCTATTCCCAAGGCTTAGGCAGCCACTGCGGCACTTCTACGCGCTTGTGCACCTCTACGCGCAGACGGACCACCACTGGGTCTAGACAAGGTGTATTTGGCGAACGCTCGTGCCAAAGCCTTCTTGCAGCTGACCTTTTGGCTGCCGATGAAACTGTCCACAGTGACAGCGATAGCCCGATCAATATCCTGAGCTGTACAGTATTCTGACAATCGCATCCGACAGAAGGCCTCGGATATTCGAATAATGGCTTCCAAGTGACGGACCTAAGGAATGTTAATATACGAAAATAAAGACTGCATGTGAAAAAAAAAAAAAAAAAAAAAAAACTTACAGTAATAGGATAAGCACCCGTGGCTAGTGATTCTCGTCGCATATCTGCGAATAGTCGCGCTACCTTGTCTTCGTCCATATGTAAGAGCTTGGGTTGGCAGTGCTCTCGTGCATACAAGATATATTTGCGCAACAATTCCTGGGGGATCTCGTTTTCTTTCTTTTGCTGCGCTTCGGTTTCTTGTGTTGTCTCGGAATCATGTTCAACTTCCATAGAACCGTCCGTTGCCTGGGTTGCCTGGGTAGTTGGATGACTGCGACTATGTGAACCGACGATGAATCGTGCTAAACGTTCATCTTCGGCGGGGTCTACAGTATCACGTACAACACAAAGGATATCGAAACGAGACAGGATAGGCTCCGTTAGTTCGACGTTGGATGAAAACGGGATGGTAGAGTTATAGCGGCCACCCAATGGATTAGCCGCTGCAATAATACCACACCGAGCCTGTAGAGTAGTAACGATACCAGCCTTGGAAATGGAAATTGTTTGCTGTTCCATGGCTTCGTGGATAGACGTTCGGTCTTGATCGTTCATTTTATCGAACTCATCGATGAGGCACGTGCCTCTGTCGGCGAGCACCAGAGCACCTCCTTCCAAGGTCCATTCGCTAGTCAGAGGGTCTCGACGGACACTAGCCGTGAGACCGACAGCTGAAGCTCCTTGACCAGTGGCAAAAACAGCACGATGTGCGGTCTTTTCAACGTACTTGAGCACCTGGGATTTGGCTGTACCCGGATCACCAAGTAGAAGAACGTTGATATCTCCTCGCACGTGATGGGCACCCTTCGTTGTCTTAGCGACGCCACCGAAAAGTGATAGAGCAACAGCCGTCTTGATATCGGTGTGACCATAGATACTGGGTGCAATCGAATTGATTACCTTCTCTATAACTTGGGGGTCGCGAGAAAGTTTACGGATGTTATGCTCATCTTCCTCAGTAAGTCTGAAGCCAGCAAGTTGGTCGTGAGCCTTGACGACGTTGTTTGCTTCTAAGATGGTGGCAAACACAGGGAACCCATTACGGTTGTTTAGTTGCGCATCGTAATTGTTTCTGTAGATACCGGTGACTTCGATCTCCTCACCAGGCTTCGCTTTGTCGATAAGATCCCATAGAAGAATGACCTCTCGATGTCTGGGCAAACGACCAGCAGGGACCGTTCCGGGCGATTCTTGGAGAGTCAACTTCTGGTAATTTCGGTAGACCGTCTTCTCCGAGTTCAAAGTGAAGGGTCCTCGAGACTGGCAGTTCTGACAGAATGAAATCTTAACCTCAACGCTGGATTCCTGTTGAAAAGGGCCTAGCGTCACGCCACACTTGGTACAGTCGAATCGGACGTATTTAAGCTGAGGGAAAACGCCTGTTCGTCGGGTAACCACACCGCTCACTCTAACCAAGCAGTTCAGATGCGATTGTCTCAGCTGACGGAGAGTGTAGTGAACTGGCAGGTCGAAAATTCGAACGTGGATGTCCGAGTGGATACGTTCATAGTCGGGATAATGAAGAAGAACAACTTCCATAGCTACATCGTCAAATAGCTTGAGCATTTCGGCGGGAGCGTTGGCGAGGAAGTACGCGAGGATGGCCTTTGACGAGGAGAGATGATCATATGATACCTCAAGGGTTTCGGCGTTGATCTCACCGAGGGTTCGAATACGATTGCCGTAGACTGAAGAGCCACTGTCGTCGGTATACTCTGTCAAGAAGGCCTTGAATTCTCTTTTAATAGTGCGCTGCACTGAAGGTTGGGATACCCAATCGGTCAAGCTTGAGGCTTTTACGTCTTGTAAAGCTTCAAGAGAGAGCTCCTCGTCCAAAATATCTTGGTCCATTTCATCATCAGGGTCTTCGTCGTAGTGGTGACGACGTCGACGGGGCTGGGCGGTCAAGTCTATATCACCGTCCTCGTCCTCATCTTGAAGGAAAGCTTGTGGCATTCTCCGTCTACGATCAACCTCTCGGTCTCGGCGGTTCAACTGTGCTTCTAGACGTCGCCTTTCACCGATATTCATCTCGTCGAATTCGCCTTCATCATCGATATCGATTCCTTCGTAACCATCATTGTCATCCTTTTCTCTGTAATCTCGCTCGAAGCCCTCGCGGAAGAGATCTACGTCATCTTCGGCCATCTCATCGAGGTCTTCCAGGTCATCCTCGACTTCGACCTCTTCCTCGATATCGTCATCGTCGTCACCGCCATGAGCAATGTTGAAGGCAGGAGGGGAGGAGGGCATAGGACTAGAGGCAGCCGCTGAAGAAGCGCCATCACCGCCGGTGCGCGATCGTTTACGATTCGCACGAGGGGCAGTGCCGCGATTTGCGGAGTCCATGTTCATACGTAGAGGAGAACTAGAAAAGCACAGATAGCACAGATTAGGAGACTGTTGTAAGAGGATAGAGAGATGAATGTCAAATTTACCTCATTGTGAAATCCTTATTGGGTGTACCTTGATTATAACCAAGCCAAGTGGTAAGGATAAAGTCAGATCAAAGGAGTGATCTGTTGGGGATAGTGGGACTTGGAAAATTGAAGGGAAAGGGGATTAAGCAGTTTCTTGGTGGATGGTGAATTGTAGATTGTTAGATTGTGGAGGTGCAGTGGATAGTTATAGTGGATACCAGTGGACACTGGAAAACACGAAACAAAATCAATTTACGCGTTCTTAATTTTCTATTACTGGTAGTACGCGTCGTGATCGCGTAAAGTGGCACTAGACTATCTTTGTATTAGCGTATCAGAATCTCACTAGTTTGAATTATGTAATTCCGCCTGAGGTCAAATACTACCCCAATTAACTTACTAAGAAGGCATCCACTGTGATATCATATTTCCTAGGTAGTTACTTCTAGTGCATCGCGGCGCGTTCTTAATAGTTAACTTCTTATTAAATGAGTCGCTCTGTCACACTTACATCTGTTAAGCTACATAGCACCATCACCACTTTTGCTCAATTCGCCTCTTCCTCATACACTCAACTTTAGCTATTATCGTCTTAATTATTTACTTGGTAATCTTTGTTGGCGATGGATCCTCCAGCCGCATCAAATGATTCGCATGACGCGCCGGAGGCCAGCGGGAGTACTATCATAGCTGCGCGACCTCGAACTGATAGCTTGTCACAGCAATCCGAGGATTCCCAAACTGCTGCTGAATTTATTAGAGATCAGCTGCAACTGGAAGCTGAAGCTCGCGAAGCTCTTCCTTATGTATGCATTTGATATTTTCCGATTTATTATTCATCTCGTCTTTTCAAATGGTACTCAAACTAATAAGACGACAATATCAGAGTATCGAGAACTGCACCAAGCCCCTTGGCGCATTGCTACAGAATATCTTTGCTTGCTTAACTTGTAATCCGGCCCCTACGAACCCAACCGATCCATACAACCCAGCCGGTATATGCTATGCGTGCTCCGTTCAATGCCATGGCGAACACGACTTGGTCGAGATCTTCCAGAAGCGCAACTTTACTTGCGATTGCGGCACAACACGATTTACTTCTGAGCAGAAATGCTCCCTTCGCATCAACCCCGAAACCAACACGAAGGGTGGCGTCCACTCCGAGGAGCCAGATCCCAACAACAAGTACAACCAAAACTTCCGGAACCGATTCTGTTCGTGCTCCATAGACTATAAACCTCATGAACAAAAGGGAACCATGTTCCAATGCCTAGGTCTTGGTACGCACGAAACTGGCGGATGCGGCGAGGATTGGTACCATCCCGGTTGTCTTGTCGGCCTAGGCCCTAGATGGTTCGAGAAGCAGCCCAAGCAAACTTCAAAGAATATCAATGGCGCACTTCCAACCATTTCAGAAGATACAACTACAACAACTCCACAGACTAATACTGGCCAACCTACCAGCGGTGACCAGGAAGTGGAAGAGGAAGAGGATGATGACGACCTGCCCCTACCTGAAGGGTTTCCTGCTGAAGATGCATTTGATCATCTCATCTGCTACAAATGCGTGGAAGCGTATCCTTGGATCAAGAGGTACGCTGGCACTCCCGGTTTCCTACCGGCAGTGTTCCTGCAAAACGATGTCCAAGTGGATGTCCAAAAGGATGGCGAACCCTCGTCATCGAAGAAGCGTAAGCTGGAAGATGATGTACCAGATGAGGACAATGAACGCAGCAAGCGTGTTAAGAGCGAGTCTGCGGAGGTGGAAACCGCCCCACCTATCCCTCAATTAGTCGACGACGCCACTCCCCAAGTGAAACCTGAAGAACTGAAGAAGGACGAGGAACCTGCGAAATGCAAGCTAACAACTCTCCCACCTGCGCCAACCGGCCAATTCTCCTTGTTCGCCACCTCCGGCTTCCGCGACCACCTCTGCCACTGCGCCTCGTGCTTCCCAGATCTTCTAGCCCATTCCCAGCTGCTAGAGGAGGAAGAAATGTACGAGCCACCTCTCTCCGACTCAGCATCTGACCGCGGCGGCTCCACCCACGGCAGTGGCTCGCTGTACGACCGCGGCGAGTCCGCCCTCAAGAACGTGGACCGTGTGCGCGCGATCGAGGGCGTCATGGCGTACAACCATCTCAAGGAGCGCCTGAAGCCCTTCTTCCAGCAGTTTGCTGAGAGTGGCAAGGCCATTGGCGCCGAGGACATCAAGGAGTACTTTGCCAAGCTCAGAGGTGACGAACAGGCGATCAAAGACGCGGGCGAGGCTGCGAAGGAGGATCAGCGGCAGGAACAGAGCGGCTACTAGGTTATTATGTGTGTGTAAAAGTAAAAAGGGGGTTATTGGTATTATCTAAGCGGGACTTTGTAGGAATATGCAGAGCTGGCATACCTAGGGCATCTTCATAAGGACTGTGCCTAGTTGGTACCTACCTACTTATCTACCCGCTTGTTTTATTTGGAGTTGGCGGGCATTTAATACCATGGATGGGTTTATACTTGATCGTAGGTATCTAGTAAGCTATAAGCTATACGGATTTTCTTTCCGCGCGATACTATTTGCATGTTTGGTTTGCTCTTGACAATGAGAGCACTATACTGGACGTTGTACTGACGAGTATACAAGAAATATACTGTATTTACTAAGGTAGGTACAGTAAATCTTCACGAATGCACATCCTACGCTACTCATAACCCCCACACCCTCACAACCACAGCCTTGGAAGTGTCAGAACTTGCTACAGCGGGACTCCTTAGCGCAAGCTGCATGAGGCTCAGCGCCTGGCTACCGAGGTACACGGGGACCTTCAACCGCTGGGCCTCCTCGACCGCCTCCTGGAGCTGCCGCACACACGTCCCAAAGCTCTCTGTCTCGTCTCCCGTCGCCGGTGGCAGTGTTTCCCCCCGGCAGAGCTTGATGATGTCCGGCCCGACAGTCTTGAGCACGGAGCTCCCGCCCGCCGCGTTGACGCACAGCTCGAACACCTGGTCGAGATCTAAGCCACACCGGCTCGCGAACGCGAGGGCTTCCGCGGCGGAGCAGAGGTAGATCCCCTTCAGCAGCGCCTTGACAAGCGCGACGCTCCTCACGTCATTCCTCTGCGCCGACCCGCGCCTCAGCACCCCCGGCGGGTCCGTCTTCCCTTGTTGGCCCTCGATGTACAATCGTATCAAACTACTGTCATCGTCAGCGCCGTACCCGCGGGCGAGCGCGGAGAAGTAGACCTGCTCGGCGGTACTCGTCATGGGCGTCGGGAACGCCGCGCGCCGCGCCTCCGAGGTGATGATGCCGGTGTCCTTGAGAATAATCGTCAGCGCGCTGGCGACGGGCTGGAACTCCGGGTCCAGCATGCGCGGCAGCCGGTGCTCGAACATCCACGCCCACGCGTCGGCGGACCCGATGACCTCCTGGCTCGCGAAGTGCGGGTCCAGGTTCAGGTGCGTCGCGAACCCCATCCCTTCGCTCGCCGCGAGGATCTGGTTCGCGGCCAGCACCTGGTGGCACATCTTCATGTTGCTCCCCGCGCCGATCCCGCCCTGCACGATGTACAGTTTCGTTGGGTCCGCCATCTCTTGCAGGAGGAAGCGGCCTTTGTCGATGGAGGCGTCGAGCCCGCCTGCCATGATGGACAGTGTTCCCTCTGCGGCTCGCTGGGCGCCGCCCGAGACGGGCGCGTCGATTAGCCGGATGTCGCCCCGTCCCAGCTCGGCTAGTTCTGCTTCTAGACGCTGGACGTATGCGCACGGCACGGTCGAGCATAGCAGAAGCGCAGCTCCGCTAGGCAGCGCCGAAACGGCCGGGTCCTCGCCGGTGATAAGCACGGCTTGGGCCTGTGCGGCGGTGGCCACCATGCACACGCAGAAGTCCTTGTCCTTGACGGCCTCGGCGGGCGTCGTGGCAATGCTGCCTCCCGCGGCTTGGAACTTCTCTAACGTGGGTTGCCAGACATCGAATCCCGTCACGTTGTATCCCCTTTTGACCAGGTTGGTGGCCATGCCGAAGCCCATGGCTCCCAGGCCGATGAAGGCGATTTCGGGTTTTGCGTCCGCCATTTTGGCCGCTGGTGTGGAGTTTCTCCTTTTCCCCTTTACTTTCCAAAATGTAAACGACAAACAAAGTACCTGCCCAACACGCCAGAAGTGGAGAAAGGAGTCTAACCTAGTATAATATTTATCTAATAATCTATCTATTTACTCTTTATAACGAGTTGGTCTCTTCTAGCACACTATCTAGCTTTCCCCTAACTGTTCATTCAACACAAACCCTGGAACCCTGGAACTGACTCAAAGTACCATTACCGAAAATAGAATATGTAACGGCTGAAGTCCATGATGTCTCCATGTTGCCGACTACGGCCCGGACGGGAGGGGACAACAGAATGTACCCAAATAAGTACTTAGTATATGTGACATATGACATATGACCTCAATACATATAGTAAGAATATGAAAGAAATGTGAGTGTCGGTATTACTATGAACCGAGCAATCTCGGTACAGGCAACAATGAAAGACCACGAGACAGGGTGGAGTATAGGCACTATATGGGGGGGAAGAAATAGAGAAACAAAAGGGGGGGGCATAGGTAAGGGAAATAAGAAGTAGTTAGACTAAAGGCTGAAATGGAACATGGAAACACTCCCCCGCCTTCAACTCCGGCAATGTAATAATACCTAGAGACATACATACCTTAGGGTACTGTGTAAGTTGGAGTAGGTAAGGTAAGGTAAGGTAGCGAGTATATAGCTGTAACCCCACGTTAAGACTGGATCCACTTCATTGTTCTATACAACTGGAGTGCATTCCGATGTCATCGTTTAAATTTCTTTGAGGTGATATCCATGTTAGTGGAAGGTGGGGGGATATAGCTACAGCAATAACCGCTTGAGTATAGAAGCTTGTAACTGTTGACTCCTTTTTTTTTTCTTAAAAACCAAGACTTGAGAATATACATGATCATTGGACTTATTATAACCTATAATACTATATAGAAACTGGATTATATTATACTTACTACTATTCTACAATACCAATTCTCACACTCCAACCCATTGACAATCAAAAACACACTTCACTAAACCCCTTACCTACCTACTTCAACCCCCAAAATGGCCCGCCCCCCCCTCTCCCAAAACCGCTCCATGGCCATCCTCAACGCCGCCCTCGCCTCAGGATACGCCGTCCCCGGAATGTGCTGCTACAACATCGAGTCCATCATCGCGACCGTGCGCGCCGCCGAGTCCGCCCGCTCCCCCGCCATGATCCTCCTCTTCCCCTGGGCCCTGACCTACGCCGGCACCTCCCTCGTGCGCGCCGCCGCCGACGCCGCGCACTCGGCCTCCGTGCCCGTGAGCCTGCACCTCGACCACGCGCAGACCCCCGAGCTCGTGCGGCGCGCCGCGGACATCGACGGGGCCTTCGATAGCATCATGTGCGACATGAGCCACTACGAGAAGGAGGAGAACCTCGCGCTGACGAGGGAGCTGGTCGCGTACTGCCACGAGCGCGGGATAGCCGCCGAGGCGGAGCCGGGGCGGATCGAGGGGGGCGAGGACGGGGTCGCCGAGACCGCGGACCTCGAGGCCGTGCTCACAACCCCCGAGCAAGCAGAGGAGTTCGTCGCAACCGGCATCGAGATGCTGGCCCCCGCCTTCGGCAACGTGCACGGGGAGTACGGCCCGCGGGGGATCCAGCTCGAGTACTCGCGCCTGGAGGCGATCAACGCGGCGGTGGGGGACCGGGTGCGGCTGGTGCTGCACGGGGCGGACCCGTTCGACGAGGCGATTTTTAGTCGGTGCATCAGGGCGGGCGTGTCCAAGGTCAACATCAACAAGGGGATGAACAAGCACTACGCGGCGGTGCAGGAGGAGATGCGCGGGAAGCCGCTGACGAGCGTCATCGAGGCGGGCACCGACAGGATGCAGGCCGCTATCGAGCAGTACATGCACTGGCTGGGTAGCGCGGGCAAGGCGTAAGTTGGGTGTGTGTATGCCGCCTTTACATGCATGTCTACCCTATAAGGTCTTATATAGTGGTTGGTAGATACACGCTATATGCATGCACGATGTGCTGATAAGCAGGCATATTGAACATATACATGCACATAGGTACTTATACCTGTAGTAGTATACAACTGTATACATAGCGTTCGATGTTGGGTACATAATATCATGTATAATACATAAATCTTACAGGAAACGTCTCAGCTATTCACTTTTACTTCTATTACATGTTTATTACATAGTACTATACTATCTTGGACAACACCACCACATAAATCTCACGATGTACCACATATACCATACCAATTAGTTTACCTAGGTTCCCAGTCCTACCTAATGACTACACTAGGTTAGATATGTACCCTACCGTACCTACTATATGAAAATCGTATATACCCAATTTATAATCCTTCCTGTAAGCCCTGTATAGCTACCATCGCACCCCAAGCACCCGGGTCTGGGGGTAGACCCTTACTGCTATCCGCATTAATATACGTCGCCCTACCCAGCTTCGGCTCCAGAGTTCTGGTTAGCTGTGCGCCCTTGACTGCGGCATCCACGCCGTCTTTAAACTGTCCCGACCGTAAGCCATCGGCAAATGGGATCAACGTGTCCATCACCGTGCGGTCGCCAACCTGGGCCGGCGTGAACTGGCGCAAGGTATCCAGCGCCGTGCGCACCGCCGTAGCCCACAACTTCGGCAGCCCTTCGCTCTGAGCCAGCGCCAGGTTGTCCTGGAGCGCCGTTCGCATCGACACGAAGAAGATGCCTAGGATACCGCCCAGCGTGCCGCCCATCTTTCCCTCCACAATCTCCTCCAGCTCTTGCAGCACTGCGAACACGGACCCTTGCGCCGCCAGGTTCTTAGCGTCCAGCGCCGCTACCAGGCAGTTCGCTCCAGTCTTCAGCGTCTCGCCGCAGTCGCCATCTCCCATCACCGTGTCCCACTTTGTCAGGTCCGGCTCCGCCTTCACCAATGCCGCGCACGCGCTGCGCAGCATCCGGTCAAGCCTCGCCGGGTCGATCCGCAGGTCCTTGCCCTCTTCAATGACCTCGCGTGGCTCTACCGTCGGCTGCACGAACTGCTCCTGTCTGTTGCGCCGCACCGCTTGCGACCCTGTCATAGACTCCCAATGCGTGTTGGTCCGCACATCAAAGAAGCCTTTAATGTCCTCGGCACTGTAGGAACAGTTGGCCGCTGCCGCCGTCACGTTAACGATGGAGACGGAAAAGGCTGGCGCGTTGAGCGACGTCTCTAGGAACCCGTGACTTAAGCGCACAGGTGCGAGCTTCCAATTGGCCGCAAGCTGCTCCAGAAGCTCGTCTACCAGCGCTCCCATTTCCAGCCACGACATGCCGCCAAAGTTGCTCACAAGTAGGATTGCCTCGTCGCCCTCCTTGAACCTGACGTACCCTCGCTCCGGGTCCGTCTCGTCGAGGAGGTACGTCAAGATCTGCTTCACGAGCTCCTGAGCCGACGGTTTGGGTGACAACTTCTGGTACCCTGGCTCGTTGTGCGGGCCCGTGCCGATTTCTAGCTCGTTAATGCCTAGCATCGCGTGTTCCGCCCGTCCAGGCACGTGGCAGTGGTCGAGCGTTGCCGCGATGGAAACAATCTGCTGAGAGAACGCGACACCTAGGTCATACACTTGGTCTAGAGAACCGCCAGCACCGGCCGCGCCGCCCATGACCTTAAGCACGCCGAGTTGGCCAGCAAGGCCACGGCGACCAACGAGACTGCCCTTTCGGCCAACAGAGACGTCGTCTCCACACATGATCATCCTGCACTTGTGGCCCTTGGCAATGGCCTTTTGGTTGGCTAGGCCAAAGTGCAAACAGTCGCCCGTGTAGTTGGTGACGACCATGATCGTGCCTTTCTCCGACGGCACGGCGTCGATTGCGGCCAGGATCTGCTTGGTGCTGGGCGAGGCGAAGATATCGCCGGCGACGGAGGCGGCGAGCAGGTTCTGACCGACATAGCCGGACCACGCAGGTTCGTGGCCAGAGCCGCCGCCACTGACTATGGAAACATTGGATTTGTTATACGCTGTGTCGAAGACCACTCTGTTGGCTTCATCCAGACTAAGCGAAGGGTTATAAGCGATGAGTCCTCTAATGCATTTGGTGACGAGCCCATCTGAGGACTCGAAAATGTGACGGGAGGACATATCAAAAACAAACTTTTGATTGTTATGATGTATGATGTAGGATGTATGATGATGGAGGGTCGGGTAAAGAGGTAGCTGGCTGGTTAAGGGATAATTATGTGTGTGTATATATGTGTATATGTGTGGGTGTGGGTGTGGGTGCTTGTACGAGTCGAAAGAATGAGGGAATCAAGGAGTCAGAGGGAGCTACAGACAATAGACAATTTCTATCACGGAGAACAAAGGTAGGTATGCAAATATGTAGATAGGTATGTATGCAGGCATGTGTCGAAAAGCGGTTCCTCAGATAGTTCTGGGTACTATCTGGGTACTATTACATGAAAGAAGAGGATCGTGGAAACCGAAACCAAGGGGTTACCATATCAGGCAACACCACATCCTTTTGACCCATCAATCCATCTTCCCTAGTCGTCGAGGCTCGTGATCACACATGGTAGCGTTGGTGACATAGAGCACCCAGTCCCGAAATTACTTGGCCTCGATCATAATTTCGTAAATCGCCATGTCATTTAGCCTTCCAGACCCTTTCCCCACGGGGCTATTTGGGTATAGTGGTATAGTGGTATAGTGGTATATCGGTATACGTGACAGGCCTGTTTTTTTTGCTGTCCGTATGATTACCGAAGGAGGGGGTGAAGGAGATGGGTACGACAAATAGCGAATAGCGATGCCGGGGAGGGAAAGGGAGAGAGACATTGAGAGTAGAAAACAGCGAACTATTATTGGAGTTCCTTGGAGTCCATTGGAGTTCATACTGTACATACCTAGTATCATTATGTATTATGTACAATGTCATGTATATTGTAGGCAGTACATATCATGTAAGTGATGTAACTTGTAAGTGCTGTCAATTGAACTTGAAGGGTTAAATTGTTGTGATATTTGCCATCGGATTGCCCAATCCGGTAATCCGATAGGCTATACTTTGTTGTACCACATACCTTACCACATACCTTACATGGTACAGTACATACACCCCACTTCAACAAAGAAAGGAAAGAAGCAACCTCACCTAGTACATATGTATGTAGTCTTCAAAGGGGGGAAGGAATGAATGAGTGTGCTATGCTGAATGTACTGAATGTACTAAATGTACCGAGGAGTATGGATGAGTGGTAGACTGGTAGTACGGAGGCACTGACAGGCAGGTACTATGCAGCAAACTGACCTTGAGCTTTTCTTTTCTTCTCTTTTCTTCTCTTCTCTTTTCTTTCCTTTTCTTGTCTTGTCTTGTCTTTTACTTTTTATTATTATTTATTATTTAATACTTATGTTTCATAACGCCTCCTTCTTCCTCCTTCTTTTACATGTCAACTTGTAAGGTGATGAAAACTGTGCTGGCAGATATCCTTCTGTGTCCTACCTAAGTCTCAAGTCCTCATTATCTCATTAAACCTCACTTCACTTTTCCTCCACCCGTATAAATAACTCTCACGATGGCTGAGCCCAAGTGGAAGATTGCTATCGGAGCTGATGTAAGTCATCCTTCCTCTTTACCGCCCTTAGCTTACCCGCTCGTCATTCCACTCGAACCTTTGTCCTCCTCCACTGCTGACAACACCTTCGTATAGGACGCCGGTGTCGGATACAAAAACAAGATCAAGGAAGACTTGGAGAAAGACCCTCGAGTAGAGTCTGTAGTAGATGTCGGCAGTCTTTCGGCAGATGACAAGACAGCATATCCACACCGAGCGGCAGAAGCAGCACAGCTCGTCGCCGATGGCAAGGTTGACAGAGCACTGCTCATCTGCGGCACAGGTCTAGGAGTCGCAATCGCGGCGAACAAGATCAAGGGAGTCCGAGCCGTGACTGCTCACGACAGCTTCTCAGTTGAGCGAGCTGTGTTGAGCAACCATGCTCAAGTGCTCTGCATGGGAGAACGAGTTATTGGCTTGGAACTGGCGCGCAGACTGGCCAAGGAATGGCTTGGATACGTGTTTGACGAGAAGAGCGCGAGTGCGGCCAAGGTAGAAGTTATCAAAGACCTGGAGAAAGCGTTATAAGTTGGAGTGGCATAACGTATGAATAGGTATTCGAGGGCACCAAGTGAGCAAGCATTGTTATTTGCATGGGGTCTATATACCCATTTTGCCTAGGGGGCCGAACGTTTATACGTTACGGGATGCCGCCTCGCGTGGCAGCTAGGTATTCTAATGAAAGCATAGATTACGACGTATTCTAGAGCTAGATTGACAGCAGATAGCATTTGCTTCAGCTGTCATAGAATCAAAATAGCTAAATAAATAAATAGAAATCTGTATATGTAGGTAGTGATGACTAACTCACTATTACAGGAACCGACAAGTATAGGGGTATGGGGTTCGACTAACCTAGGTTAAAAGAATGTGTAAATAGTAGTCTTGACTTAGACTTGGATTTTGAGTCTAATTCGTAGCGTATTTCTTGCTACCTACCAAAAACAACTGAAAGCTTTAAAGCACCCTTAGCAACACGACATACAGCATTCTAAAAATACCATAGACTGACTTCCAAATGTACCTACCTACATAACCTAGGTTATATATAATATATATATACCTTAGATACCTATGTACGTACAATGTGGAGCTCTTAACCCACTTGAATGGACATGGAACAGGAACTATCCCGAGATCCATAACCATGTCTGTCCCATGGCCATCCATCCATCCATTCATTCCGCCCTTCTCATCTGTCATCCCACACTGCCGGTAACGGTAACGGAAAGCCGTTAAAAGTAATCAAAGTCATACATAAAAAAAAAAAAAAAAAAAAAAGCGAAGCTCGCTAATCTCGCCAGCGACGCCGGGTAGCACGATCGACCTGCCTAGACGTGCTTGCATGACGTCCCCCCCCCCCCCCCCCCCCCCCCCCTTTTTTTTTTCTATATTCGTTGTCTTTCACATAATCACATTGACATCCGAGTTTACTGATATGTAAATTGAATGTATGTAGGTACTTTTCTTATTGTCTCACAGCCCAACATTCCCTCTTCTCCGTCTCCGTCTCTGTCTTTATCTTTTATCTCTCTACTACGTACTCTACATACCTCTCTCTCTCTCTCTTACCTCCGGATCCGAAACCCACATACCTACCTAATCCCATTCCATTCCATTCCATCCCATCCCATCCCGCACCAACCAACCAACCAACCAATCAATGGCTTCCTCTTCCTCTTCCTCCTCCCCTTCCCTCTCCTCCCCCCCCCCTCGCCGCCGCCTCATAGGCGTCTCCACAAAAATGTACTTCTCCGCCTCCCGCACCTCCGCATACGTCCGCTCGCTCCTCTCAATCCTCTCTTCCCCCCACCCTCCTGGCCCCCCCTTACTCTCCGCCCTCGACATCTTCATCATCCCCGACCACGTCACCCTCTCCTCCGTCGTCGACCAGCTGCGCAGCCACAGCCACAGCCACAACCACCCGGACACCGTCCTCCTCGCCGGCGCCCAGGACGCGCACCACGCCGACGCAGGCGCGTACACGGGGTGCGTCTCCCCCGCCGTCCTCGCCGAGGTCGGGTGCCGCATCCTCGAGATCGGGCACGCCGAGCGCCGCCGGCTGTTCGGCGAGACCGACCACGACGCCGCGCTGAAGGCCGTCGCCGCCGTGCGCAATCGCATGATCCCGTTGATCTGCATCGGGGAGAGGACGAGGGCGGGCGGGGATAGCAGAAGCAGCAGCGACGAGGATGGCTACAGCGACGAGGCAGCAGCACAGACAGCCATGGCAGAAGTCGCCCCCCAAGTCTCCGCCGTCCTATCACACCCGGACCTGCCCCCCACCGCCGAGGTGATCCTCGCCTACGAGCCCGTCTGGGCCATCGGCGCGCCCTCGCCGGCACCCGCGTCGCACGTCGTGGCCGTGGCGCGCCGGATCCGCGAGCTGGAGTGCGTGCGTGGTCGGCAGGGGGGGGCCACGACGCGGATCCTGTATGGTGGGAGCGCGGGGCCGGGACTTTTCGCCAAGTTGAAGGACGGTGGGGTTGATGGGCTGTTTTTGGGGAGGTTCGCGCATGATCCCGAGGAGTTTTATAGGACGATTGTGGAGGTTGCTACGGCTTGATTCTTTGCGGCAGGTGATGGTGAGTTGTTGGTATATATCAGCCCCTATTTAGATCAAAAAGACTATCCGGATAGGTACTCCAAAGAATGCAAATAGCAAGTAAAATCGGCACCAAGTCAAGTGAGTCAACAGTAGATAAAAGCACAAAGTACTATTAAAGTAGCGGCCTAACTAAGCCAGCTGTATACTCAATTCTAAACGGGTTCTTGAGTGTCTATATATGACTTTGTGGTCCCTGCCCATTTACCCCCCTCGATGGATATCGCAACAAGGACCATCCAGCATCTATCAACCAGTAAATGACCTATGGTATCTTGTGTCGTGAAACAAACTGGGGTATTTTCCAGCGCCACGAAATATACTAAAGAAAGTTGAACACAGATATCTTGTCGCTTACATGTCACCCTTCTCGCTCTTGGCTCTTAACAGATCCAGACCGAGTACTTCTCCTACAAATGCTCTTGTATGCTGAGCCCAAAGCTGTCCGGCTCGCTCCATAGAGATAGCCCACTATCACTCGAAGTGTCCTGCACGGCCTCGCTTTCCCATGACACAACTTTGCACTGTCCGAATCACGGTCGTCTCGTCATCGCTCGTTAATCCCATGAGCTTATTCACCGGAAAATGCTTCGTGTGTGTGGGAGGACGGATGACAACTATCTCCAATAGTGCCATTTCTCAGTTTAAAACCCATTCGCTTCCCCTCTTAACGAATTTATCAAGGAGCATTGCTAAATCAGCAAGTGCAAACCGACAAACAAAGAAGGCGAAGAATTCAGCCGCATGCCTGGTACATAGCTCGAGCCCGACTTGAGTCTTGTCAGCATGACGGAGGCCGGGGTCGTCGACTTGGCGCGCGATTTGATCTGAGGCATGTTAGATGGAGGGAATGGTGAACAAGAAGGGGGCGCGGATTTTAATGCACTTACCAACCGTCTGCGCAGCATCAAATAGCCGCGCTAGGCTCGCCATATAGTGACTATGCGGTCCGTCGAAAGTAGCTGACGCAACGTCTCTTTTCGCAGGTTTACTGCTTGGATGAATGGTCATAGGTAGACTCGGTATAGAGCCAGAACCTATTGAGCTCGTCGTATCTCTTTCATTTATAGTAGGGTTGGTTGCTCCACCACTACTGGTTTTCGCCCCGTATGCGCTGGTCATGTTGGCGGCCGAGTTCTTGTTCCTTAGTCTTCGCCAGCTAAACGCTCCCCCCTTTACGCTGACACTAGCACTGCGTGGAACAGGGGGTACGATTTCGACGTCCTTCTCATCCCGCATTGCATTCATGCCCACGCTGCCAACCTCGTTGCCAAGTTTTCGCGTCAGAGCAGTTTGGGCCTGCTCAAGAATATTCTCGAAACTCTGCATTTCCTCCAGAACTGCATCTGCATCGTTGCTATCCACCCTTGCGAGTTTGAGAAGCGCAGCAGTTAGAAGATCACACTGGGCAATTTTATCTTCCACGACACGTAATTTTACGCCCTTGACCTTCCATGCATCTCGGGGAACAAACAGCCGGTTGCTAAGATATCCACCACGAGGGTGGGCCAGAGTCTGGTATAACGCGCGCATGAGCCAGAAAGGTCGAAGCATGGCATCGGAGGGACACGGCTCTAAAGGAAAGGGCACGTCGGGATTAGGGTTGTGATGATGATTATAAACCTGGTTTGGAGATTGCGAATCGGGCTCATGGAAATCCGAGTCGAAAAGGTGCATGCCGCCCATGCCACCTGTCATCCTCTCGTGAAAGGCTGCAGCGAACGGCGTAGGCAATGCAGGCATGGGCTGGCGAGAGACCGAGATGTTCGACATTACTTGGGTGAGAGGAGTGTTGGGTGAGAGATCAGACTCGTCGATGTGCGAGACAGAGAACTGGCGCGTTTTCAAAGACTTTAAGCTGGATGACGAGAAATTCTTGCGAATCCCAGGTCTTACAGAAGCTGGAGAGCCGTTCCGGACCTCTTCCAATTCTTGAGCAGCAGCCAAATTGGTTTGTGGGCTCGGAGGGGCTAGCCTCTCCGCTGGGCTGGCACTTCTGCCTGGCGATGAAGGCGCACGCATGGAAAAGGGTCCCGGTCGCGTCGACGTTGCTGACAGCGCCTGTCTTTGTTGAGCAATGAAACCGCTGGATGCTTTGAGCTGTGAGGCGGACGGTGGAGGCATATTTGGCGGGTCGCCTAGCTTCGATGTTTCGATCTTGAGCTGCTTAGGATTTTGCCCGGAGAGGCGGCGATTACGGACTCCAGATGTGGGTGACACCTGCTGCGAAGGCGGCGAGGATGGGAGGATCGGCTGTGACGATTTGAAGAGAGGTCCCGATGGTGGGATCTCAGTTACTGTCGACAATACCGTCGTAGCTGTCGGAGCGTTGGAGCCGACTGAGCTGTGCCACGTTCGAGACGTGACGCCGCTTGAATCGGATTCTCTGGGGATCTTGGATTGCGATGCTTGGGATTGTTGATTAAAAGAGAAGTCTTCCATCACATATTTCCTTGTCATTTCCTCTAAAACGCGCTCTTCTTCGTCGGAATCGTTGGCGTCGAAGAAGTCACCACCGAAGGTCTGAGGTTCTGGATCGAGTGACATCTGCCTTTGGCGCTCTCGTTCTCGGGCTAGCTCTATCGCTGCTTCGCGTTCAGTCTGCCGGACCCTCTCCTTTGCAAGCTCCACTTTGCGCATCGCATTGACCACTACGTCAGTGCTGTTATCACGGGCACCTTCAAAACCTATCTCATACGATTCCATCGGTTCATAACCCTCGTCGTATGCAGCTTCAACGGCGGCGTCCAGGGCGGCGTCAAACTCGGCCTCGGTATTGCCGCTAGGATGGCGAATATATTTCCTCCTTACTCCTACCGATGAGGACCTCGAGTGAACCGAGGATGAAGCTGAACCACCCGATTCGTCAATGGGATCTAGCCAGGATGCTGATTCGTGGCTGAGGTTGCGCTTGTGACCCCTCATGCTATTCTCGGCGGCTTGCGGTTCGGACCAGGAGAAATCTTGCCGTACGATGGGTTCGGGGGTCGGCGGCTTAGAAGGGGTAGTTGGCCTTCGAGGTGATAACGGAGCCGGTAGGTAGCCCGTACCCTGGGCTTTGAGGTCAAGGGAGGCCCCCTCGAAGTTTCGGCGTGCCTGGGGCTTCGAGAAGGATGATTGAAGGGGACGTTTGTCCTGGTTCGGATTGGGCGAACGTAGACGAGCCGCAGGCGACTCAGTTCTACTCGTTCTCCCCGCTGTAGGATTTCCTGCCTCCTTATCGACAAAGTCAAACTGAATTCCATATTCATCGACGCTCTCCGGTCGGGCGGGAAGTGCCTTGTCAGTCTGAGCTTCTATGGGTACCAAACCATCCAGTTCATCTATTCGGCTGGTATACGTAAGTCGCTACAAATATCGTTAGTCGCGCGCCGATGATTATCAAATTTCTCTCCAGAGAAACTCACAATGGCCTCTAGTTTTTTCCTATCATCTTCGCCATTTGTTCTTGCAAGCACATGTTGTAGAAGTTCGCAAGCTTCTACATATGATTCTCTCGCGGCGCCATAGTTCTGAGCATTGTCCAGTTGAACTGCTGCATTTGCTTTTGCTAGAGCCTTTGACAACATGGCTTTCTGGGAAGACTTGCTGCCGCGGTCTCTGACTCTAGTCGACTCGTTACTTGTTCTCGCTGTCGATGAGCGGCCTCTTGCGTGACTCCTCCTGTCGGGCATCGTGTCGCGAATAACGGGCGCTGCTGGGAGTAATGTAGAATTCCCTACAGTAGCCGTGTTCAAACGAGAAGGGTCATTCCAAGAGCGGTTCTGCGGTTCAGTAAAATCGTTGCGGCCGGACAAGGGAGATGGAGGTTCGAGACGGATAGCGGGCTCGGGGTTTGTATCGAGAGGCGGGAGAGAGACGATAGGGGGCAGATTCGGAGGCGCGGCGGAAAGCGGTGGATGTGGTGGTGACAAAGGCTTTTGTGTCCTCGGCGAGACACTCGAACCGTTGGAAGATGGTCGCTTGTGGAAAAACTTCCTCGAAGGCGATTGCAAGGCGTGTTGTTGATTATGATTGTGATTTGGATCGGAGCCTCGGCTTGAGGTAGTAGATTCTGACCAGCGATTGAGGTTTCGAAAGCTGTCGCTAATCGCACCAATGCTACCAGTTCGCGAATGGGTTCGGGAATGATTTCGTGAATGGCTTCGCGTCGCAGATTTTAATGATTCGAAGACGTTGGAGGGTGATATTTTGGTACTAGTATGGGTGTTCCGAGAGGGCGGTACAAGCGAGGAAGTTCTTGGCGGGGGAAGATTGGAAGGATTGGAAGGGTTGTTGGAAGGGTTGGAAGGGTTAGAAGGGTTAGAAGGGTTAGAAGGGTTAGAAGGATTGGAAGATGAGTGGTAATTAAATGAACTTTGCTGGGGATGCTGCTGAGAATTGAAATTATTGGAGTTATTGGAGTTATTGGTGCTCAAATTGGAATTGAAAGTTTGACTTTGACTTAGATGGGAATAGTGTTGCTGATGCTGGCTTTGCTGGTTCTGTAGATGGAAATGGGAACCAGATTGGCTTCGACTAGCGGCACTTTGAGTTTGCTTTAACGTGGTCGCGGTTGAATTCGTAACTTGAACTTGAACTTGAACTGGAACTGGAACTGGAAGTTGACCTTGAACCGTCGCTTCGTTTTCTGATCCGTATCTTACCGACTGCACAGCGTTATTTATAGAGTCTGTTATATCTGAAGTAAATTCTGTACTTCCACTTTGCATTATTCCATCTTTGTAGTCCACCTCTTTCTCCTCCGTTATCCCATTGGTTTTGCGATTGGGTTGAAAATGATTATTATTATTGCTGTGGCTGCTGTTGCTGTTGCTACTGATATCGTTGATGTCGTTTATTATCGAGACTGCCGAATTGTTTGATAAGTTATGAAATCCAGACAATGGCGATAGTGGTGAAGATTGCTTTTGTTGTTTCTTACTCTTATTAAGTTGGTATAGTGGAGAAGATGGTGATGGCGATTCTAGATGTGAAGTTGGCGTTGGTGTCGCCCGAGGTAGTGGCATCATGCTCCTTGCCCGGATCCCTTTATTTTCCTGCTACCTTACTTCGTACCTCCAAGGCTCCAAGGCTACTAGGTAGGTGACTAGGTAGTAGTAACAGCACGTTTTACGTGCTATGACACTCGCTAAGAGCAACTATTACACTGACTGATGATCCCGCCTACCTATAGAGAGTCGTCGTTAATAGGTAGCATAAGTAACATAACATACTAGGTAGCATGCGTGCAGCGTCGGTATAGACCCAGGTAAGCTCGTGCGTTGCCCGAGAAATACTTTGGATCATGTGTATGCGAGGATGTGATCTCTCTGTAAGTTAATGCGATAAGGCCCTGCTGCCTCTATGACCTTTTTGGACCCCCCCTGATTCCTCACCTCCATATGCTAGCTTCCCTAGGCTAAACCCTTCCGAAAAGGTGTTTCCCCTGTTCTTACTGTTGAAAATCATTAACTAAGAAAGGCATGCGCCGTACTAGGTACAAGTGTAGTAAAGATATCTGAATACTTAGTTAATGGGCAGTAGTTAATCAGGTAATTGGACAATTCCACTCTTCACAACATACATAGTACCTAATACTCCGTGTCTAGTATACATGTAGGTACTCCTACATATGTAGTATAGGTACTATATTACCGTATTACGCATGCATCATTGATGTATGTAGTGTATGTACATGTAATGTGAGAAAGGACGTACTACATAGTACTTCGTACATACCTAATGTATGCAAGATTCCCATTGATGGTGCTGGTGGTTCCACCAGGTCGTAATTTCCTCATACTGCATGTAAGATTCAGGAACGGCCGACTCCTTTTTAGCTTTCCTCTAACGGTTAATAAGGTTACCAATAGCAATCATTCGTACCAGACTTATCGTATTGCGCTACGAAATACATGAAACAAATGATTTATTACATAAGATACGACCCTCTTCATTCTCATCCCTGTAAGGCTTTACGCCTATCAGCCCTAGTAGTTTAGTATCAGCAACCTATTACTAGGTACTAGGTAGTAGGTACTAGTAGTAGGTAACTATCTACATCAATACATAAACCTCCTTTTCTTTCAACTTGTCGTCATATTGATATAACTATTCGATTTCATCTTCAGTCATGAGACTTCAAGCTGACTTACAATGCAATACACCACCCTCATAAAGATACCTCAGGCAATCTTTCAAGACCTGTGTCTAAGAGAACCCAATTGCGCTTTCTAATGTTTTGTTTAACGCTTCATGGAAACACTCAAGTGTACAAAATGGTCTGCCTCCAAACACGGCCCGTTTCAAGCTCAACAACCACTACGGTTTGGTCATATATATGATTTCATATATCTCTCTTTCGTGTAGTCATGTGCTGTGCACCTACGTCCTACACCTTATAGTCAAGGCGATGCCCATCTGCGCTCTCTCTCTAAATCAAGATCATAGCTCTGAACTTCATCAAAGTATCGATCATACATATATTTAAAATACCACTAAATATAGCTAGCTGAAGTTTGAATCCAACCTAGTCAGAGGAACACCATTGACACCATAGTAAAATATGCCGTGCTTGTAATTAATTCACTTCAATCAATGCTACGCTCTTTACCAAAAGGGTATCGCTTAAGAGGGCGGGGCATTAGATCTTGAGAAATTATTGCCTGGGACGATTAAACGTTACCTACCGAGAAATACGAGTGCTACATACATAATGTATTGCTAATATTAGGCATGAGCAGGCACTTAGACGTAATAGGGATTCACCAATTACATGTGAAGTCCATATGCTTGAACTGTACTCGTCGTGTAGAATTTCTTTAGACAGCTACGCCTACTTAATAAGGCAATGCTTCTTATAGAAGTCGGCTTTTCCAACAGCCGGTACAGTAACTCTGCGAGATGTCCGCTTTAACTCTTTTTTGCTTTATCATTCATAACTATCAAACCCAGTGTGCTCTATAGATCTCTCTTCAATCCCGATATTCTAATCAAAGTCGGCATAGTCTTAACTGCACTGTCAGGTTGCTTAAAACGTGCTCTTCTTGTAGTATGACGGTTTCCGTCGACTCCACATTTGCTGGAACGGGTTCTAGCGGGCCCCGTACGGTGCTCTCGAATTGGGATTGTCGGGAAGATACCAGCGTGTCGAACTGAACACCATCGGGGTTTGACACAATGACATATTGCATACGGACGTCATCAGTTGGGACTAATCCTGCCGTTTTCCGCATCTTTTGCACACGAGTCATAACATCGCGAGCGATTCCGTCTTCGACAAGTTCCGGGTGCGATGCTGTATCCAGAAGGATGATCATGTCTTCTAAGAACGCCGGCTCGTATTGCACACCCTCGTCCTTCACAATGTCGGGGTTTTCCTTGGCTATAACACGAACAATGTTGATATCGCTCCCTTCAAGCTCGATCCCCTTAATAGTAATCTTCTTGTCCTTCAAGTACTGCCTCAGCTGTTCCTGCGTGAGATCCGGCAAAGCTTTACGAACGACTTGCGCATCCCGCTTCAACTTCTTGCCCAGAGTAGGCCAGTCAACTCGGGCCTCCAGCTGAATGCCATACTTTTCCTCGTCATTCGTCAAGACAACGTCTCGGATATTGAGCTCCTCCTTGACGTAAGTAAGCAACTCTTCAATGTCGCTGAGCTGCTGTGGATCTGCAATGACTACAAGTGTGAGCAGAGGCGTTTTCAACGGAATGGTTTTACGCTCTCTGGCTGTCCTTGCAAGCTGGATCACTTTTTGCATAGCTGACACCTTCCTCTGAATTACTTCGTCAAAGAGCGACTCCTGTACGGTTGGGAAGGCAAGGAAATGTACACTCTTCGAGTTGGTGAATTCTGAGAGTGCATCACCAAGGTATGGCTGTAGAAGACTGTAGATATGTTCTGTGAGGAAGGGGGTAAATGGTGCGAGTGCCCGGACAAGTGTGAAAAGAACTTGGCATAGGGTGTCCAAGGCTGCTTTTGTATCTTTGGCATCAAGACCAGCGGCACCCTTGAGTCTCTTACGGTTGAATCGAATGTACCAATTAGTCAGGTTATCGATTACTGAAAGCAGACGAGGCACCACAGTGTACAAGCGGTAACCTGAAGAGTCAGCTGAAGGTTCCGATTCGACGGGGTTCAACGGGATTAAACTTACCAGCCATTTCTTGGTCAATAAACTGCAACATGCTCTGGCAGTCAGCGAGAATCCATCGATCCATAACGTTGTTAGTTTCTGGGAGTTGGGCAATGAAGTCATTGCCAGTCGTCTTCTTGAAGAGAGCGGCTTGTTCATAGAAGAAACGGTAACTGTTCCATAATGGCAAGAGAACTTTGGCCACTACCTCCTTAACTCCTGCCTCCTTAAACCGTAAAGGTTCACCACGGACGACTGGAGAGTTAATAAGGTAGAGTCGTAGCGCATCGGAGCCATAAAGATCAATAACAGTCTTGGGGTCTGGGTAGTTCTTGAGGCTTTTGGACATCTTCTTCCCATCTTCCGCTAGAACTAAGCCGTTGACGATGACTGCACGGAAAGGCGAGACACCAAAAAGTTTATTTCCTAAGACACTCAATGTGTAGAACCAGCCCCCTAAGATTAGGTTAGAATGAATCATGTTTGCACTAGAGGAGGACTTAAGGAGTCGAGCGCTAATAGATGGACTCTTCTCAACTCCGAGATGTAATACTTACTGGTTTGATCAAGTCCTTCTGCGATGAAGTCCGCAGGGAAGTTGTTGCCTTGGAACGTTTCTTTATTTTCAAAGGGGAAATGGTTCGACGCATATGGCATACTTCCCGATTCGAACCAGCAGTCGAAGACCTCCTCGACTCGACGAAGCTGTCCTTTGCCCTTTTTGGAAGGAATAGTAATTCCATCGATCTTGTCTCGGTGAATGTCGTCTAGAGGACCGGTATACCCGCTGAGCTCCTTGAGCTCGGCAATACTTCCCACACAAACGACCTCCTCGTAATCCTCACTAACCCATAATGGGAGTGGCGTGCCCCAGTATCGATTTCGCGCAATGTTCCAGTCGTGCGCATTGGCAACCCAGTTCGTAAATCGTTTCTCCTTTACAAATGAAGGTACCCAAGTCGTTGATTCGAGGTTGTTCAGCATATCAGGGATCGAATTAGTCACACGGATAAACCAAGAAGAAACTGCCTTTCTGATGAGTTGTGTGTCAGATCGCCAACAAAACTTGTCCACGTGAGATACTTGGGTGGCGACTATTAGCCGACCGGTCTCCTTTAAATCCTTTACGATGGCCTTGTCGGCAGTTTTGACGTGTTGGCCGACATAATCGATGACCTCAGCCGTAAAGAGACCTTTGTCATCTACAGGGCACGGCGGCAGGCGTCCCGGATGTATGAAGCCGGCAGCAACCGCGGCGTCATAATCTTCTTGACCAAAAGCGGGAGCCTGGTGCACGAGACCGGTACCCTCATCTGCTTCGACGTAGTCGGCCCCTATAACTTGGAAACAATCGGCGAACTGGTCGACGAAATATTTGAATAAAGGCTCGTACTTCCAGCCTATCATCTCTTTTCCTCTAAGCTTTCCTAGGACCTTGTACTTTGCCTTCTTCTTGTCCTTGTAAAGCATTGACAGTCCGTTCTCCAGGAGGATATACTGCTTCCCGGAGGCTTCGTCCAGGATCTCTATGTACTCAAATTCGGGGTGGCAAGCAATGAGAAGGTTAGACGGCAGGGTCCATGGCGTAGTCGTGTAGATTATCAAAGAACTCTCCCTGCCTTTCACGGGAAAGGCAACTAATACTGCTGGGTCCTGAGTCGTCTTCTCGTTTTGCTTGGATTCCATGTGACTTAGGGGAGTGCAGAGTGCGGTCGAAAAGGGCATGATCTGGTAGGCCCGGTAGACCTGGTCCTTGTTGAAGAGCTCTTTGAAAACCCACCAACAAGATTCCATGAATTTGACATCCATAGATTTGTAGTCTAAACTCAAGATAAATCATCAGTCCTCTGATTAACTCAATGCGCGCAACAATACGTTCACCAAAGCTTACCATTGTCGAAATCTATCCAGCGACCGAGGCGCTCGATAGTCTGTCTCCATTCGGCGGCATACCTCATGACAATAGCTCTACATTCAGCATTGTATTTCTCAATGCCCATCTTCATAACAGCATCTTTGCCAGATACACCTAAAGTCTTGTCGATCTCGTATTCGATGGGAAGGCCATGCGTGTCCCAACCGAAGCGACGAACGACGTGATATCCTTTCATGGACCAATATCGAGGTATGATATCTTTGATAGTGGAAGTGAGAAGATGGCCATAATGAGGCAGTCCAGTCGCGAAAGGAGGGCCATCGTAGAAGGTGAAGCGCGGACAGTCCTCAGTGAGCTTCAGTTGAGTCTGGAAAGCGTCTACCTCGCGCCAGAAGCGCACGATGTCCTCCTCTGTTCGCGGGAAACTGATGCTCATCTTGACGAAAGCCGCGACAACCGCGACGAAGAGGGGTTTTTAATTGTATGAGAGAAAGGAACGGTGGGCTCGGACTCGACGTTGTGTGTAATATGTAAGAAGTTACATAGAACAAACTGGAATTGCCCCGCCAAAATTTCGCATGAGTCAAAAGTTCGACAGTTTCGAGACCCTTGTGGACGCGGGGCAGTTACAGTTGTAAGTAGAATAAGTGGATCATAAGTGGACCTACCTTTCTCTTATTGGTTGGACTAACTAACTATTCACAGCTGCTTATGAGCATCGCTCCTTTAATCGCATTACGAGCTTACTACTAGTAGTACTTTAACCAACTGTGTTTCATTTTTTGCACAATTGCCTAAGTAATAATGCACTGTAATGGAGGATAAAAGACATAGTTAGTGGATTATGCAATCTATTAGCAATTTATCCTTTTATTCTTTCACAATCATTACCTCGTTGCCAACCGACTACCAAATGTCTACCAACTAAGGCTAATATACTATCGGCCATGAACCTGACACCATAATAAACCATGTAGGGATAGCATCTAGTGCATCATTCCTAGACCCAAGGAATCAGGGTCAGCCTTAACAATACGTTGCGTGTTTGTGTTGCCCATGCCACCTCTCCAGCCCTGCACAACTACAATCGTATCAGTCTTGGTGAGCAATCCTAGGCCCAAGGCTCTCTCCAGAGCCCACTTGATGCGGCGATCCACATCCTCCTGCCAGTTGACGCGATCGTAGTCTGGCTTAGCCTCGTCAAATAGGAACGGGTAAACACCACGGTACAAATGAGCATAACGCGAAGCTGATGCGTTACGAGTAACCATGAAGATGGGGCACACCGGGCGATACTTGGACAGCAGACGGGCTGAATCTCCGGATGTGGAGAGCACGATAATAGCGCCAGCGTTCAAGTCCAACGATGCTCGCACTGCTGCCATGGCGCAAGCCTCGACAACGCTTGTGGGACGCTTTGTCAGTGAGACCATCTCCTCGTAGTGACTGACGTAAGGGATAGAATTCTCTGCCGCGAGACAGGTGTTGCTCATCTCGCGGACTGCCAGCTCTGGATATGAGCCTTTGGCGGTCTCGCCACTCAGCATGACACAGTCAGCTCCGTCAGTGACAGCGTTGCCGACATCGCTGATTTCTGCTCTAGTTGGGCGAGGATTGGTAATCATGCTCTCGAGCATCTGAGTTGCGCAAATGACAGGCTTGCCAGCAATGTTGCACTTCGCAATCAGCTTCTTCTGGGCGGCGAATACCTCATAAGCAGGGATTTCAATTCCCAAGTCTCCTCGAGCTACCATGACGCCGTCGGTCTCCTTAAGGATTTCATCAAAATTGTTTAATCTGTATTGAAACCTTTGTTAGTATTCTTCCCCAATGGACTGGTTACAAAGCGCTTGAAGTGGTTCTTCATTTCGCCGAGGACTTCTAAGTCCGACAAAAAAAAACTTGGAATAAGAGCTTACCCTTGTCGGTTTTCGATCTGTAAGCGAAGCGATTAGCAATGAGAGGGTAGACAAACGAGGAACTGCTAAATTGGAACACTGACCTTGGCAATAATCTGGATGTGTTTGCCGTCTGGTCCCAAGACCTCGCGGATTGCACGAATATCCTCACCCCTTCGAATGAAACTGGCAAAGACCATGTCGACATTGTTCTGGACTCCAAATCTGAGATCTTTCTTGTCCTTCTCTGAGAGAGCCGGGAGATCGACATCGGTGTCTGGCAAGTTGACACCCTTTCGAGAGGAGATGAATCCGTTGTTGCGGCATCGGACCTCAACCGTCTTATCATCCTTGATGCTGACCACGTCGAAGGCCAGTACACCATCATCGACGTAGATAACCTTGCCGGGCTGGATGACTTTAGTGATGTTGGCGTAGTCGACGTACCTATAATGGGCATTAGTGCAAGACTACATAGCGGAAGTGAGCAGGTTATTCCATACATGTTCTGTGCATTGCACGAGGTCTTGTATTGTTCGTCGGTAGTAATGTTCAGGACATGGCCCGATTTGATGGGGATATCTTCACCACGTTCCGTGTCACCAGTGCGGATCTCGGGTCCCTTGGTATCTAGGGCGATGGCAACTTGGCGACCAGGGAGTGCCTTTTCGGCGGCGCGGGTGTTGTCAATGACCGACTGGTGATACTCATAACTTCCATGGCTGAAGTTCTGTATAAAATCTAATTAGCACATTGGGGAGAAGAGAGTTGTGGGTGAAGAGACACTTACCATGCGCACGATGTTGAGACCTGCTCCTCGCCTAAATCTTACATCAGCTCTGGAGGGGGGGCTTATTTTCAACACGTTGGGACTAACAGGGTGTTGATCATCTCAACCGAGTTGGTCTTCGGACCAATGGTGCAGATGATAGAAGATCGCCGGTGAGCATTCTTGCTGCCGGAGGGGGTGGTGTTCAGGCTCGCGAGCCATTCCACACGACTCCCCAGAGCGAGGTGGTCGAGAGAGGAAGCAGACATATTCGTGGGATTATTCAAGAAGGTAGGTGGTGTGATGTGATGTGATGACAAGGTAGTAAGGTAAGAAGGATTGGGTTTATGGTCAAGACAAAGTCGAGTAAATATCGACTATGCCAGGAAAGTTTTGGTGTTGAGGAGAGAGAAGAGGAGAAGAGGAAACGAAGGGAATAATACTTTTGTGTTAAAAGAGAAGAGTGATGGTAATATGAATTGTGATGTGAGGCATTTCCAAATGTCCTGGGAAGGAAATTCAGAAAAGTTAGAAGAGCTACTACCTAACTTTTACAACTAGGTGCGGATTAACCCCACCTGCACTCTTCATGAATTTGTGCTGAAGCAGCTTGGAACCTGGATGGAGGGGCATCTCTGCATGACAACCCTGCCACTTGCAAGCCCTGCAAGCACTGGATAGCCTGAGGAATCGTACATACCTACATAACTACATAATACATAGTACACAAATGTATCGTACGAAAGTAAAGTATCAAGTAGTACTACATAAATAAGTAGGTTAGTAGTAAGTACCTAACCTAGTGTGTTTGCATGCACGACCCTGAATCGAAAAGATTTATCCAATTATATGATCAGAATTACCTAGGGGATCTGCCTTATCTTGACCTTACTTCTCTACTACCCAGGATATGTAGTACGTAAGTCAGATGCAATTGTAGGTACTACTAGTAGTACAACACTGAAGTTGCACATATGTACTAGCATGTATCAACCAACCTTGATCTCAACATTTCCAAACATTATTCACTTCCTTGAGTACTACTACACATTGATATACGAAATGTAACCCTATATATATGTATACATCGATTGATTTACACTATGGCTATATAGTAGGGCTGGTGAGCTGAGTATCTACATAGTAGTGTTTGTGATACCTGAAGCCCCGAATCAGGGCTTCTCTTGCTGGCCACATGCAACACTGAATGGATTCTGACCCTCTCAACATCGTAGGATGGGAAAAGAGCGTTAAAGAGTGGCTAACTGACTGGAGGTATCCACCTATATCCTATATGTACAAGTACCTATGTAGTATGTACTTGTAGCACTACATGTACCTACTAACCTACATGTAGGTAGTAGACTCCAGAGTCAAAACCAATCTGATACTCTCACATAGTCACAGTGTCACATTAACACCAATGCTGCAGTGTTGCTACCCTAGGTACATACAATACTAGTTGTTACAGGTTACAGGCTACAGCAGGTACTTTAGGTAGACCACTACAGAATATATTTCTGTTGAGTCTCTCCGTTCAACAAGAACCAACCACTGCATGAAACTCAAGTCCGGTCTATTCTGCCTACATACCTACTATACGCAGCCACGGTATAAGACAAGATACAAACTCCGTTCCACGCGCGAATTCTACTGCGTAGGTACCTACTATATTTGTACATAGTAGGTACGCAGCCAAGCCTATATAGTACACGCCGTTTGGAATATCAAACAATGTCATGAAGATTTCAGTCAAGTTGATTAGCTGAGTCTCCCGTTAGATTCCACAAATAAGCCGTCAGTTGTAATTCGCGCTCACCGCCCCTAGTAGCTGGCCAATGCTATCAAACAACGCATGCATCGTTTACAACCCCGAAATCAATTCACCACGGTAACAACTCTACAGCAGATAGCACACGGACATACGACCCGACCCCTATGCTGAAATGCCAAGGTCATATAAAAGCAAGTACGCACCTGCAATCGTAAGGCAAACGGTATCAGCCTATGCTTCATCAACGTTCTCATTGTTCTGGAACTTCTGGTAGTCACTTTGCTTCTTCAATAGCCCGTTACACATTACGCCTCACATTTTCTGGAACCCTTTTCATTCTCGAATAAAAACAGGAACGTCCTTGGACAATTGGGAAATGGTACGTATGTGTGAAAGGTGGTCTACTTTGAGCCAGAAAATACCGCAACTACCTCGTCAATGAGTGAAAACAAACGAGAAAATCCCTATCTTGATAATAGAATGCCTACCTGGGCTAATCGTGAGTATGTGTGATTCAAACGCAAATAGGGGAGCGGTATGTCATATGTATGTACCTTGGAAGAGTGGCTATAGCTACATCCCGCCAGCACTTGGATATCTCCAAGTGATTCTAGGTCAAACATCTACTACGAATCTATGTCGGAGTAAGTTATGAGTATGATCCTTCAGTCTAGGGGTCCGTGGTGCAACAAGTGACGAAGGAAGGTGGGAGTTACATAAATAAGCACTCGAATGCTGAACAAGCTCTACCCATCTTGCAAGCTAGGAAATATGAACACATTGGGTTCAATACATATATGAGAGTATACCTACTCTCTTTCTTACTTACGTAATGGCTAGTAAGAACGCGCCGGTTATTTTCAAATCTTATCGTTTGGACAATTTTCTTCCTAGGGGTCATCCATAAGGACACCAACTTCGCCTGGCAAACGACTTATGTCGTCTCTATCGAACACAATTCTCTTGCTTAAGCGCGTGTATAGTGACATTACTAATTAGCCCTGGAAGGCTACTCGCATACGACAAATCAGCAATTCCTTGACTAAGCATAAGGTGATTAGTAACATATAACATACTTCCATACGTACCTACATATGTAACAATTAACTAGTAGTTGAGAACGAGGTCAGTGAGCTAAGCAATATCTGGCACTGATGCCTAGAGTACAACATTAAGCTATAGATCTTCATAGATGATTCCATGTATATACTCGGCTCTCACAAGCGGCGTGAGGTTTTGATCATGGGTAATTTATTTGCATGTTGCATGGTGTCAAGATAATAAACGAAATAATCACGTACATTATATAACGCTAGTAAATATAATTTGCTCTGATGTTTGTTAGACTTTCTCCTCTCTTCCGATACCGAAGCAGTGCGTCTTAGACAAAGAATACTGTTCGAACTCATTTAGTGTTTATGGTGAGAGTAAGAAAGGGGTGTTCAGTAGATTAACACAAGCTATACTTAGAAGCTGGGCCCTACAGCCATGAAGCTTTTTCAGACTGCCAGGAATATTATGTCGAGTCTTGAAGCCGTACGCGGACTAGATTTGGTGGTGTTGGTGATACTGTTGTTGCCATAGCACTCGACTGAAATTGTACGCCCATTTTTAGCTATCATGAAGATATTTCTTAGTATAGAGTATATAGGACTAAGGTACAACCAAACTAGCCATCATACCGAGGTTCAGTCAGCGTGCTTCATATCTAATATAGGACATAGATATACTGGAAGACCTATATAGGGGTTTCAATATTAAATCAGCCACACACGCGGGCAGTTTCTACAAATATTACTAGACAGATTTCTTAACTGGCCAAGACAGTTATTAGATTGCCATTGAACTCGCTGTTGCCTTGGATATAGTGCAAGCCAATGAATCTACGGACATAGCTCCCTATCCTCTTCTCCCGTTATGAGTGCTTAGGATCTACAACCAACCGCTTCATCACATTGGGACAACTTTGAAGATCGTTAGATATCAGTTCTTAGTAGAATACATGACAACTCTATCATTAACCGCCCCTGGAAAGGTTAATGCGTTCCAGGACTGGTAAATACTTTGATAGCATTGCCCCTCTGAGCATGGTAAAAGTATCTCATATTTGTTTAAGCTAGATATACTGTTACATGACGAAGCCTGGAAGACTTTGAACAGCATTGTTGCCGTAGGGAGTTCTAAACCCCTCGAAAACTATAGAGGCTCAATACTTGTAGTTATACGCGGAAATGTCTATTACAGCCAGCCCCCGGGTAAACCCTTGACGAACACAGTCAAGTTTAGACAGCCACTTATAGGCGTCCATTTTTACCTCTATACTAGATAGAAATGGTAATTAGCCCGTAACTTCAAACGCTTATACAGATTGAAGGGCATGCGCCTCGAGCCTCCTTCCCAAGTCATTAGGGTGGGGGCTTCTGAGCCTATAGCACACTGAGGAAGCGCTCAGGGCTACTGTGTCTCCGAGAGAATACGTTATATTCTTTATCATTGAAGCTGGAGGTGTAAGATCACGGAGAAATACATGAGTCGACTTTGATATATATTCTTAAGCTCGTATGAATGGAAAAGCGGGGGGTATACGATTAGCCATTCGAAATTACCCCTATAGATTATTGGTTAGTACGAACATAGACTTGCAAATGCCTTCTTGGTCGGAGCAGATAAGATATATCCTTCTTAATCTGATATTCTTCGATAATTCGAAGTTTTTTCTTCTTCCCCGTCCGCCCGGGACAGGGCTATGAAGCATTTGGGGATGAAATCTCTAAGCCTATGGATACGCCTATGGATACCTGCAGAGACACCGCAGTCGGAGATAGTATTGGATAATTGACTGACGTCGATATCGTCGTATCAGGGCAGAACTCATGTTACCCAGCTATCATCTCCCCGAGGGACCGAATCGGAAAGGGGAATCTACTCCACCTCACAGAAACGCTACTCGCCTTTTTGTAAGCAGACACACACCCTAGTCGATGGCGTGCTGATGGCGTGCGACAACCAAATCACCACATTGGCCCGGATCGGACTCTTATTGATTTCTAATTGTTCTAGAAAGATAGTAAATAAACCCCGTTGTACCCGACTATTCGTGGACGATGCAGAATCTTGAAAATCAAGCTTGGTCAAGGTGTGTGTGATATAACTATATTATTAATAACGGCGCAGAACCGCAAGCAGTGTCAGACCGCGATACACTATTTATGGCATATAAGTAACGAGCAGGGACTGGATCATTCTTCTCTATTTATTAATTTATCAAGCCTGCGGTGTAATACCTACCTACCTACGTAATAGTGATGGCGGAAACACGAAGTCGAAGTTCCCTTGGCAGCAGGAATTCGTGGAAGGTCGTGCGCACCCTTTTGCACAAGATAAGGACCAAGTCGGCGGCAAGTGAGAAGAAACACTCGAACGTGGTCCACGAAATACAGAAAGAGTTCACATCGACGACGACAGATGAATCCGCCAGCGTGTCGGTTACCGAAATCACCATGCCCCGAGTACAGAAGGCCCTCGTCATCGCCCGCAAGGGTGAATATGAGATTCGGCATGACTTCCCCATGCACACTGTTGGAGAGGATGAGATTATGATTCGGAGTCATTACGTTGGTTTGAATCCAATCGATTGGAAGTCGGTTGACTACAACTTCTGCTTGCCAGAGTTCCCTTGGGTATGTTTTCTCCCCCCCTGTTATCTGCGGAAGACCAAAAGCTCACAATAGTGGGTAGGTAACGGGCCGAGAAATGTCTGGAGTAGTGGCTCAAGTTGGTTCGGCGGTTAAGAATTTTGAAGAGGGCGACTCTGTATGGACCAGCACGTACTATAAGGACCTTCGTGCGGGCTGCTTCCAGGAATATGTCGTCGTACCTTCCCACACCGTTCTCCCCATCCCCTCGACAGTTTCGTTTGAAGCAGCCGCCTGTCTAGGTGTAGCAGCTTTGACAGCATCAATGACATTATGGAAATGGTTAGGCGTCCCGATCCCGCGGCATACCCCAGATGAAGCGGCAGAGGAAGAGTGGCTACTGGTATGGGGTGGGTCTACGGTGACAGGGCAGTTCGCGACACAGATTGCGAATTTGAGTGGGATTAAAGTCATAACGGTCAACTCTACGGAAACGAAATCGTTATCAGAACGCTTGGGCGCATCCCATGTGGTCGTACGGGACGGCAAAGGGGACGATGAGTTGGTGGACGAGATTCGACAGGTCACAGGGGATAGAGTCACGCGAGCCATCGATTTGGTAGGACCGAAAACGGCAGCATTGGCATTGAAGGCAGTATCGCAGGCTAAGCCCGTCGCTTTCGCACCATTGGCCATGATGTCAAATTCACAGGTAGTTCCGGAGAACGTCGAGGTACACACGGTGGAAATGAAGCAATTCGTACTCGACAAAAGCAACGTTCGGTTTACAGAAGAGCTTGGGAAGCTTTTGGAAAGTGACAAGATCGCTTTACCTGAGTTACATTTGCTTGATGGGGGTTTACACTCAGTTCAGGAAGGTCTGGAACTGCTGAAGAAGGGAAACTTGAAGGGGAAAAAATTGGTCGTACGGATGTAGTACGCAGACACAGACGCAGAATGAGTGTGCATATATATGCTACCTTGGTAGGGAGGCAGGCAGGCAGTGGACTGTATAAGACATATAGACAAGCGTGTTAGAAACCTAGAGTTGGTGGAAGCATATCCCACGCTTCATCCCTTGTATTCTCACGTACAGTAAAAGTTACATGATTACCTATTAACTACTCATCACCTCTATCGGGGCCTTTAATTATCGATTATCTTTGCTTAGCGAAGCTAGTAGCAAGAAGGTGATGTAGCACAGGGACAGAGACGGCGACAAGTTTTGTGTGCATCTAGCTCAAATAGGGGTAGATAAATTTGTAGTAGGCCTTATTACCTAAACCAACGAAGTAATTCCAATTATGCAACTCACCATGCCAACTTGGCAGCCAACCCATTGGGGTTTTTTCGTATGAGAAATTTACGAGTCTCATCAAAGAATAAGATGAATATGCCGAAAGTGAACGGTAGAAACCAGTGTTCTACTGGCACCGGCGATGTACCCAGAACAGACTGCAGCTGGGGAATGTACAGCCAGAGAACGGCCATAGCTAAGGCAAAGATAATAGCCGGGAAGAGATACAAGTTTTGAGTCTGTTTATTGAATGCCGGGGGATGTTGGAAAATGCTCCATCGTCGTGTGCGGACTGCAAGAAGATTGAACCATTGCCTAGGTAAAGGAAGAAAGTTAGCGCATGTTGACGGCTCGAGGACCTCCCATTCAACAACTTACATGACGACAAGATTTACGAAGTAAATAGAGGACGCCGTATTCAGCTTTTCAGCATAGTAATCCGGGTCGATCGAGTCGGGGAGGACGCCAAAAGAGAACCACAGCACGCGGAATGGTATGCCGTTCTTCTCCAGGTACCAGTAGGCCATCGCGAAAGAGACTGTGGTCTGGATCATTCCGAGAACACCGTACGCGTGAAGGACGAGCTGCCAGTTCACCAATCGGTCTTTCTTGGCGTTACGTGGTTTGCGCAATAATACATCAGCCTCCGGCTTCTCGTACGAAAGCACCGTTGCAGCGGCGCAGTCAGTGAAGCAGCTAAAAAGGGTGGTAGTTTAGTCAGCGTCCCTTTTCTTCATGAGAATTCTTCAGCTCAGGGGTGTACTACTTACCAAATAATGATCATGAGGAACGACGAGAGAATCTGCGGGAGTCCAAAGAGAACATTGGTCATGACCGGCCAGAACTCAGCGAAACTTCCGGCTGGCAGCAAGTAACAGATAACTTTCTTCAAGTTATCAAACACCACGCGCCCATACTTCACTGCTTCTACCACAGACGAGAAGGAGTCCAGGAGGACCATATCAGCAGCCTCAATGGCAATGTCAGAACCGCTTCCGAGTGCGATACCTACGTCGGCAGCTTTCAAGGAGGGCGCGTCATTCACGCCGTCTCCAGTCATCGCCACGACGCCGTTAGCCTGGAACTCCCTCACGATGCGCAGCTTCTGCTCTGGCGTCGTACGAGCGAAGACGATCTCGTCGTATTCAGTCAGAGCCTTCCACTGGCACTCGTTAAGGCTCTGCATTTCTGGGCCGCTGATGAGTATTGAAGAGCGAGGTTGTTGAGGTTTGCTAATGCCATCTGCTGATACCCCCTCTACTCTTGGCAGCGCGGAGACGTTATGGACGGCAGATGCGGCAACACTGATGATGCCGGCATCCTGGGCGATGGCAAGGGCGGTAAGAGCGAAGTCGCCAGTCACCTAAGATAATGTTAATGAAAGAGTAGATGTTTATATACACACTAAGAGCGCGTAGGCAACCATCACTTACCATGAAAAACTTAATACCAGCACCACGAAGTATCGAGACGACCTCGCGAATTTCCGGACGAAGAGGGTCGACGATAGCCACAAGACCGACTAATATCAAGTCTGTCTTGGCGAGTTCCATGATCTCTTCCTCGAACTGGCCTGTCCCAGGTTGATTCTGCAGCTGGCCTTGGTGGATGACTTTGCGCGCAAGCAGGAGACAGCGTTTTCCTTGGCTGCTGTAGGAGTTCTTCACGTTCTCAAACGTCGCCCGCATGTCTTCGTCGAAGGGGCACACGTCTCCTGCATTGTTGACGAACGAGGAGCAGCGGGTGATTAAGACATCTGGAGCACCCTTGATAGTTAAAAGACTGTTTTTGTGTTAGCACCAGCCTCATAGGTACAATTTTCATCGTTATAAAAAAAAAAGAAAAAAAACTTACGTATCGCCTGTTTGGAAGTCGTCCGCCTCCCGTTCAGACAGGGTAGCGCTGAGGCAATCATGCTTGAATAGGGAGAATGTTCTTAACATAAACTTGTTCTTGCTGTTGAAGGCCAGCTCATAAGTCTTCTGCCAGCATTGGCGCAGGTCCTGCACGGATCCGAAGCGCTCGGAGAACCTCAAGACGGCCTGGTCGGTGGCGTCGCCAAAGACACGGCGTTGCTCGATGGGCAGGTCCATGGTAGCGGCGTCGAACTCGGCTGCATTGCAGAGGCCTGCGATGGAACGTACTTGGTCTACGCCGGTTGTTACCATGCCAGCTACAAGTGGTGTGGTGCTTACTTCCAGTTCGTCTTCGGCTGCGTCGACGGTGATGATGTGGGTTCCAATGGCGCACTCAGTAACTGTCATTCGATTCTGAATGAAATTAGTCTAAGTCCAACAGGAAGTAGGCATGGCATGATTTTACCTCGGTGAGAGTGCCTGTCTTGTCTGAGCAGATGACAGAAACAGACCCCAAGGTCTCAACAGTCTTCAACGACTTGCACAGGACTTTGTGCTTTCGCATCAAGTTGGCTGTGATAGTTAACCCGGCAGTCAAGGCAATAGGCAGGCCCTCAGGGATGAAAGCGATGGCTACGCTGACGCAGCCGACGATGAGTGTTGGAACGTTGATCCAGCCTGGATGGGATGTTCTCAGCCACGCGCCCCTGAGAACTATTAGTACTTATCCCCTGGGAAGTAATATGTTGAGTTGTAGGTACGAACCAGACAATCAGCACGATAGCAATCATTGCGAACATGATGGAACAGATTATGGTTACGAAGTACAGGACTTCTCTCTCCAGAGGAGTCATTTTCACCTTGGGCTCATTTGTCAAAGCAGCGATACGGCCGAACACTGTTCGGTCTCCTGTAGCCACAACCAAACCTGTACAAGACCCGGAGGCACAATGTGTGCCTTGTAAACCGATACAGCGAGTCTCAAGGTAGTTATCATCGGTCGAGTTTACCGTCGCCGCCAGGGGCGCAGACTCTCCGGTTAGAATAGCCCTATCAAACTTTGCATCACTAGAGACTTGGAGGAAGCGCATGTCAGCCGGGAGCTTGTTTCCTGCCTTGATACAGACGATATCTCCCGGCACGAGCTCCTGAGCTGGGAGGGATGCTTGGACGCCGTTTCGGATCACCATTGAGTCCTCGGGAAGCATGTTCTTAATAGAACTCATCACTCGGGATGAGCTCCAGTCTTGGAACATGTTGAACATGGCCTGGATCACGAACACTGCTACCAGTACGATGGCTAGGGCCTGAAGTAGATGACATATTAGTACATCACGGCCACTACATGCGTTATACTTGTGTGTGCTTTTTTTTCTCCTCACGTACCAAGTTAGCTAGAGCAGGTGGTTGGCCGAGCGGTTTCCACGAAACGAAAACTAGAATAGCTCCCACTAGGAGCACGGGGCCGAACCCCTTGAAGAAGTAGCCCAGCCATTTCTGAAGTGTACGAGACTGTGGCGGAGATGGGGCGTTCTTCCCGTGTTCCTTTTGTTTGCGGGTAACCTGGTCGTTCGAGAGGCCATCGGTAATGGAAGCGCTGAGGCGGCGAAGAGCCTCATCTGTGGAGATGGTGTGCCATTCAAGGGAGGATAGTTCTATGCGAACAAAGAAATGTGAGCGATGGGATCTTAGATGAATGTCTAGGGATGTGGTTTTCAACCCTTGGTGGCCGTGTCTTTCGCCTTCAGCAGCTCCGCGGTGTCTTTTTGTCTCGATGTCTGTCTCGATTCCTCAATCTGGAACGACCTAAAGAGAGCCGAAAGTCAGGATCATCGTGTGGAACGCCATTTTTTCACCGGTTAGGAGTGAAAGAGATCAGGTTATCTCTTACACAGTACGGTACTGAATAGGGAGGAGGATGGAAGGGTCGACCTCGCGTCTCGAGCGTGCACTGCGAATCGACATTGAACCACTTGAGTGGGTGCGTCGCAGTCCACGCGCAGGTCGACCCATCTCCTCATCTTCCCATTTCACTCCAAGTTTAGAATCTGGTTCGTCCATTTGGCCTGGTCTATTCAGGGGTTTGGTATGAAGTTAATATACGCCTGATGGGTGTCACAAAGATGAAGTAGAGAGAAAGAAAAGGGGGGGAATGAGAACTGTCAAGTTAAAAGGAGAGAAACGGGATCATGCATTATATATTTATTGTATATTTATTATATATTTGTAGTATTTGGCTATTAAATCTATATAGACATGTCGTCGAGGTCAAGAGAAAGCAACATATTCATGTCTGATGAAAGAGGATGCCGCACTGTTCATTGTTAGCATATCTCGCCCAAATACACAGTGTGTGCTAATTATACACACGTGAAGCTCTACTAAGCTCCATATCACATGCCTTGCGACTATATCTAGTCTCCAGCGTTAGGATATTCGGGAGGCGGTGCTGGCTAGCTTCCACCTGTCCCATTTTGTTTCTTACAATGTTTATCCTTTGATGCTTCACAGAAATTCGCGCACCGGATTGAGCAAACTTACAAGGCCAGGCAGGACCTTGATTGATCACGCTCAGGGGTACATGTGTAGCTGTAAGACGGGGAGACTATGTATCTAATACCTAGCATCTGCATAGTTACCTACATAGTTACTTGCATAGTGGTGATGATGGCGAAACAGGATTTAACTCGAAACAATGAAATGCAGAGAAAGTATTGTGGTACCGATTATGATCAACAATGTATGTAACAATCTGAGGTAGTCTGGCCAAGGAGGGAACGTGGACAAAAGGGAAGATTAAAACTGAGGGCGGCCTCTCAAATGCGGGTCGACGTCAACACAACAAGTGCTCTCCAAACGAGCAGCGTCTATCCTGCTAAGATGGGGGATGTATATAGTCTTAGATTCTGGATATATTTGATACTTACCTACCCAGGCATGACGGCACGTGTCTCGTATATGTATATCCACTGACAGATCTTTTAGCTTTTTGAGCTCAAACAGCTTCGAGATTTTTCTGGTTGACTAACATTTAACTACGCATTAATAGGTTAGAAAGTTATGCAGCCCGGATTTCCCAATCAGGCAATGATAGCAACCAGCTAGCTACGAAACTAAAGGGCACACGCTCGCGCGCGCCACAAATGCCTGAGTTTTCTCGGACCTAATTTTAATGTTACCACTACTTATCCTTAAGGCTGCTTTCGGGCTAACGCAGCGCTAAGGATTTAAAGTTTTAATAAAACGATTTAATTAAGTGCAACACCCTTTAAATCATATAACCTGCTTTTTTAAGTTGTATTATGTCGTAACTCTTTTTTTTTAAATAATAAAAAGCATATAAATTATTAATATTTTTTATTTAACTTTTTTTATTTAATTTAATTAATTAATTTAATCGAATTAAATTAATTAAATTAAATTAATCGGATTAAACTAGTTAAATTAAATTAATTAAATTAATTAATTAATTAATTCTTAAATTAATTAATTAAATATAACACCTTTTAAATTATATAATTACTTATAATATTATTAAGTTATTAACTTTTTTAATTTAATTTTTTTTATTTAACTTTTTTAATTAAATTTTTCTTATTTAATTTAATTAATTAAATTAATTAAATTTATTAAATTTATAATGGTTATATAACAAAGGTATGTATTAACGCGGTACGTATATAACTAAAGAAGGTACTTATATAACTTAAATTATATAAGGAGTTAAATTCTTTTTTTACTTTTAAATTTAAACCTCCTTTTTTAAACATTAATATTATATTAATCTCACTTTTATTATTTTTACTTTACTTATTATTTAATTTATTATACGTATATATTTACTAATATTAATTAATGTTACTAAACTATTAATAATATAAATTAATAAAGTTAAAAAAGTTATTATTATAATAATTTAAAAGATTTTATCATAATAATATAAGCGATATTAACAATTATTTTTTTAACGCTTATATTTTATTTATAATAAAATATAATTTTGCCTTATTTAATCGTTTTAAACCTTTATCGTTACATAATAATACCGATTTATACTCCCTTTTTTTTCTAAATTTACTTACATTAACTATTAATATAATAGCTATTTTAAGAGGATCGGCACCACCCTTAACGCCCCAGCCATAACTTAAAAATTACAACATCGATATTAACCTTACTGCTTAAAAAGATATAAACGAGCTATATAAATTATTAAATTTCGTTCTTAATAAAATAACATTATTAAAGTAACAATTCGCCTTAAAAGTCGTTAAATGAAACAAAATACCACCATTTACCACTTAAAAATAAAAAAATACTTAAGTATTATTAACTTTCGCTAACTTTAAAATAATCGATAAAAGTGTTAGCTATGCTTATATAACGGAGGAGATATTCGAAAAATACAAAAAATATTTCGACACATTTTATTTAAATGATTTTAATGAAATATTAAAAATGCTATAAACGGCATTACGAAACATACTTATATAACGAGGGATTTATATAAGTAAAAGTAACAATAATCACGTAAAAAAATTAATTAATTTAATAAATATATAAAAACTATTACGTTAACGTTTTTAAAACTTAATATAAGCTTAAATAAAATAACTTAATACGTTAATTTAAAAAATATTTATACATTAAACGAAATTAAATCCGGTTATCCTTAAGATATAACGGTTAAAGCAATCGTTAATATAAACATTATAAACGCTTTAAAATTTTACTTAATCCACCACTTTTACTATACCTCCCCTTATTTTAAGAAAACGACCGTTTTTAAATTTATTACCCCTTTTACCTTAATTTTTTTATAATTTTAATAACCCTTTTTTAAAATTTCATTTATTCTTTTCCTTTTTTAATTAACCATAAAACCCAACTCCATAACCGTTAAACCTTATTTAACGAATAAATAATAGCTTACTTCTTTTTACTTAAACATTTATTAAAGCTAAATTCTTTAATTTATTCCAACCACCTCCGTAATTTTAAAGACTAATACCACCCTTAATACCCCCTTTATAACCGTTAAATCCCAGAAATCCTTCACTTAAATCCCCACATAATAATACTTCATAATAAAAATCTAATTAAAATAATTAAAAAAGGCAGTTATAAAATAACTAAATAACCTTAAAAAATGATATAAAACCCCTTAAACCGCCATTGAAAGGTTCATTTATATCCTTAACACTACCTTTAAAACCCGCACTAAAAAAAGCAAACCATTTCGGCAAAAACTTAAGTTTCTCCTCTTAAACGACACCATTACCTTTACCGACACCTAACTAATAATAATAAACACAAATACTTATTAATAATTAAAAAAACATTACTTATTATAATATTCCCCTTGCATAAATCTTTAATAAAATATATCTATTAATTATTATTAACTATTTCAAAAAAGCTTAAAACAATAAAAATAATTATATAAGTAAGTTATACGACATCCTTAAAAACAAATTTCGATTCTTCCTTAATATTTACTACATAATAAGAATATAATAAACGTAATTTCATATTATATTTTTTATAATCCTCACAAAAAAAACAGCTTTATACTTTTTTTATAATATCCCATATTATTAAACCTTCACAAACATATACCTAATTATAAAACGACATTTTAACATTAAATAAAATAAGATTTAATATTATTATAATTAAATTATAACAACGTTTTTTAATATTAAAAATAATAAAAAAAATATAGGAAAAAGTAACTTAAAAATGCTATAAATTCTCCTCAACAAACTCTTTTTATATTAATAAACATTTAACCTTAAATTTAAAAAAAAATAATAACTTATTACATTTATTTATTACACTTACCGTATTATATCTTAATTATAACACGCCTTATTTAAACTATTATTAAAGTTTAAAAACTTAATTAATAAGTTTTAAGCATCGATTAAAACTTATAAGATTTTTAAAACGGCTAAGCTAAACAACTACAAATATATTAATAATAACGATAATAAGAAAAAAAACGCTTAATTTTATATAAATCACAAATATTATAAAATAAATAAAGGTAGTAAATATAATGCTAAAAAGTCCCTTAAATCATAAAAACACAAATATTAAATTTGTAAAAAAGAAAGTTATTAATCCATTAAACATTTTAAATATAAACGGAAAAAAGTTAAAAAAAAATAAAAAAGCAAACGTAGCTTATTAATTAAAAACTACGTAATATTCCTAGCGAATTATAAAAAACTTAATAATCCCGGTTTAAAAATGGAATAAAAAAATAAAACAGCAACATTAAAAATAAATCACAATAATAATAACGATTTTTTCTTAACCGTTACCCACTTATTTAATTAAACCTTTTAATATCACATAATCGCTTACCCCTTTTTAAACGCAACAATAATCAATAACATTTTTTTCTTAAACTAATACATAAAAAATATCTTTTAAGGCATTATACTTAACATAAATACCGTTTAAGTATTCACAGTTAAAAAGGGATAATACTTAGTTTTTATTAAAAAACACCTCGATAAATAAGTCACAATAAATAAATCCCACGTAAAAAAAGCTTAAATTTATTTTAAAGATAAATAATCGATAAAATCTCTTAAGACAATTATTATTAACACCCCCTTTAACTATATTAATTTCTATATTATAAACACTAACACTTTATTCCTTTTATCGTTAAAAGACATAAATCAATTAAAAATATACCTTAATAATATTATTAATTAATTAATTTATAAAAACAGCATTATTATTAATATCACTTATAAATAAAAACACCCATGGTTTTATTTTAAAAATATCACATTTTTTATAAAAACGGAGCTACGACATTTATATACCCATTTCGACTATTCATTAATTAATAAATTATATAACTTATTAAATAAGGCTAGTTATAATATTAAGATTAATAACATTAAAAAAATTAATAAATTTTATTATTATTATTAAATTAAAGG